GAAGTACATTAAGTATAAGAATCTTAGAGCTAATGAATATTATATATTTAGAAAAATAAATACAAATATAGTTATCACATCTTTCTATAGTTTATAAGCATAAATCTAATTAACAAATCATTTTTAAATATTTAGATATTTATATTAATAAATTAAAATATATTTATGATATTATAAATTAAATTTATTATTAATTATAGGTTTATATTGATAATTTAATTATTAATATTAAATTCGTCAAAAGAATAATCATATATTTATTATAAAGAAAAATAAATGCTATCAAAAGGATTAAGAATTATTTAGATTAAAGATGTATTAGTTTAAAATTCTGATTCTATTTAACTATAAATTTTGATTTAACAATTAAATAAATTTTTGCAATATAAATAAATGTATAAGTATATATAATAATTTCTAAAATAAATATTAAAGCATTGTTACCATTTTTAATATATTAATCTTGGAACATAAAGAATATAATTAGAGTCACGATTTAGTTTAATATTATTCAAATATCATCAAATAATAATATACTACAAAAAGAAGCTAATTAAAATCATTTTAGTATTAATCATCTCCATTTTATCCTTCTCCCTTCAATCCATTCACCTTCTCTTTAATCTCCAAGCTCAGAAACCATAACACCATGACCATGTTATTTTCCTTATTTCCACATTCCTCTGTAGCTACTTCCATTTTAAAATTTAAACACTCCAAATCCTTCCTTCATGTCATAGTAATACTAACATAATTTACATTATTAATATTACATTTCCAGAATACTCTCGTCCATCTGGCCAAGTAAATGTACCTTTTCCATGCATTTAATTATTTATCCACTATCCTTCATACTAAATTGGATATTTTTTATTACTTTTCTTCCATCATTATATAGAAAGATACCAAATCCCTCATATTTATTTTTCTAAAATTCCCCTAAATATTTGCTACCATCTTAATATGTTATTTCTCCATATCCTTGCTAATGTCCAAATTTATATCCACCTTTATATTCAAATTATTAATTAATTTCATGACCTTCACCATGAAACAATTATTATTTCCATTCTCCTTTATAAATGAATCCATTTTAATCTTAAAATTCTCCATATCCATTAAATTCATTTTCTTCAAAGTTTCCTTCATATCTAGATTTAATTTATTAGTTACAAACTTCCATCACAACTAATTTATCTTCCTTTGCCTGATTTTTAATCTTTCTTAAATGTTCCTTCATACAAAGTACCATCTATATCTATTTACCTACCAAATCCTTCTTTTTAAAACTATAAAAATTATCCTTAGTATTAGCATCCATCATTCATTAAATAACATGGATAACTGTTCTATTAAAGAGGCATCAATTCTTTCAATTTGTTTTATATAGATAAATGTAAATTTTAAGGCCATTCTATTTTTTGTACATCTTTTGGTATCATTTCAATAACTGAGACATTTTATTATGTTAAATTTGATTCCACTTAATTTTAAGTGATTAAAGTAACCTACTTTTCTACTATTTTTGGTTTATTTAAATAACCTTTATATAATAGAAGACAATTACGTCTAACACATGTTTGAATTTTGATAATTTTAGTTTCATCTAAAGATATCTCATCTTTAGGAATCAATCCAATATCACTATTTAATCTTACAACATCTTAGTTTGAGCAACAAACTATTCCCATATAATTTAATAAATTATTATTATTCAATTGTATTATCTTTATCATCTTCCAATTACGTTTTCATAATTAATCCATATCAATTCTTTACAAGAAAAACAAAAATCTCTCTTCTAGAAACGAATTGAGATTTTACTATTTAATTTCAATAATTTTATATTTTAAAACAAAATTTTATCCAATAAGAACACTCTCAAGTTTATAATAATTAGATAATTAATTCAATATTATCAAAAATTTAGGAAATATTATTATTTCTTATCATTAATACTCAATCTTATAATGAGTCGCTCAAAAACTCCATCTTTAAATAAATTATGTTATTCTATCTTAATCATATGAAGATGTTCTATATTTATAAGAACAAGTAAAATTATAATAATATTAATTATAATTAATTAAAGAATATACTGAGGATGATTAAAAATAAATTAGAAAATAAATAAAACTAGTTCAAACTCTAAAACTCTAATAAATTTAATTATATTTATTTTATAATTGAAAAGAATATATTTTATAAATATTTGGTAAAATAGAAAAATAATTTAATGAAATATCATATTAATAGTATTAGTTTAAATTATTAAGTCTAAATTATCATTTATAATCTCTCTTTCAAAATAATTAATATACTTCAAATTTTGTATATATTATAAATCTAGTTAATTATATATTATAAAAATAAGAGTAGCTCTTTGAATTTAACTATTCTAGATTGAATATTTTTGTATAATTTGTTTGATTTTGTTATTTTGTAATTAAAGAGTAATCTATGCTTATAATTGTAATATAATAATTTTAACTAGAAAACTTTGTTAATATATTATATTTATATTATTATTTAATAAGAAAAGATGGCCTAATAATTATTAGAAAAGTTATTCTAAAATAACCCTCATTTGAATGAAATTTAAAGAGATAGAATTGCAGAAACATTATAATACTTAGAGTAACATAAAATTTCACTTTTATTTGAAGTAATAATTTAAGATGATTAAATTTAGGAATTATTGTCTTAATTAATATTTGAAATGAGCAATTAACCTAGAAAAACACTATTAGATGCACTTAAAAATTATAAAAATTAATAATTCTTTGACACATCTGATTATGAAGTAATTTTTGAACATTTTGATACATTTAATGATAAAACTGTCAAGATTAATTCCATTAGATAGGGATTATAAATAATTGGTATTACAAAATCAGAAGAAGAAATTAATTAAAAATATTAATCTATTTTAAAAAAAGGATTCCTAAATAAAAATGAATTTATTGATATTATGAAAAATGAATATACTTAAAGATGAATTTGGAATATTGTTTAATATAATATTTTATGTAATATTCTCATTATGGATGGACTTAATTTATACAAGATCCTTTAATCTTAAATTCATAAATATTATTTAAGGTTGTTTAGCTTATATTCATTAAAGCTTCATGTGTGAAAAAGGCTTGATGTCCAGTGATAATAACATTAGGAAAAGATAACAATCTTGCTAAAACATCATCAGTTAATACTTCTTGACTTACATCTTTAAAGAATAATTTTTCTTCTTATTCATAAACATCTAAAATATTAATTTAGATTTATACCTATTGCTAAGCCTCCGATTTTTTTCTTTTTTAAAGCATTAACAACTGCTTTAGTTTCAATAAGAGCACCTCTTCCTGTGTTTATAATCATTACATTTTCCTTCATTTTTGTTATAGAATGATCATTAATAATGTGTCTAGTTTAAGGTGTTAACGGACAATGTAAGGATATGTAATCACTTTAGTAAAAGATATCACTTTCATCAACATATTGAAATCCCAAAGATTCAGCTAGTTTTTGATCTCTATGGGGATCATAGGCAATAACATTCATTCCAAATCCTTTACAAATTTTAGCAAAGCAAATTCCTATTTTTCCTAGACCTATTAATCCCATAGTTTTTCCATGTAAATTTGATCCAACAAGTCCATCCAAAGCAAAATTATGATCTCTTGTTCTATTGTAGGCTTTATGAATCTTCCTATTAAGAGACAAAAGAAGAGCCATAGAAAATTCTGCAACTGCTTCAGGAGAATAAGCTGGGACTCTTACAACATTGATTCCAAGTTTTTCTGCCTCTTTTAAGTCTACATTATTGAATCCGGCACATCTTAGAGCCACTAAATTTACTCCTTGTGTAGATAACTTTCTTAAGACTTATGCATTAACTTTATCATTCACAAAACAACTAATTAGAATGTAAGAAACAGTATTTACCATACAGTATCACATTCATGTGCTAGTCTGGCACTATTTTCATTTAATTATTCTGCAAAAAATGATAATTTGACTTATTTTTCTTCTGGAAGACTTGTATTAACCTTTGTTAAGTAGTCTATGTCATATTTCTTGGTATTGAATACTGCTACTGATGGTTGCTATTAATATTTTGAAAGATATACTTTTATTGTATTAAATGCAAATCTGCTTAAAAGTTTAATCATTATTCTTTAAAATAAATTTATTTTCAATATCAAAATGTATTCTGGATTTAATAGTAAAAAACTTGAATAAGAATATAATTCTGTAGTCAATAAAATGACAATCTTATTGATAGATTAATTATCATTACAACTTTAACTTAGTAAAGTACCATTATACAATATATAGATTAAATTATAAATAAGCAATTTTTTGATAAACAATTTTCTAAGTTGTTAAATTAGATTAAGTAATTAGAAAATTAAAAAAGTTAATCACCTAAATTCAGCAATCTCTTATAACCATTATAGTTTGTTATTTAAAACAATGTCCATTAAATGATATATAATGATGAAATATCAAATGGAAAACCTAAATATATTCCTCCAATTTTAGAATAAGATGTTTAATATTCTACTTAATTTACAAAGTTGTATAGTAATATTGAAAGATAAATTTTATATATTAATCAAACTAAAAAATAGAAACACTTCTCTCCCAATAAAATTAATAGAGTTTGTAAATACTTAGATTAATAGAAAACAAAATAAATGAACTGTAATATTGGAGAATTCTATGCTGATTTTTAAAATGACTCATAAATAGTTGGAAAAAACAAATTGATTAATTAGAAGTTTTAATCTTTTGATTTAAACAAAATTGCTTAAACATCTTTAAGTGTTGATAATTCATAACATTAAGAAATATCTAGAATTTTAAATTTTAATGAACAGTATTGAACTTATATATTATTTTGATTTATAAATTAAATAAATTTATTTCTTAATAAATTATAATAATAATAGTAATTACAATACTAATCTTATAAGAAACAAATAGTTAATTAAATATCATAATTTTTTTTAAGATTTTAAACAATTCTAGATTTTTTTAACAATAATTAAGAATTTCTCTTATAAATCTCTTATAAACTCTCTCAATAAAAATATAACTTATACGAATATTGATAATCCTATAGTTCCTATCATCAACCAACCTATCTAAAATCTTTGATCAGCATTTAATACACCAATCTAGAATTAAAAATTAATATATTACTATATCATCTAGAGCAAAACCTGTAGATAAAAGCATTAAAACAAATATACAAAAATCTGGAACTCCATTTTAAATAAGTTCAGCATTAGATGTAAATGGATTTTCATAAAGAATTAAGGCTATATTTAAGAAACTAATAAAACAACTGAATACTGTTTATAAGAGTGGTTAATAGTAGAAATATACAACTACAATAATAAATAATGCTTTTCTGTTCAAATTGATAAATGAATACATCATAGCTGTACTTGATTTAGTATTGATACTTTCATATAATGTGCCATATTAATTTTAAAAGATTTCATGATCCAATAACATATGATGTTTAGTTGTAACATAATAGGATATGATTAGAGTAAAGACACAGACACTAATACTTACATATGATAATATTTGATTGATGAATACAATTTAATAATCCATAAGACTACTAGGTATTGTTGTAATTTGTAGTATAATAGCTAATACTAAATCTAAAAATGCTAAATTTAAAGATTTAATAAAATTTGATAAAAAGTTAATCTTAAATTTATGCAAAGGTTAATAAATCTTGTCAATAAGATAAGGGAATCTCTTTTTTGGATTTAAAATTATTTTATTTTGCATTTCTACTTGAGCCTTTTACATTTTTATTTTAGTAAATTTATTCTCTGTATTTGATTTAAATTTGTTAGAAGGAGATTGTTTGGTTTCATTCAATTAGAATATTTTAATAGATGATAGTTATGTTTTCTATGTAACAGGAGGCCATATGAATTCTAAGATCACTAATATCAAACAAGAAAGAATTTAAACAGAAATTGTAATTGCTATGATGGCAAAGCAAGTCCATGTATTATTTAGGAATATTGGATCGACTCCTTTTTCCATGAATTTTTTAGGACTTTCAATATAATAAGGATCAGTAGGTTCATTTAAAACAAAAAATGCTGGAAATAATTAAAAATCTCCCCAAGCAGATTTTTGAAAGAACATTCTAACATTTTCAGGGAAATAGATATTTATATAATAAAGATTGTTGATCCAACTTAAAATATCCATAATAGTCCAAAAAAAGTTAAATCCACCTAATACTATAACAGTTGGAGCTATAAAATAGAGCATTTCTCCAAGAGCAGATTAAGCATTACTAGCACTTTCAGCTTATTAAACTTGATTTTAAGAATAAATAACTTTTTTTCTTGGAGTAATAATAATTTCTCTAGTTTCTTCTTCAAGTACACGTCTAGATGTTCTTACTTTAACAGGAATGAAAATATGTATGAGATTTCCAAGATCAATAGTTTTATTGAATGAAAAATCAATATTACATTTTGAGTTGTTTTCATCAATTTATTCATAATTAATAAAGGATTAAAATTCATTTGGAAGAAATTAATCAATAGTGATATTAATTTTAGTGCAAGGATCACCTTAATCAATAGGAAAATTAAGAAACATACTATCAGAAGTAGTAGAATTTGTATAAGTTGCTTCTACTTATGGTTATGGTATTTTAGTGCAGGTTGATTGTTTACAAGTATAATACTTTTCAACTTGACATTTGGAATCACATCCATCTCCATCTAAATTGTTACCATCATCACATAATTCACCTTCAACTATAATAGCATCTCCACATTTTGTAACACATTTACGATTAACAATATAATATCCTTTAACATTTGTACATTTGGGACATGTTCCTTTTTCATCAGGTTTAGCATCTATAATAGTGCATGTTAGACATGTTTTATTATCTTTACAAGTGTAACACATATCAGAACATTTGAAACATTCATTTTCTTTTAGATAATAACCATCATAACATTAATCACAAGAACTTCTATATCCTTTTAAAGAACATGTTTAACAATGAGGAACACATTAGAAACAGATAGATCTTGATAGCATTTTATTAACACAAGTAAAAAGTGAATCTATTTTACAATCTGTACAACCATCTCTACTATTTTTATTACCATCATCACATTATTCTCCTTTTGTTAATTCTCCATCCCCACAATTAATATAATTACATATATCATTTACTTTTCCTTTTATTGTTGTACAACTCTCACATTGATTCTATTCATTCTCAAAAAATCCTTTTTTACATATACATCTAGACTCAACAACTTCTCTATTCACTATTTAATAATAAATTTATAATTCTTACCATCAATGCAACTTAGACAATCTGATGCACTTGTACAAGTAGAACAAGGTGGAGAACATTCTATAATATAATTAATAATTGTATATTTACTTTAACAAACTTGTTTCTCATTTTCAAAGAATCCAATATTACATATACATGATACACCATCTTAATCTAGTGATCTATTTTCTGAACATGTTAAACATTCATGATCATTAAGACATTTTCCACATTTACTATTACATTTGATACATTCTGAATTATCATTTTAATAATATCCATTTGCACATTCACATAATTTATTTTCAGGATTCATCTTTCTTGAAGATATACAAATTAAACAACCAATATCTGTACCATTAACACAAGAAGTACAAGTGTTATGACATTAAGTACATATTCCATTATCATTTAAATATTCATTAGTTTTGCATTAACAAATATTATTAATAAGTTGATATTTTTTAGTGTCATCACAACTTAAACAATTATTGGCATTAGTTGAACAAGTTAAACAATTTGTTGAACAATCTAAAAAGTATATATTTATAACAAATACTTTCACATAAACCCAGATCATTAATAAATTAATGACTATCAAAACATTTACATACTGAAATATCTAATTAGAATTTTGTATCACAAGATAAACAATTAGTAGCAGTAGTTTCACAAGTTAAACAATTTTTATCACATTCTATATAAGATAATAAATAGTATTAATTACTTTAACAAATTCCATCAGAATCAAAATAATATCCATCTATACATTTACAAACATTGTTAATGGAATCTAAAATCTTATATTCAGCAGAGAAACAGCAATTATTTGAATCAGTACATGTCAAACAAGTAGGATGACATTGAATACAATCTGTTTGAGCAGCATTCATATAATGTTAAGATGGGCATGTGCATAAATTATTAGTAATAATCATGTTAACTCCAACACAACTTAAACATTATGTTGATGCATTAACACAATTTTAACAAGGAGATGTGCAAACTATTATAAATTAAACTTTATTTACTTTAACAAAAATCGCCAGATAGGTAATAGCCATCAATACAGGTAGTACAAACTGATGAACTAGTACAATTAGAACAAGGTGAATTGCATACTATCAAAATAGATATATATATAAATCTACATGTGCAAGTATTTGATAACATATAATAGCCATTTTGACAATCACAAAGATTAGTGTCTATATTTAATTATTTTAATTCAGATGCTAAACAACAATCATTTTAGTTAGAACATGTTGTGCAAGTAGGATGACAATCTATTATATATTATAATACATATATACTCTGACAAATAGAATTAATTGTATCATAAAATTGATTGGAAGCACAATTACAAGTTCCACCACTTATTATCATTGTAACATCTGTACAAGATAGACAATTTGTTGATTAAATTTAACATGTTTAACAAGGCTTAGTACATGCTATTATATTGTAATAAGATATAATTACATTAACAAGTATTATTCGATTCTAAGAAATAACCATCTAAACATGAATCACAAATATCAACAGTTGAACATAAAGTACATGGTGATACACATTCTTAAATTAAAATTAAAATATACATTAACATGACATATTTGCATCTATATAATATCCAGAGATACAATTAAGACATTAAGTTTCAGATGAGCATGTATTACAAGGAGAAACACAATCTATTTAATTATATATATAATTGTCTTACTTAAACATGTATTCATTGAAGATAAATAGTAAAAGCTACTTATACAAGTCTTACATTATAAATTTGTTTCACATGTTAAGCAAGGTGGTATGCATACTAATGAAATAATACAAAATATTACTTTCACACAATTGTAATGTATCATCATAATAATATGAATCATTAATGCAGGATTTACAAAGATTTAGATTATAACATGTTAAACAAGGTGATTAACATGAGACACATAAATTATTTGATAAATAGTATGAGTCATTTATGCATGTAAGACAATAATTTGAAGCTGTACATTCCAAACATGGAGATATACATTAAATACAAGTAATATCAATATAATAAGTTTAGTTAATACAGGATGTACATTCAGTTAATGAAATACAATTTTAACAAGGTGATTCACACACTAAATCATAATTATTTATTTTTACTTTAACATTCTATACTATTACTAAAATATCCATTTTAACATTCACATGCATTTGATAATGGATTATAAGAAGATAATGCCACACATTGATTACATGAAGTTTGATCAATACAATCCATACACAAAATGGGACAATACTAAATACACTGTCCATCTACAACCTATTACCCTGTTGGACATTAACATGTTGGTAATACTTAACCTAGGTATAAACATGAAAGACAATTAGTCACAGTAGTTTCACATGTAGAACATGGTGGTTGACACACTAAACAAATACTTAGTAATCATACATTCACATCCATTTTCTGTTAAAGTAGAATCATAATAACATTCACATTAATTATATGCATTAACTATTTAATTAGGACCACAACTTATACAGTAAGTTGGTTACATATAACATTCATAACAATTAGGATCACAATCTTAACAAATTCCATTCATATCTTCGTATTGATTAATAGCACATCTACAATTAAAATAGTTAGTATATATGTCAAGTATAAGTTGCTTTTTAGATTCAATTGAGCAAGATTAGCAATTAGCAAAATAATCGCTACATGTTAAACAATTAGGATCACAATCTTTACAAACATTTTATCCCAGATCTAAATATTACCTTGAACTGCATGAACAACCAGATAGTATTTTATTACATTTTTACAATTCTTAAATATAATCACATGGTTTAAATGGATCAATGCATTCAATTGTAAAATATATAAGATCACCTGCCAAATAATCAAAATATTTATTCCCTAATGTTCTTATCTTGAATTCAATTTATCCTGCTTTTTTCTTTTGATTAATAAAATACTAAGGCGAATAAGAATTCTATGTTGAAAGTCTTTTTAATGAGAATAATGTTGGAATAGTTAAAGGATACTATGAAATCCAATAAGTGATTGTAGCCCCTCCAATAGAAAATCCTGTATTTTAAGTACTCAAACTTAAATATTCATTGAAAGAGTAATAAACATAATCAGTAAATTCAAAGAATTGGTATTTCAACAAGTTTAAATATTGATTTGCAGTAAAATAAAAACTATTGAATCCACTTTAATTCAAATCAAACGATACACTAGATGTTATTTTTGACTATAAGCACCATCCTAAAATGCCTCCTGAAACCATGTTCGAATTTCCAGGATAAAGATAAGTAGAGCTAAAAGATCCTGAATAATGTTATTAAATAACATTTTAAAATCTTGAACTCTTACCAGCCACCCACTAAATCTTATACCTACCATTACTGGTTTTGCAAATCGCTCTTAATTCAAAATAATTGTTGTAAACAATATTTACAAAAACTTAAAATTCTATAGATTCTTCTAAATCTATATGTCCTATTAGACTTATTGCCACTAAAGGGGGACTGTAATAATTTTTGGAAAAAGATATCTAATATGTTGTATCTATTGGACTGTCACATTAAAATTCATATGTTCCTTCATCAACAGTTTAATCGGGTAAATATCCTAATATGTTTTGATTTTATAATTTACTTATACATTCTGGTGAAATACCATCATCAAAATATCCTGTAGGGCATTTGCATTCTGGTACATTAATACGAATACCAGCACAAATGAAACATTAAGTTGGATTTGCTTAATCACAATCCAAACATGTAGGATGACATTTAGGAATACATTCTTTACGTAATTCATTAGCTACATAGTAAGTTGGGCATGTAGATACACATTACCCTTAATATAAGTATAATCCCTAAGTAATAATAGGATTGATTACATTTAGACAATAAAAACATTAATCAATGGAATATGCACAAATACCATTATCAATATATTAATAGGGTGAGTAAAATCCATTACTAATTCTCACACTAGTTAATTAAAATGGTTAAGAATTAGAATCTAAATAATTATGTATATTTACTAGAGTTAGATCCTATATATAAAGTATCTGTATTTGTTATAGAGATTTCACCCATAAAGGGATTTAAACAGGAGATATTTTCATTCTAAATAAACATAATTATTGTCATTTGAACTAAATTAACAATACTCACCAAAAACTTTTATCCAAAAATCATACTACAAGAGAAACTTTGCAACGGCTATTTAAAATTAACATAAATGTATTGATTTATAAAATCAGCCTAAATTTGCATTATTTCTTATTAAGATCTCCTTGAACTAAATGTAAACAAAGTTGATTATTCAGATTATTGATTATATAATAATTAAAATTCTATTGTTACTGTTTTTTCGATTTTGAAATTATCAATATATATATACTATTGATTTTAGAATGATAATAGTTAGTCATTAATTATTATTTGTGGATCATTTATATCATCATCCAAAGAATTTCCCATTTGTACAATATGTTAATAATTGCTCCAATCTTTTAGAATCTTGGTTTGATATCTTTCATAAATTTTTAAATCTAGGACTACTTCAGGTTCCACATAAGACAATAAAGTCATTTAATCTATCATTTTTAAATCAGGAGAATCAAAAGTTATCATCTTTTTTATTGTTATTGAGATAGCTTAACCAGTAAAAGATTCAATATATCGAAAATCATAATAATAAAAGTAATCCCATAGGTCAGAAGTTGATTGAAAAAAACCAAAATATTAATAAGTGGATTCAGGCAACTCCATGCAATAAGGGTAAGGTCCATTATAAATTTGAACATAACAAATTTATTTTAATCCTTATACCTTATTTTATTTGTAATACACATATATCCAAGAATTTGAGTTGGATAGATTAATTTGACTCCAAAGATCATAAGTAGAATGGAGGACTTAAATATATTGTTAATAAAGCACTATGTTAACTGTTTTTTCGTTTATTTGCATCACCAGTTACTTATCATAATATCCATAATTGTAAATCCAAGCTAAATCTAAAAAATTAATACTTCCAATAATAAAGTTATCTATCAAGCTATTGATACCATAATTATTGATATTATAGTAATAAATATTTCCACTTTCATAACTACCTTAATTAGTTGTAAATTAAATCGGATAACCAATTATGCTAGAGCTTAAATTAAAGTTTTACTCTGATTCTAATGAATAAAATTGAGTCTCGGCTACAGAAATGAAAATTGCTAAAGTGATTACGTAATTAAACACCATATTTTAATATAATAAATTATAATGAAATCTCATATAACCTTGAAGATCACATCAATTTTTTATTAAAATTGATACCAAATTCAGTTGATGGAAATTTTAATTAATTTTTCATCAAAGAATTGTTTCTATACCTAAACGAACTGATAATTCAGAAGAAGAAATTTGTTTTTCTCTTCTTACATAGCTAATTTTTTCATTATTCTATATATTTGAATTATTCATAGGATGCTAAGCTATGTAAAATATTATATCAAATTTTTCAGTAATTTTAAGCAAGAGGTCAGAAATATTTTGACTGAACCCTTTTAAAGAATTTATTGGAATTATAATGACTGAACCTAAATGATTTTCATATAACTGAAATAAAGCGCATTCTAAATATTCTTCTTTAATCTATAATGCTTAATCCTGTACAACAAAATGAAGTACATTTTATTGGTTATGAAAATGAGCTAAACTAGAATCAGCATGATTATAATGATTATTCAATTATTGATAAGTGCAATTTATTTTATTACTTATTGTTTCTGAATCTGTGTCAATCAAAACTATATATTAATTATGATTGGGTTTGTTAACAATAACAATGAGCAATAACAACAAAATGCTCATTATAAAAATTAATTATTTTAAAACTAAGAAACCAATAATATCTATATCCGATTCCGCTATTATCTATTTTTATATAAATTCAATACCTTCTCTTATCTATAATCTACTTCACTCTAAAAAGTTTGTAAACATAATTGAATCTAAGTTAATACAAAAATGAATATAATTAATAACTTAATTAAAAATGGCTATGATGGTTCCCCCCTAGATGAATCCAAAATATAAAACTTCACTTTGTAAACATTGGACAACAACAGGAAATTGTAGTATTGGATCTAGATGTCATTTTGCTCATGGAGAAAGAGAATTGCGTAATCCTAATGATGTATTACAAATATTTATAAATTTATTTAGCCATTACCTCAATTACCAAGCCAAAATTTACAAGATCCTAAACTTCTATAAGTTTATTTCTCTGGAAGTTTGGGAATTCACAATTATAAAACCACATTATGCAAATATGCAAGCAATAACACTTGCAGATATTAAGAAATGTGTCATTATGCCCATTCACCAGAAGAAATGATTCCATTTGAAAAAGTTAGAAATGTTACTACACAAGTATTGATCTCAAATTATGTCTCTTTAATAAAGAGTCATTATTTGTTAAATAGTCATTCAATTCCCGGTTTTAATATCAATTAAGAATAAGTAGAAGTAAATATGCTCTTTTTTCATATTTTAGTTAGCATTACAAATGGAATTCCAAAAATTGATAGTAGCATAATAACTTAAATTTGTACTTAATCATCTAGATAAAATGGATTACACTTAATCAGAATTAAGACTTAAATTAAATACCGCTCATGAATTACTTAATGCCAATAACTTTCCAGGTTGTAGCTAAACTATCAGTGATATAATTAATAGACCAAATGTACCAACAGATGAAAAGAAACATTATTAAGATATTCTTTTTGAAAGTGCTTAAGAAGGGTTTAGGATTGTGGAAGGATATTAAAGATAAATATTTGAATTCTAGTGTGAATAAGCATAATAACTACAGGAAACATATTAGAAGAGTGAAAATCCATAAACTTTATTTGGTAATGCACCAACTCTTCCTACCACAAGTATTCCAGGATATCGGTTTTGATAAATATATATAAAAATTTTAAATATCTAATAGATATATATATATATTACATCCTTTAGAAAAATATGTACAATTAATAAATGTTTAATATTTTGATTAAAGCTCTATAAGAATATTCATAATTCCTTATTTTAAGTTTGATAAAAATTTTATATTATAAAATAGTTGTAGTAATATAAATAATAAGTTTAGATATAATAGAAATATGTAAATTGTCTTTTAGAAAAAACAACAAAATTGAACATTAGTTGATAAGTTTAACAAAAAGAATTTGATTTTAAACAGATCATATTTATAATTTTCCATTCATTTTAGATAAGGGTATTCTCAATTTTGAAAAATATTTGAAATTTCTTAAGTCAATTTTATAGATTCTATAAACCATATGGTTTTATATAGAATTATATTTATCATCATCCATAAGAATATATCTAAACTCTTCAAAATTTAAATTATCAAAAATAAAATAGAATAATTCAATTACATTAAGCACCAATATATTTATAGATGTGTACTAAGTGATTTAATATATATTTCATGTCTATTTATTTAAAAATTTTGATATAAATCCTGTCTTGTTAGGATAAAAATTTTGCTCTGTTTAACTCATTTATCTACTTTTAGATAGCAATTGCTGATTTAATTGTTCATTTTCCTTTATATATTTAGAATTAAGCATCATCAAATAAACTTCATTTTTTTCAGATTCTATCAACTACTAAGTCAACTTATCTATCCTTATCTTAAATTGCTCTTTTTCTTCATAATATTGTTAATTTAACAATTCTAATTCTTAAATATATTAAAGAGATGTTTTTTCATTCTATAATTGAAGTATTTCTTCTTTCTAAGTAGAAATGAGACAAAGTAATTCCTTTTTTAAATTTTATAATTCTAATTGCACATATTTAATTAGAGCGCTAAAAGTTTCAGCCAATTATTTCTTGATAGAATCAAACTTCATATTCTTCTCATCTACAACTGATTTCATTGCATTTAATTGTTATTGCAATTTTCTATACTCAAAATCTTTTAACTTTAATTCTAACTAAAATTGCAAATTCATAAATTATATAATATTAACTCATTATTGTTATTTCAAACTTTCGATAAAGGTTCATTCAATTAAATCAATTTAATCAATAATGAAATCACAATTCAAAAATATTATTAATTAAAATCATTCATTTAATCTATCTACAATATCACAAAGTAATTAACTTGTCCATCTTGCCTATTTAGGAATTTAATTTAACTATCCTAATCTTGATTCAATGTTTTCTAATTCCAAATGAGGTTTAAATCTCTACATAGCTGCAGATCCAATTGATAATTGATGATTCTCCTCTCTCATTCCTAATTACCCTCTAAGTTTATTAATCTCACTCTTTTCTACTTTAATCTTTTTAAAAAATAAATTAGATTACATTATCACGCATCCTTTCTATGGCCTTCAACTAATTTTATTGTAACAATTGTTTTATCGAATCAGTCATATAAATTAAATCATCCATCAATGTCAAATCAAATTTCTCAATTACTCGCTATTCCCCATTTACAAATTAAATATCTCTAATACAACAAAGACGAGAAATCTCTGAAAATTCATATAATTCCTCTGTCTAAGGATTTATTAAGATTCTATAAAGATTTTTTCTTATTCCTATTTAATTTTTTACTACCTGAAACAGTTTTCTTGAATTATTCAAATAATCCTTTTTTTACAATGAACTTATACTTTCAATAAATGAAGATTATGAATTAGATTATACAATTATTCAGTGAATCTCTTATATTATTAAGCTAAGGGATTACGAACTGTTTCCAACAAACTTATCTTCTTACGCTTATCTCCTTATTCTTTTAATGATTTGAATCTTTGTAAAGTAGTCTAACTTTCAGTTTAAAACAATTCCACTTCCTCTTTAATTTTTTTGATTGTTGCATCACCAACCAAAGGAGACCGAAATGTTCTTACAGAATTCAAATGATCTAAGTAGCCTTATAAACTATGATCTTTTTTAAATGTTGGTCTGGGAGTGGTGGATGTTTTTAATTTTTCTTTTGGACTTCTTTCAAAGATTGATTCTCCTTAATGGGTCAAATTTATGGGTTTGGTTGATTAAGAAACCAAGCGTCTAACTGGGGCAACAGTGTGAAATCGCTTAGTTGTTCTAGTTGGTTGTTCCTTACGGTGGAAAGTCAAGGTCTCTTAATGTTTAAAGATAGGAAAGACTACACTATTCTTTAAAATAAGACTCATTATAATAATATTAATTTATGGAAAACAAAAAGGAAATAAAAGATCAAGAGAAATAAAAACCAATTGAGAAATCTAAATCTTTAGTTCCCATGTTGGATAAGGAAGATATTGAGACTTTAAAATCATAATTGCAGAAATATGAAGATTTAAAATAGAAATATAATTTGTGATAGTAAATCATTATTCAAGAGTTTAACATCTTATTTTTATTAATTACAAATCTTTCATTTGTTTCATTGACTTAATTAGATAGTTCTTCTTTTAATTAGTTAACTTCTTTTTCATAGCATCTACTGTATTAAATTAGAGAAAGTTCTGAATTAAACTGCTTTTTGTTCTAGAACTTAAAGAATTTTTATTTTTCATTGTATAGATTGAGTCAGTTCTAGAGGAGAAATCTTTTTATTGTTCTGTTTCTTATTTTGACGGAGAACTACTCTCAGTCTTTTGATTTATTCCCAACTTTTATTATAGTTATTAATATTATATTGATTGTTTAAAACAATTTCTTTTTTACTTATTTTCTTCAAATTTCACCTAAAACAAAGCATAATCTTCTAAACACTTGGTAACTTGCTTTAAACTATTTTGTGTATTCAAACTTTAATTAGTTTAATTACTAGAGAATATACTGCTCCCTCTGTTAATCGTTGTGTCTAGTTTTCTTTAATATCGATTTGTTATTCCATAATATTACTTTTTACAATCTTCCTCTTAAGTACTTTAATTTCTATTCCTTATTAATTTTTTTGTAGTTTCTCTATGTTCTATACTTTTTTTGATTATGGTTTCAAATAAGAAAGTTCTAGTTTACTATTTTTTTTCCATCATATTCTTCAATCCCTTTACACATTATTATGACCCTTTTAATAAAAATGATTAAGCACTAATTTTATAAAATTTAGCCTATTGACTATGAACAACTACTGTATAAAAATAATTATCTTAGAATAATGATTCTTCTCCTATAACTTATTAATTATGTAAACTGCATAATAACATTTAATGATTTTGATGTTTTTTCATTATAGCCACTTCTCCTTCAAATAAAATATAAAAAGTATTAGCTTAATCTCCTTCTTAAGTAACTGTTTCATCTCTTAATTTAATTTCTTCATTGAAACTGTACATTAAACTTTCAATAATTAAAGTTGATGTTATTCTTTCAAAATATGGAATAACTTATTGAAAAACTTCTCTTTTGAATTCTGCATCTTTTTTGAATGATCCTAAAACTTCAAAAAATTCATTTCTATTTAAAGATATTAAATAAGTATCAATGTCAGCAATACAAGTTGCTGATCTTTAAGCATCTCTATTATTCTCCATTAATGCTTTTTCTCCAAAATAATTACCAGGATTCAAATCGTTTATTAAACATCCATAATTTTACATATAATTTTATAAGATATCAGACTGTAATTCAGTTTTAGATACAGTCTATTAACCTTTCATCTATTATTTTATTATTGAATATTATTATTTAAAGATTAATACTCTTCCCTCAATAATTAAATACATTTTATCATTTGATATGGCTCCCTCTTTTAAAATTATTGTTCCTTACTTAAAAACTTCCAATTATAATTTTGTACACAACTAACTTAAATGCTTTAGCTTACATGATAGATTTACTCCATATCATTCTTTAATCTACTTGAATTAAATAACTCTTAAAAAAAACTATACTTCTTTACTTAATTGTAAATAGTCTAAACATAAAATTTACTAGATATACCATTCCATCTGATAATTTGCAATGTGGTTTTGATAGTAAACCTATTAATGGAATAGATTGGTTAAGGTCTTCAAATTTCAACAACATTGCGTTATCACCTTGATTGTAGATGCGCTGTTAATATTTGTTTTAAATACTTCAGAATGAGGCTAGACCAATGAACGAGAAAACATAAAATTACAATTGGAATGAGTTCTTAGTTTGTAAGAGCCTTCTCTTACTGGTGATGAAGCTTCACTCATTTAATATTAATTAATTATATGTTATAAAAAGTTTAAATAATAAATTATCATTATAAATATCACTAAAAACTAATTCAATCATATTAAATTAAACAAAAGAATTGAAAGATTTGTAGTATTAATCCATATCAAAATATTTTATTTTATATAATTTATATCCTATTATATTTTTCACTAAGAATATACATTGAATTCTACAATTAATTATATTATTTTAAAGACCTATACTTAAATTATCTCTTATTTTATAAATACTATTTAGATTGTACCTTAAGACCATGAAAAATATGAAAGTTTGTCACTTTCTATTTCATCTTTATTATTTATTAGATTAATTTTTAAGTGATCAGTATTTTTTATAGAATCTTAATATCTTTTATAATATTTTTATTTCATATCAGTTCAATTGTAATCTAATATTATAATTTCTAAATATTTATATGAATCCTCATTTTTTATTTTAGAATAGTTAAAATTAACATTAAGATACTCTATTTATTAATTTAAATTCTAATATCTCTAAATTATAAATAATCTAGTTCATCTATGAATAGTTATTTTGGTTTTTAATTGATTCATAAATAATAAGAATATAAAAATGAATGAAATAACAGAGTTTACTATTCTTTAATTGAAAAGTTAATTGGAAAGTTCATTAGAAAACACTGGGTCTTAATCTAAAGAAAGCTTAAAATTATTACTATAATATAGTAGAATGCTTAGCAGTTATGCAGAATAGCAAACTAATAATAAAGCTATTACAATTCTGAATCAAGGTAATATTTATTTGTCAATTATTATTTAAGCTTTTAAAATGTTATTACCTGATAAACCTCCAAAACTCTTAAGTATTTAATTCTAATACTGGAGATTATTGATTATGACTGCTATTAAATTATGTAAAGCATTAGAGATTAATGGGTAGTTGCAGCAAGGCTTAAATGTATTGATATAGATTGAGAACATTACCAAATAATATAATAAATCACTTGAATGGGCTTAAAATGTAGAATTGGAGTATCTTTATTATCATTTGGCCATAATCTGGGAAAAATTATAAAATAAAGAAAGAACTTTTTATGCTGCTAATGAATGTATTTTACTACTTAAAAGTAATCTCAAAAATAAAGCAGAATAAAAACAAATACATATGATAGCTGAGATGCTTAAATTATAATCATAAACAAAAAATTCAATTCATCAATAATTATCTTACTTTAATTAAATACAATTTTATTAATCTAAATATTTGGGAGACAATCATAAAGAGACAATAAAAACAATAATGAGAATAAATTAACTTAAATCTGAAATTCAATTTGAAAAAGAAATAGAAGAATTCAGTAAAGAAGATTTTAAGAAAAAAATACCTTTTTAAGAAGTCTCATAAATAGATTTTTATGGAGAGGAAAAATCATTTAATTTAGAATAATAATAATAATAATAATAATAATAATAAACTAAATAATTTGATTCTAAAGAATATTTAAGATAAAGATTATTTAATTAATAAAAACAACTTGTTATACATGCTAAAAATAATTCTCAATCAAAATCATCTCTACGAATAAGTCATTAATCAAAGAAAAGTTTAGAAGATTTTAAAAGATTCACAGATACTAAAATTAATTTAAAAATTAATTCTAGAACATCTAGTTCTGGTGATAATAAATTTTATTATTTTTTAAATGTTAACAATTTACAGTAATTATTATTTTCATTATTAGAGGGAGAACAAAAACTGAAACTACATAGTATAGAACAACCTAGAGTAAAAATTAAGATAGATTAACACCATAAGGAATTCCTAGTTAATAATTTAGATGTAAAACTAATAAATCTAATGTATCACTTAATAATACCTAAAATTAATAAGAGTTGAATAGTGGCAAAAATGTAAAGGATGATGTATTTAAAGATTTAATGACTTAAAGACCTAAGAGTAGTATAGCTTAATAGAGATTAGCCAAACAATTATAAATGACAATAGGACATTAAGTTATAGTTAATAAAAAGTCATCTTAATAAATATAATTAAGCAATTCAAAGCCTGTTGAAAGAATGTTAAAAAAATTAAATACTTAAGAATTAAACCTAAAAAAAAGAGTATTAAATTTATAATAGCCAATATAACATTCTGAAGTGAGTACTAAAAAATCAAATTAAGCTTAAGAAATAGTTTTTGGCCCTTAATCTTAAAAATCAATTAATTTGGTAACATCTGGAGGTACATTATATGTTTTTAATAAGATGATCATACTTAAAAGAGGAGTGATCTTGATTAATTTGAATATAATTTAGAGAAAATAATTAAAATTTAGAGATTCTTTAGATTTAAATTAAAATAATTTCATAATTATGATATAAAGCATGAAAAAATAAATTTGAATAAATTTAGTGTAGGATTTGTTCATGAAGATGAAGATAAATTTGCTGATAAAACTCCTGCTTTACGGGGCAAATCAAATAATTTTAAATTTGCCTATTAAAGGAGTAACACATCTTCAGTAGAATCTATTAAATTTGCTAGCAAGAGAGATAATTTTTTATAGCCATAATTATTCTAATACAAATAAAAGGATCATTCATTTAATAGTTAAGCAAGTAGTAAATTAATAAATCAAAAATCAGGAAGCAATAGTTAGATAAAGTAAAATTAGTAAATAATAACATAGTGAATAATCCTCAGAATCTTTATAAGATTTTGAATAACTAGTTTTAAATATTGACAAAAAATGGTTTTATGAAGAGTATATTTAAGGTTAATGTTTCTTTTTTTGTGATGATCAAGCAGATTAAATTATGAGACTTTTAAAATTTAAAGCTAAATTTCTACATTAAAATGAGGATGATAATATTAGTCTCTAATGTGAATTAGAAATAGAAAAAGGTTTTCAATCTCATATTATAATACTTCCAATAATTTTATCAATGAAGAATTGGAAATTGTATGCAAAAATGAAAGGTTTATAATTCTTTTTAAATTTATTAAAAGAATTTGTAGAATAAAATTTCCCAATAATTCCTTAAACAACAAAAATTCTCATTTATAAAGGTCAATACTTTGATATGCTTTTAGAATCGATTATATAATTAATTTCAGTGATAATGAAGAATATATGTAGTGAAAGAAAGTTAGTAGGAGTAAAGTTGTATTATACAAAAGATGTTTAAATAAAGAAAAATAGAAAAATGATTTAATAATATTATTAAAAATAGAGACAAGAGCAGAGATAATATTATTTTAAGTCATTATAATTTTTTATGAATCACTATGATATAAGAATAAACAAAAGAGCAAGTTCAATAGATTTAAATCTTAAAGGTTTGATGGGCAATGATATAGCTAAGTAAAAGTTAAAAGCTGCTGAAAATGCTGTATTATTTGCAATTAAAGCTAAAACATCAATTTAAAATTAACCTCCTAAACCACCTGTTATTCCTTTGATGTTATTTGATGATGATAATGTTTAATCTCCTTAAATATTGGAAGTATCTATGAGAGATCCTGATGTTAATAGAATGTAATTAAAAAACATTATTAATCCTTAAAAAAGAAGATAATCAATTTAAGAGTAAGAAATGAACAGATTCAGTAATCTTTTTCAATAAAATTAGAAAGTACATCATTAAAGAAATCATTCTAATTTAACACCCAAAAAGACATCTGAGAGTATTTTTAAAAAGACATTCACAATTGAAACAAATCTATTATAATAAAAAATTTTAACTCGTCCTTAAACTATAATTTAATAAGTTGATTAATCATTTTCAAGCAAATCCTAATAATCTTAGACATCTTCTAATAATTAATCAAAAGATCATGATTTATAACCACCATCTATATCACATAGTGTATCATTAAGTTAATAACCTCCTCCTTCATTTAAGAAAAAAAATGTTGGAAATGTTTCATAATCTTAATAAGGAAATACAACAAATTCAGTTTAAAATTTACTTGATACATAATAAAATTTAGTTGCCCATTAATTATTTGATACATAAGCTTTAGAAGGTTTGGAGTTGATTCCTGAACAAGAAAATGAATTGGAGTAGAAAATAATAACTATATATTAAAAAGATGATCATTTTACAGTATCACCATAATGGAAGATAAAAAGGAAGGCTACTATTCATAATTTTTAATTTGAATATTTTTGGAATTAACACAAATAATAAAAAAAAGTATTTTAGAAAATTTATAATAATCCTTTTAATATAAAAGAAATATTAATGGTTGGAACATAATAAATTGATAAGTAATATTTTTTAATAAGTGTGACATAAATATTAAAAGAATAGATTTAAATATTTAATCAATCTGTATTAAATAATAAAGAATTAGTTAAAATTCAAATAACATATCGTTTAGCATATCCATATGATAATATATGGTAAGATAGTATAGTAATTAAATTTAAAGAATTTATAAAATGGTTTGTACCAGATTTTGAATTATCTAGTTATATTTAATATTTTGGATTGAGTAAAAATTAAAAGATTCAAGCTTTGTCTTATTTAGGTCGTTATGCACACATAAAAGAATCAAAAATTAAATTAGAATATTATGAAGAAAAGCGTAATAAAAATAAAATCAAATAACAATAAAGGAGGGATATTGAAATCTCAAGAATGAAATAAATTGAAAGTATGTTAATCAGAGATAACATGGATTTATATTACATATAAATTTTAGGATTGAATAATTTATATTAAGAATTATTGAAGGAAAGAAAGATATTAGAAGAGAAAATAAAAAGAAAAGAAGAGAGACTAAGACTTTTTCTTTAATTAACTGATCCAAATAAATTAGACCCAACAACTTAGTAACCAAAATATATTGGATATGATTATGATGGTGATTCTGAGGAAAAAACAATTTAAGTTCCACTTAATCTTTAAATGTAAATTTTAAAATCATATAATACTGTTGTTTATTTGAAATAATAAAAATAAATAATTAAGATACAATCTACTTATTTAATTTGGGAAGGTGACAATATCAAGATGTGGAGACCATTCTAAAGAAAGATTTGGCAATAGGTTAAGATTGAAAATAAAGATAAACTTATTAATGCTATTCAATGTAAATTAAGAAATTATATACTTAAATAAATTATAGTAAAGATATTAAGTTTAAATGGTAAGAAATATATAATAAAATAATAAAAATAGTTTGTATAAAATAATTCCTCATAAGATCTACTTTATTAATATTTTTAATTAAAATAATTTTCAAATTAGTAATTTTATAAGTTTTTAAGTATATTACGTGTTTAATTATTGTAATTAGATGATTGTTCACACTTATGGAATTCATATTTTAAATAATATAAATAATTATAACATTGTTATATTTCTTAAATTGGGGATTGTTTATTAGAAATTATTGTATTAATTGATAATTTTGCATAAGTGTTAAATTAAAATTTGAATAGATATGTATTTATAAGAATCAATATTTATGAGAAATAGAATATGAAAACAAAAATGCATAAATTAGTTTTAACTCTTGATGATTTACATATAACATCAAAGAAATAATATGATTTATATAATGAAAATATAACCCAAATTATTTTTGATGATGTATAAAAATTGATGCATAAATATGTAAGTTATGAAAATTAAGGTGTTACAAAAAATCCTACTTTAGTAATTAAGAATAGTAAATTAAATAGAACATTTAAATTAGTTAATTCATTACCTTGGCTTCATAATTTTAATTATGATGAATTTTAAGTAACACTTTACCCTTAAAAATTTTAATTCTATCATCCTTAAGGGTTACATCCTAAAATAATATGTAAAGTTGTTAAATTTTTAAAAATTCCTTAAGTATTTTCAAAAAGACATCATTCATTTTATGATAATTATGAAAAATAATATGATAAATTATAAGAAGATTTTACTTTTAGAGTACCTTGTATAATTACAATAGAGAAATTTTAAGAAATTTCAAGTTTTTATATTTATATTTATTTTCCTCAATTTTGCAGAAGATTTATTACAAAATTACATTTTGATGATATATTAATAAATTAAGATTTCAATTTAAAATTAAATTTTTAATTTAAAGAATAATTAAGAATTCATAGAAGTGAAAAATTATGGTAAAGTTTAATAGAATCATTTAAAATTGTAATTAATGATTAAAAAAAATTAATTTTGTAAATTAAAAAATTTAAATTGTCTTGTATATTATAAGAAGTAGTATATTAAAAAATAAAATAAATTGAAAAGAGTTAAGAATCAATTCTATTTATTGTTAATATTGAAAAAAAGATTGAATAAGATCCAGAATAACTTTTGATTCATTATCCATTTGAAAGAATGAAATTACAAGAAGCTAAGAATTATAGTATGTTTCTAAAATTATAATGGCTAAATCAATATGATAATATTTAATCTTATAGATTACCATTATATGAATTAATGATTGGTTATTTTGAAAAAACAATAAAAGGTTTTAATATGTTTGATTATAAATTTAAATTGGTAGATTTGATAAGAATGTGTTAAATTTCAGTTGAAAATATTATTATGAATTTTTCTATGAATTAAACAATTAATTACAATAATACATTAGATTAATTGATGCCCTAATAACTTACTTACAATATTAATCAAACTATTAAATTAAATATCAATTTAAAAACCATATAAGTAGATAAATCAATATATAAATTATTGTATAGAGGAGTATTATTGAGAAAACCATCAATTTTAGTAGGTATATACTAAAAGTTACATAAACAATAATTATATTTTTATATATAAAGAGCAAAAGATTGTGAATCATTTATTCATAAAATAAGATTTTAAGAGATAGAAAATATTTATCCAGGATTTTAATTGAATTTATAAATTAATTAAAGATCAATTGGTCCTAATATTTTTAAAATACTTAAAAATAGATTGATTGTCTAAAGTTATTATCAATTAAATTGAAATACTATATATCAAAGTTTTTGTTTTGAAATATAATAATAATTAAGTATTAAAATATGCATATTGTATTATTATAAGTTTCCAATTAGAATTAAAGAAAACATAGCATACAAGAAATTTGTATGAATATATCATTTATTTATTTAAAAATGTACTTTTCTTTTTGATTCTACATCACCTTAAGTTTACATTTTTCGAAATTAACTATATTTTAATTCTTATTTCATTATGCTTTTTACAGATTTATTATCAGCACTATTACTTCTATGACTATCATTTTCACTTTTTTCTTCAAAAGTAACTCTATGCTCAGAAAATGACTTTAATTTATTTAATTTTTTTGAATCGAAAGACCTCAAAGAGTTTTTAGGTTAAAAATCACAAAGAGGAGAATCATCTTTTCTTTTTTTCTTTAATGAACGTTATGATATAATAGGACTTTTTTGTACATCTGCTATCTGTTTTGGTAAATCCTCTAGATTCATTACAATTTCTGCAACTAATTAAATGTCTTTATTAGAGTATTCAGACCGTTTACTTCCTAAAGACCTTAAATCTGCAAACCCAGGAGTTGCAGGATCTTCACATTTATTTGGATTAACTGAGAGTTTCTCCTTTTGGGAAGGTGACTTAAATTGGAGCAAACATTATTCTTGTTGCTTTTTTATAGATTTTTTTGAGGATTTTATGGATGATTTCTCAGTGTCTTCAATTTTAAGCACAATTTCAGATTATTAGTCACTTGATAAAGAACAACAATTTGAGCTTCCCATAATTTAATGTAATAAATAATACTCACTAAAATTCTTTTAGATGAACCAAATATTATCAAAAAGTAATGTTTCTTGAATAAGATTGATTGAAACATTAAGAAAATTGAATCTAAAAAGATAGCAATTTACAAACATAAAATTAATAATAGATACTATAAGTGAAATATTTTGAAAAATTAAAATGAGCATAATTTTATTATAATTATAGTATAGTATAATTTTATTAAAATAGTTAAATGAAATAATTTCAAATATGTATGAAAGATGATCATAAGATTAAATTGTTCTCTTTCATATTTATTGAATAAAGGTAACTAATAAAAAAAATATTTTTTGTATTATTTAATTTTTATTGAATATGATTACATATATAGAAGGTTTTTAAAAGAATGTGATAAGAGAATAAATGCTAAAAATTTGTGATAAAAATAGAATCTATTAAATTTGATAATTTAACTGAAATTTTTATTTATCTGTTAAAATTATTATTATATTTATTTATCTGTTTTAATGGGTGCAGAATAATCTGTAGCACAAGGAATTGTTAAATCAAAGAACTTTACAATTTTAGGTTATAAGGAAAATGAAATTTATGGATCTTTCAAATTAATTGAATCTCAATCAAAATAATATGCCATGGTCTCTAAGACTTGTTAGAATTATGAAGATTATACTAATTTATGTTAGATACTCAAAGAAACTAAATCTCTGAATGAAATTGATCATTTAGTAAAATTAGTAGAAGTTGATACTTAAGAAGAATCTAATTTATGTAGTACATTCTATAGAGTCACTGCTTTATATGAATATTATGATATAAGTTTAAGACAAATCACAAAATAAGCATCAATAAATTGTTTATTTGTTTTGAAGTGTCTAGCAGATATACTGAGCTAATTATATGAACATAACATTGTCCATGGAAATTTAACTCCAGATCATATATTAATTGAGAAGATAAAAGGAGAAGTAAAATTGAATAATTGTACTCAATTAACTGGATATAATCATTACAAAAGAATATTATCAGGTGATAGTTTATGGTATTTATCACCTGAATTACTTACTGCATTAGGTAAGAAGGAACTCAGACCTTAATATAATCACGAGAAGAATGAAGTATATCAATTAGGATTGATAGCTTTAGAATTTTGGGGAAATTGTAATATTTCAGAGATTTATGATAAATAGAATTATAAAATGAATGAAAGTATATATTATTTAATATATGATAGATATAATATAGGAATCAATAGATGAATTTGGAGTGAGAAATGGATATGTATTAAAAAATGTGATAAAATAAATGTTATAGGAAGATCCAAATGCTAGACCAACAATGACTGAATTGAGTTAATCATTTAAACAGTTATTTGATATAAAATAATAAGTGGAAGAACCAAAAGTTTAAAATTATGAAGAGTAGGGAAATTAATATGAATAAACAAATAATTATTAAGAAATAAACAAAGAAACACATGAAATTTAAGATGAAATATTATAACCTAATAAAGAATCATTTTAATATTAAGAGGGAACCTAGAGGGATATTCAAAATGAAAACTCACCTAGAGTTTAATTTGAAGAATCACCTAAAAAAATGGAAAAATAAAATGTAGATTTTAATAACCAATCAGTAAAATAGTCTATAAATTAATCAATAAAAGAATTCTATGTAACAGGATCAATTGCTGCTTAATTTGGATAATTAAATTTACTTGATAGTAATTCAGACTTTAAGACAAATGGAATAACTCAATTAGAAAATGATGGAGATGTACTATAAGAAAAGTCATAAAATCATCCTACTTCACCTAAAGGGTAAGATTCTATCAAACCAAAAAAGAGTGTTAAGGTTAATACAGCTTCAGCAAACAAAAAGGTAGTTTCAATAAAAAGACCTAAACATGAGATTATGGATACTAAATTACCTAAATAAGCTGTGGTTGTGAGCAAAAAAAGATGATATACAAATTATATTACTATAAATTATTATTAATCTTATTTTCAATTTCTTAATAGATTCTAATATAAGGAATTCGAAATTAAAACATAAGTGATTATTTCCATAATTGGGTGGATAAATCTAAAACTTGTTCATTTTTTAGTAATAATGTTTAATGTAGAATACCAAATAGAATTTTCATATAAATTTATAGATTCTAATTGAATATATTAAATCTTATTCTATAAATTAAGTTTTTGTCCTTAATTTATAAAATAAGATAAGAAAATCTGAAATTTTATATAGATTTAATTTCATTATTATATTGACTATATAAATAAAATTCGAAATAGAGTAATTTAAAAATCTCAAATTAGAAAAAAGAAAAACTTTTTTAATGATGAATTAAATGTTGCAGATAGTAATGTTTAATTCTTTTTCTATTAAACATGATCCTAAAATTTGATTTTATATTTAATATCATTAAAATATTTTTGCAAATTCTGTCTTAAATTCTTCTGCTCCTTCCTTGGTTGTAAACATTACTTTTAATATATCAACAGATATAGAATTCTTTTCATCCTTTTCACCTTAATCTCCTTATTTACTATCTTATTTTTCTTTTCTACTAATAGCTTTAATAATTAAATTTTCTGCCTTCTATCCCAAGGGTTTGATCTCTGAAAATCCTTTGACAAATTAGCCTGTATACAATGATTATTATATTGCATTTCTAAATAGTAGATAAATACAATACCTATAAACAAGATAGTAAGATTCTCCAGTTTTTGTTTTTTCAATGGCAACAGATCCCTTTTCTAAAATATCATTAGTATTTTTTCTAAACTTTTCAATATTTACCTTTAATTAAAACTGCAAATTACCTTTACTAATTATTCTGTGTTTGAAGTATAATTATATTTCATTACTATTTATTATGGTTCATCATCTTCTGGTTTTTACTCATCCTATCCTATAAATATTAATATTTAATGAATACCATCATCTTCTCCAGGATCACTATCATCAGATTTTGGAGCCTTATAACTAATGCCAAACAAAGATGGTCCTGGTTTTGTTAGATCTACATTAACATTGCTTAAAACAGAAGGTCCAGAACTGAAAATTCCAGTTGTTGGTTAGGATGACCCAAATAAACTTCCTTAAAATATTGAGGATGTTTAATTGTTATTGAATAAATTTTATCCATTTATCATTGATCCAAATAAACTTGGAACTTTATTTTCTGTCTTTTATGCTTCATTTTTCTCTTCATTCTATTATTTATTTTCTTAAGGTGTATTTTTATCATCCTCTTAACCTTTATGAGACTCATCCACTTTTGTTGCAAATTCAGCGGATTATTAGGCCATGAATAATTTAAATATTTAAATTTTTATATATGTGCTTTTGAAGAATATGAATAAAAATATCGAAATTCAGTTCCTATTCAATTAATCACATTAGGATCTGATTGTATATCTTCTTCTTGATCATAATAATCTTCTAAACCAAGGTTAACATAATAGTTTCCTTATGTTTCATAATTAAGAAAATCCTATTAATCAAGAAAAAGATATTTCAATTATGATATGAATTCCAATACTTTGATTTAATAAAAACACATTTTTTTTTTGTAAATTTCAAATATTTCATCTGATGAAGAATTTAAAAGATTATTCATATTTAGATCTTCATCATCACCAGTTTTAATTATTTAAATCAAGAGGTTTTTAAAGATAACTTAAATATCTTTTAAATTTTTTGTAGCTAAGAACTTTTCAATTTAACAATTTGTAATTTATTCAATTGAAAATTTATTTTCTAATTATTCTAATATTTAAATTAATTCATAATAAAATTGTTCATCTAATAAAAAATAAAATTTCCTTAATAACTTATACCATTATTTATTTTCTAAATGTTAATTTTCATATTTATTAATTTTACAATTTTAATCCTTAAAAAAAAAAACAACTATTCTTTATTTTATCTTTTTTTTTTAAGAATTTTATTAAAGATAATTATTTGAAAAATTTACCAGAAATTCAAACAAAGGTTAACTTTATTTTATTTATTTTTGTAATTCCTCTTTTTACATTCTTTTAATTTCATCTTTTTCATTTTTTGAATTTCTTTTTGCTCCAGCTAAATGAATAGAAACATGTCTTCCATTCTTTAATAAAAAGTATAAAATATTTTTAATATATATATTACTACTCCAAATATTTCGGTTATCAATTTTAGTATTATTTATGTTAGGAGGCTTACCTACATTTTTTTTTTTAATTTCTTATTTTCCTTATACTTTAGAATTACATTTAATTTTTGAATTTTTATGAGCTTGATTTGATTTTTTGATCCTAATTTTTTTTCTCATTATTTATTTGATTGTAATTCTATTAAGAAAAGAATATAATAACATTTAATTATATAAGAATAATTTTTTGATTTATAATTTATATTTGATTATTAAACTAAATTAGTAAACATAATTTGTAATATATATATAGAAATTTAAATAAATTATCATATAATTATATAATTAGATTTTTTAAATAAATAAAATAGATTATAAGTGTAATTGATATATAAATTCAAAATAAATCAATATTAGTTAGGTCTTTATATAATTAATTATTTAATTTTATTCTAAAAGATATAATTTCAATATATTACCTTTTCTAAATACCAAATCCTACCATATCAAATCTAAATATGTTTTCACTAATTTTTATTTCCATTTTATCTTCTATTCTTAATGGTTGACTTATTTTTTATTATGTTGGATTTAATGGATTTTCATATTATTATAATGACTACCAAGTACCATTAGCAGATTGTTTTATTCCTTCTCCATCACTTATTTCCCATTAATTTACATTAAATTTAATTTATGTTTGCTTTCTAGAAACTGTATTCATATTAACAATAATATCACAATCCTAAGACCTTCCTATTTTAAATATATTTGATCCTCCTGGTCTTCCAATAAAAATAGCCATCTATTTTACTATAGGAGTATCAAATTATATTTTTAGAAAAGGACGATTGCAATTTTCTAAACTATATTATTTTTTTCCTTTTTTCTTCATTTATGTATAATTTTATAAATATTCTAGCATTTTATATCAAATATTTATACTTTAAAATATATCTTATTCTTCTTTTGATAATCCATGTATTCTGGCTCTATCTCTAATATGTTCTCTAACAAGAGTTTAATAAAAATAATCAGTATCTGTTTCTTATTATCTTTTATCTTCAAATTTTAGATTATAAGTGCTTAATTAAACAACATGAAAATAGAAATCAGCTCCAATTAAGTATTTATTATTTTCATTAATTATTCTTGGATTATCTTTTTAAATTCTAACTAAGGTTTAAAGTGATGTTCCACAATCCTAAATATAAAATTTTGGTTGTTCTCTAAAAAATAAAAAAATAACTTACTTAATAAATTGATGAATAAGTCTGAATACATTTGATGGCAAAGCAGCAAAACTAGAATTGAACTATTTCAATGAAAGAAATAATAGGATCTAAGGAGTTATTCTACTAGAATATTTAAATCCAAATTCTGTTGAAATTTTACAAGGGACTTAATCAATATTAGATTCTATAGGAGTGAGACCTTAAAATTTATTCAATTTTTCTACCAATATCCAAATTATTTTCACTAGATCTTGAAGTTTTCTTTCTTCTTATTATTTAGATTTCATTTTTGTGAATTTAATTACCCCCTATGATTCTAACTATAAATGAGAAACATTACTTGTCATCTTGAAGTATATATGTTTTTTAATTAGTTTATTGATGTTATTTGTAAACATTAATCTTTAAATGTGGAGAATCTCTATTATATTCAGACTTGATTGTCTATAGAGCTACAATATTTTAATCGTTTCCAATTTAACTTGAAATGTTATTTGGAATCTAAAATATTATTAAGAAATTTACAAAATTTTCTATATTCATTTCATTCTCATTTCCATTAGTCGCTATAGCATTTCTTTATAGCTATTATAAGTTGAAAGGTTAAATGAAACTTTAAGGATTCATAATATCTAGGAATCTTAATTATTCTTACTATTCAAGTGATTATTAAGAATTTAACTAAAGTTTAAAGTGCTGGACATTTAAAAAAATTTGTTTTAATAAGAAATATAATTTAAAATTAATATTAATACGAAATTTTGTTGTCACAAAATTTCAATATCATGATTTATTAAATACTTTTATGTTTAAAACTTACTATTTACATTAAAATTATGTCTATTTTGATAAATTACAATTAGACAGAATGGTTTTAAGATTTTTACTTAAAATGGATGTTAATTCCTTTTGAGCGTTTTATTTACTATAATTAATATTTTGCTATCCTTTAATAATACTATTATTATATTATTGCAAATTAATCACTTTGTAAAATATAGTTAGTTATTTAAATCCACACAAATACAAACTTTATTTATACATTGTATTAAAATCTATTGTTTATTCCATCTCATCTATATATTTATTGATTTATTATTCAATCTTAATTTAATTTCAATTATATTAAGATGAATTTATATTCCAAAGTATAATACTATTACTTTTTATAAATGATTTCATTCACAAGAATTCAAGCATATAAACAATTATATAGTTTTCCTTGAATGATCTTTAAAATATAATTATAAAATAAATACTTTTTATAATATCAGAGTTTGTAAATTGAATAGGTAATCTAAAATTTTATTAGATTTTAGAATCATTACTGAAACACTATATGTAAAGACATAAGAGAATATGAAAAATTATTAATTGAAATAAATAAATTATTTAAAATATAAAAGAACTTTTATCATTTGAATTTCCAATAATTATAAAAGCTCTATTGAATTAGTTTACAATTTATATTGGTTGTTTATTATACCTTAATTTATATTGATATTCTTATTATTAGGTTATAAATTTAAACTAATAATTGAGAGCATCAATTGAACAAAAGAAAAAAAATAAAATTTAATTAAATTACTTAATTTATTATTACAAAAAGAATTGATAAATTTATTTATTTATCAGAGTGAAAGCAAATTTGTAGAATATAAATTAAATGGTTATATTAACTTTTTTATAGTTCAAATTAATAATCCTATATTTGATTCAGATAAATAAGTAAAGTCTTTATATTTACGATATTGCTTATGATAGTATTTAATCTTATATATATTAATTTAGTATATGATTAAACGACTAAAATTTAATACAGAGTAGATTAGAAGAGCATCATCTGTATTATAGAAAATCGACCTGAGAATGAGTTCAAAAGATTTTTCTAAGTATGTAATCATGAGAGTACAGTTATCAAGACATCATAGATATAATGATTTTTATACTTCTGAAGCCATGTGAACTAAGATCATTAGCAGATGTTGAACTTTTAAAGTAGGCTACAAGATCTCTTGATTTTTTTGCAAATTTAGGTTCTGATCTTTTACATGAATAATGTTGTAGGAATCTTAGACATAAATATGTTCCAATTGGATATTTTATATTTAAAGAAGGAGAATAAGGAGACAATTTTTATTTTATTATAAGTGGTCGAGTATAAGTATTGAAGGATTTCAATCCATCAGATCCATAAGCATCAATATTTGATAATGAAATAAAATAATTGTCAAATTTTGAGACTTTTGGAGAAAGAGCTATGGATTCTGATGCACTTAGAACAGCATCTGTTAGAGCTATTGAGAATACACATCTTGCATATTTGAATAAGGATAGTTATTAAATAATAGCTAAGAGTGTTAAAAATTAATTAAAGAAAGCTTATTTTGAAGAATTTGCAAATTTAGATTTTTTTCATAACTGGAGATTTTAAGATATAAAAGTATTTTATGATAGAGCATATGTAAAAAAATACTCAATGAATGCCACTGTATATAAGGAAGGGGATCCATTAGATTATGTATACATAATTAAAAAGGGGGAGTTTAAGATAGTCAAAATAATAAAGACATCAACCATAGATTTAAATGAAATGTTTAAAGGTGATTTTGAGAAGATTTTGTGTGGTATGAGTACTCCAAGAACATATACAATTTCAGAAAGATTAGAAGCACGATTTTAAAGAAAGAAATATGGTAATTTATATTATATGGAGAAGAAAAAACCTGTAACAATCAAATATATAACTACTGGTTAAATGTTTGGTGAAATGGAATTTTTAATGCAAGTAAACTTAATATATAATTAAAGTAAAGAATAATAATACAAGAACTCACTCAGTTTATTCAGTTACAGAATAATCAGAACTTTATATGGTTAAAAGAGAATATTTTGAAACCATTTTAGACAAGGTACCATCTATTAAAAATGCATTGATTTAATTGTCTGAATAGAAGAATAATAATTTTATGAGATAACTATTATAATATGAGAAACATTTTAATGATTTGACTGAAGTAAAAAAAGACTTAGAGAGAAATATTAATTTAGATTTTTTATAATTAGGAAGTACTGAAAAACGATTGCCTTCTCCAGTATTATAATAAATCAGATCAACTTAACCTGTAGTTAAAAAAGTAGTGAAAATACCCAAAATTGAAAGGGAAGTTTAGAGGATAGAAACAAAAAAGAAATTTTTAATGAGAAAAAGAAAAAAAAGTGCTTTTAAGATACATTATAGTAATTCTGAAATGGATGGCAGCTAATATAATTTTATTAGTTCGATTAAATGAATAATTAATTTATTGTATATGAAATCCTAATATAATTACTCTTAAATTTAATATGAATGTATCGTAGTTCGTAAACATTTCATTAGTGATGTGAAATATTACTGCTATGTTCTAAATGATTATCTTTTAATGAGTAGAGTAAGATTACTTACTATATAGAAAGCGAAAGATTAAAGACCCAAATATGTCTATAAATTATAATTAAGTTAACAAGTTGGATGGATTATAGAATTAAAGAACAATAAACTTTTATTAAAAGCATTTACAATCAGATATTAGAATAAGTTCAAAGACTTTACAGGAAAATCAGAAGACTTACAGAAGTAATTATATATCAAATATAATAGATTAAGAGAACATTTAAAGAATAAGGTGACATTTTCTAAGATATCAGATTTCTATGAGGCACAATATAATTTAGGGAAAGGAAGTTCTGCAAAAGTAATACAAATAAAAGAGATTGGAACAGAATCAGTAATATTAGCAGCCAAAGCCATAGATAAAAATTATCTTTAGAGAAGTGAATTTGGAATGTAAGCATTTTTAAATGAAGTTGCTATTCTAAACTTTCTTAGTAAATAAAACAGTAATTCACCATTTATAAAATTATATGAAACATTTGAGGGCGATCACACATATTATTTAATATTAGATTTATTACGTGGAAGAACTTTAGCAGAAGAAATAGATTTATTAAAAGTATTATATAATTGATAATTTATTGTATAGTAAAAGAAAGAATTGCTATCATTAAAGTCAGTAAAAATAATAATGCAACAGTTATTAGAAGGAGTAAAGATTCTTCATGAGAATAATATTATACATAGAGATCTAAAACCAGATAACATTATGTTCCGTGAATAAGATCAGTATAATACTCTTATTATAGTGGATTTTGGATTGTCAACCTTTACTGATGTATCTAAATATTAATTTCCAAAATGTGGAACACCTGGATATGTAGCTCCTGAGATTTTAAATTTAATTGATAGAGAATTAAAATATGATAAAGTTTGTGACATATTTAGTTGTGGATGCATATTTTATAAATTATTATTTGGAGATAGTTTATTTTTTGGTAATACATTTAATGAAGTATTGATTTAAAATAAAAAATGTAATTTTATTCTTGATGGACGTGATATGGATATGATTTCTTTAGAAGCATAATAATTATTAAAAAGAATGCTTACAAAAAATCCAGCAGAAAGAATTACAGCTAAATAAGCTTTGGAATCTGATTTTTTCAAAAATTAAATTACTTTATCTCCATAAAATAGTATTAAATATTAATTATTAATTCTAGTTATGAAAATGTTTAAAACTAATAATAATACAAGTAATAAAAATATTTTTTAACCAACTGCTGATGGATAATTATCTGAAGCTGAATCTCCTTTTTAAAGAATTTAAAATAAACTATTAAATTAAATGGATTTTGATGCTGATATATCTGAAAATAAATCTTCATTCATTTAAATTAAATAATTACCACAAGTTAAAAAACCTTCTTGTGGTAAAATAGAAGATTCTACTTTAGGAAGTTTCTATACTAAAGATCCTTTAAATAGCTTTAAAAAATTAAAAGCTAGTATAATATTTTTTATTAAATTAAGTATCTCTTAAAAATTTGAATGAGTCGTAAGATAGTAAATGTAATCAATAAGAAATTGATTAGATGTAAAGAATCTCGTTATTTAATAGATAAAAAGATAATTGATTTATTTTTAATACTTCAATCAAGTTTATTTACATTCATTGTTAGTAATGTTAAAAGATCTTGAACAATTAATCTTTCCTTTATTATTTCTTGCAATTTTATAATCCTTATGCATTAAAAAGACCCATCAACATTTTATATGGAAATTATTTCTATTAATAAATAACTTAATTACTTAATGATTATTCATATATTCAATAATTGTATCTGCTTAATTTGAATTCAACATTTTTATATATGATTCATACAAACTATTTTCAATATTAAAAGTTTTTGATACTTTATAATAGTCATTTAACATAACTTCTCTACCAATATTATTAACTTTCTTAATTCTTGAATAAACAACTGCAAAAAGATAAATTATTTCATCATAATACAATTTCTAAATTTCTGTTAATTAATGTTAAGATAATCCTTACAATTTAATTTCATTAACAGAAATTATTTTATCAATTAATTGAATTCTCTATTAATCATCCTTATCATTCTATTTCAACTCATATTTACATTGAACTAATTGAGCATAAAGTTCTAAATTAATACAATCTCTAATTACTAATTCTTAAAGTTAACCTATAATTGAGTTTAATTCTGAGTAAAATGGTTTAAATTCTTAAAATACTTCCTTAATTGAATCAAATTCATTTATGACAAAAATTATTGACTCTATGTATACAACTCTATCCATTATATCAAATGTTTGACTCTTTTTCACTTTAAGATCTTCTGGAATTTGAATCTTTTTTAAATATTTAATTAAATCACCATATTTCTCTCTATATATAATTACTTAACTATTGTGTTCAAATTATTAAGTATATTGATCAGGTTCTTGTTTTGGATCATAATTAAAATTTAAAGTATCTTCAAATATATATCTTTTATGCTCATCTAATATCATAGGAATGGCTAAAGTATATATATAATAATTAATTAAGAATATCAATTCTTCAATTAATTTTTCTTTATGTTATTAAAAAAAGTGTATGTATAATAACTATTATTGAATGATTATGTATATTTAATTAATAGTTTAAGTCAATGACAATGTTCTTTCTTTTCCTTAATAAATTAAACTTGAATTATTAGTTTATTTTTTAAAAGAAACAGTTGAACCCATAATTAAATCAATAATTTTCTTGTATTCAATTGATTTAAAAATATTTAAAGTATCTGGAAATGGATCTTTATATTCAAAAATATGAAATTTTTATTATTTATTAGCAATTTATAGAACAATTTATGTTTAATTGAGTGTAATTTTCATACATTTCTTACAATCTTCATTTATTAATTATTCTTTAATTTATTTATCATTACCTCTTGATTCCAAATAATTACTAAATTTATCTTCTATAAATGTTTTATATTTCTAAAGATTTTAACCTCCAAATACTTCACATTTAGATATTAATATAGTTAACATACCAAAAAAACAAATCATATCTTCTTTGTTCATTCTTGGCCAACTTGTTGTTTAATTGATAAAATCACATATTCTATCAAAAACCTTTTCATAAATTAATTTTCTTAATTCAATAATTGATGAATTTTAAGAATAATCTAAATGAAATCTTATTATCAAATGAAAATTCATAAAAAAATGAATTGTTTAACAACATAATTCTCTATAAAATTCAGTTAATTAATCCTTTGAAATTTAATTTAAAGAATCTGTTAAATTATCAAAATAAAAGTCAATTGATAAAATTTAACTAATTTAATCAAAAACTATTTATAATTTAGCTTCAAATGCTCTAAAAATTAATAAATGAACTATAGTTTCATAAGGTTGAACAATATTGTTTTTCTTATTTTAATTAATAGATATACTTCCATGTAAAGATAAGACTCATAATGAATTTTGTAAATCTTTTCATCATAATTGATAAACTAATCCATTATTCCTTTACAAGTTAATTATCTTACGTATTCAATTCTATCCTCTTTATAATTTTTGGGTATCAATTATAAACCATCAATTATTTCAATATTCTATATATATTAAATAAAAAGTACAATTATTGTAGGTAGGTACATAGATGCATCTATATATCCATTCTACATACTCAATACAAATCTTTCATAAGGTAAAGCATAACAATCTTTTATTTTTTTTAATGTTTCAATTAATTACTATAATAATATTATTGTTTTACTTAAATATTTAAGATTGATTATCTTTTCACTAAAATCTATTTACTTTATTTTAAAACAATTTATTATGTTTTTTACATCTTTTCTCTGCTACTTCGAACTTTCATAAGTAACTCCTAACTAATATTTCCAATTTAATCAATATGAGTAAGTGCTTATAGATAACTAGAGTAATTGGTAAATACATTTTTGGACAACTTTGTTTGTATTACATTCAAATAATGATCATATCTTTCAATCTACCTTTAAATGCTAATCATTTAAGAATTCATATCTCCTTAAAATATATTGCTATATTCAATTTTTTCAATTTAAGTTTGGATGTCTTAATTTTCATCAACATTCTTATAAATATTATTTAGAGCATCATGATTAATATCTACATCTCCATAAAGTTCAATTAACCTCTAAACATTTTTTCTAAGAATTTCCTCTGTATTACTTTCATGAGTTCGAGTTGTATGCTATTTTTATATTTCTAAAATTGAGGTAAACATTCGAAATTTATCTTCATCACTCTTGTATTATTATAATATTCTATTCACATCACCAATATTTAATAAAGGTACGTCTTTATACTTTTTTTTTATATAGTCTTTTTTTTTATTAAACATATAAAAAATTATAGAATCAAATCTGAAATTTATTCTTTCTACTAATTTTACATTAAGTTATTTATCTTCTATTATCTAATTAATANTTCAGTTAATTAATCCTTTGAAATTTAATTTAAAGAATCTGTTAAATTATCAAAATAAAAGTCAATTGATAAAATTTAACTAATTTAATCAAAAACTATTTATAATTTAGCTTCAAATGCTCTAAAAATTAATAAATGAACTATAGTTTCATAAGGTTGAACAATATTGTTTTTCTTATTTTAATTAATAGATATACTTCCATGTAAAGATAAGACTCATAATGAATTTTGTAAATCTTTTCATCATAATTGATAAACTAATCCATTATTCCTTTACAAGTTAATTATCTTACGTATTCAATTCTATCCTCTTTATAATTTTTGGGTATCAATTATAAACCATCAATTATTTCAATATTCTATATATATTAAATAAAAAGTACAATTATTGTAGGTAGGTACATAGATGCATCTATATATCCATTCTACATACTCAATACAAATCTTTCATAAGGTAAAGCATAACAATCTTTTATTTTTTTTAATGTTTCAATTAATTACTATAATAATATTATTGTTTTACTTAAATATTTAAGATTGATTATCTTTTCACTAAAATCTATTTACTTTATTTTAAAACAATTTATTATGTTTTTTACATCTTTTCTCTGCTACTTCGAACTTTCATAAGTAACTCCTAACTAATATTTCCAATTTAATCAATATGAGTAAGTGCTTATAGATAACTAGAGTAATTGGTAAATACATTTTTGGACAACTTTGTTTGTATTACATTCAAATAATGATCATATCTTTCAATCTACCTTTAAATGCTAATCATTTAAGAATTCATATCTCCTTAAAATATATTGCTATATTCAATTTTTTCAATTTAAGTTTGGATGTCTTAATTTTCATCAACATTCTTATAAATATTATTTAGAGCATCATGATTAATATCTACATCTCCATAAAGTTCAATTAACCTCTAAACATTTTTTCTAAGAATTTCCTCTGTATTACTTTCATGAGTTCGAGTTGTATGCTATTTTTATATTTCTAAAATTGAGGTAAACATTCGAAATTTATCTTCATCACTCTTGTATTATTATAATATTCTATTCACATCACCAATATTTAATAAAGGTACGTCTTTATACTTTTTTTTTATATAGTCTTTTTTTTTATTAAACATATAAAAAATTATAGAATCAAATCTGAAATTTATTCTTTCTACTAATTTTACATTAAGTTATTTATCTTCTATTATCTAATTAATATAGTCCAAAAGATAAGGATTATATATACTCTAAATTCTATACAAGAAGAGATTTATTATCATTATTAATTTAAAACAAAGGCTTCTGTTAAAATTAAAGTAATCACAAAAGGTTTTATAAATCAAATTTATTCATTTAATCAATTAATTATATAATATTATGTTAAAAAAATGAATATATATAAAGTGTTTTAGTTTGAACAGAGGATGTACTGAACAAAACTAGGAATTTAAAATCAACATAAAAAAAAAGACACAAAATGGTTCTAAAGAGATTTAAATCAACTTTATTGCATCTTGTGAAAAATTAATTTAGAATATGGGAAGCAAATCCTTAAAAAGTTATTTTTAAATAAACAATGATTTAATTCATATATAAGATTCATATTTTTAAATCCATAATTAAATAAAATACTATAAAATCTTATGGATTTATATTTAAAACCTTAATTTTGAAAGAGAATGAATTATTTATATATAAATTTGTTCAATGCAATTATAACTAAACAAAATATTATAATTTTTCAGTAGTATTCCTAACATCGTCTTTTCTAAGATTATTTATATTATTACTAATTATTCTATTTAATCCTATTAACCTTTGATGAATTTTAAGGTTTTTAATTAGGATTATTTTTTTTAATCACGTTCCTCTCTGATTTACAGAAATAATTTTGTTACTTTTTCATCAATACAGCATATTGTCATCATTTCATTAATTATTTCTTCTACTTTAATTTGAAATGAGAAATCAATTTAACCTCTAGTTTTTCTGAGTATATTGATGGATTTATCTATCTTACCAACAGCATCCCATCTTTTTAATTCTGGCTTAGATTCTGCTTCACTAAAATTAAATGTCCTTGCTCTTTCTGTTTTAACGATTGGAGTTTTTATATGGATACTACTAGATTGCTTAGCTAATTAGACATTTGAAACATTAAATACTTTTGATTAGTTATGAAGAGTTTGGAGAACCCGTTTTGGGAGCAAATAAAGAGGGTTTAGAAGATTTCTAAGTTTAAAGAGTTGGTTTACTAAAAGCTTTGGGTGTACTCATTAATGGAAATAAATTTATGAATTATATTATATATTAATCATTAGATGTTTAAATAGATTTAAATTCTTGTAAGACTTTGAATTCATCCTAATATATATTTAAATTAAAGAAGAAAAGGTAAGAGATTACAAAAATATGTTGAGTATATAATAAATTCATATAAATATAATTAATTTGAAAATGAATTTCATAACACGATTCTGTGCAACAGTTGGAGCAGAAACAGCTTTTGAAAGAGTATTAATATATTAATTTAATAAATAGGCTAGATTAGCAGCTACTTATGAAAATACATACCCACCAGATGAGAGTGATATCAAAATTATATTGAATGCACTTTCTGGTTGTGATAAGGAAACAGATAGAAGAATAGCTTTTGGTTCTATTGTAAGGAGACTAAAATAAAATCATATGAATGAGGATGGATGGATTATCATAATCAAAAATTTGATTATTATAGATAGGTATTTAGGTCACAAAAATTGATGAGGTGTGTGAATGATGGTATTCTATTAAAAGAATTTTGTGAGTTAGATTTACCTAACATAGAGAATCGATATGAAATAAATAGAAACAATAATAAACTATTAATTAATGAATTGATATCCAAATATTACAATTATATCAAGTTCAAATCGTAGTAGTTAAGAACTTCATTTTCTTTAACTTTATATAAAAAAGAAAAATATTTACATTTCAATTAACTCTCTGTTGGATAAACATAAAATGAAATCAATTTAATTATGCAATTTGTTGATAAAGCTTTTGAAGTGATAGAGACTAAAAAAAATGGACATTTAAAATACAAACTAAATTAATATGTCTTTCTATTGATCCTAAATGATCTATTCAAATACTATAGTTGCTCACTTGTAGCATTTAATATTTTGATCAAAAAAATTGAATAATTAGAATTGGAAGATCTTCTTCAAATGGCAGAAATAACAAGATTACTATATAAATTTTGTAATTAACTAGATACATTTATTAATTAAAATAGATTTATCTAAGGTTTTGAATATTATGATGTAGAGTATAAAGTAATTAATAAAATATTCTAAGATAACTTCTGATTTAGTTGAGTTGGTTGTTTAATATATGAATCTTTATGAACAAACATAGAAAGGAACATCATGTTAACCAAAAGAAATTAAATTTAATACATAAAAATCCAAATTAGTTCTAGAAAAGATATGTATTAATTTACTCATTCCTTAGTTTCTCAAAGTCTTAATAAAACTTAAAGCGATTTTTTTGAAAATTATCAAAGCAACATAAAATAATAAAGCAAATTGGTAATTTATTGCAATTAATTCAAACATAAATTTGATGAAAGTACATTTTAAGAATTCTAAAATAATTTTTCGACTAAGTATAAATATGTAATTATATTTAACTAGTTATATAATAATAAAAAATCATTAAAAATAGAATAATGATATTCCAGAATTAAAGGAAGAAGATGAAGATTTAGACTTCCTAACTAAAATTGAAGAGAATAATACGAATTATAAATTTGATAAATAAATACATTTACTATATCCAGAAGCTTTCAATGAAAAAATGTTCTTAAATTTTGAAAATATATATTATTTATGATGAGATGATAATAATATACAGTAAATACTCAATCTTCTTGTTATCAATAATAAATTAAAAGTTATAAAACCATCTAAAATATTATACTTAATTATTACTTGTTACCTTTTGTTGAATCTAAATATTACTATGTTAAGTTATTTTAATAACATTACTCAAGATTGGTTAAAAATTAAACTAAAATAACTTAGAAAATTTGAATTAGTACTAATTTAAACACAACAAGATAGAATAAATAAGTCAAATCTATACAATTTTTCATATTTATATGTAAAAATAATTACAAAAATAAATATACAGAGGATATGCATTAAAAATTCATTTATTGCCAAACTTAAATGATGTTAATGATGCTCCTTGAACTTAATCCACCTTAGTTAGTTTTTTCAAATTTTAATTAAGACTTAATTTAGAATAATCTAATTTAGTTTTTTATGTTTAAGGTGAAACAGATTAACGTGTTATATCTTCATCAAGAAAATCTTTTGAACTTTTTTCTAAATTCTCTTCTGGTTCTGCAAAAGAAGATTTCTTTGATTATTCAAATTAAAGCCTCTATAATTAACTTTTTAATTCTAATTCTTATTCTTTAAGAAGTTATATCTATTTCTAAGCTTACTCCATATATATAACTTTTTCTTCCTTGCTTTTTACAAGAGCTAAAGATAATTCATTTATTTTTATTTCTAATTATCTAATTTCAGGGTTAAATTCCTGCTTATTGTTGATTTATGATGATTTCTAATTTTACTATTATAAAGTAATAATTTCTTCATTTTAAGATTCAATTTACTTCTTCAATTCCTCTAATTACTGTTTATCTAACTAAATCAATATTAATAATTATACCTTTTATTATTCTTATCTAGCATCTTCAATTATGATCAATGCATTAATAATATCATTAGGATCAGAGTCAGACCCTAATTAAAGAATTTCTTCGTATTCTTCATCAAGTGTTTTTGAGATCTTCACCCAATATTAGAGCAATTACTATTTAATAAGTTAATTCTCTTTTTAATAGTCTTTTTGATTATTTGAGTTTTCGAACATTTTTATTAAAATAAAATTTGAAACAAAAATATTAATTGAATAACACTCAAACTACCTAAGATTGAGGTTCATCTGAAATTTAATTTGAATAATAATTTTTGCTAAAGATTTTTGTGATCATAATTTGACAATAATCTTATGTCTTTAGGAATTTGAAATGAAAAAATATCTTAAAATTCCTTTTTTTAAGAGATCTATAATTTTATAACTTATATTAACTTTAAATTTGTAATTTATAGATAAAAAGAATATAAAATTAGATTTGTCCATATCTTTTAGATTATAATTTTCATTTTAAACTCTGCTCAAATGGAAGTTGAAGTCTAAATTTTTCTAGATATTATTCTTTTCAATATAAATGTTTATTTAATATAAGTATTTTTTATTAAGAAGGAATCATTTTTAACTACTCTTTATTATAGTTTATTTTATTCATTAAATATTGAATTTCATAATTAGATATTAAATTATAATATTATTGAAAGTAATTATTTATGATCATTTTTCTCTATAAAGGATTTATTTTTCGATTGAAATTTAGATGGTTCATACAAAAGAATTTGATAGAATATAAATATTGATGTAAATATTTTCTTATTCAGAAATTACTATTTTTTCATTTGGAAATAATCAAATTAAATGATTCGTTATTTATAATTTAAGGTTATTCAGATTTTTGAAAATAGATGTTGATTTATTAATTAAATAAAAGTTATATTTCATTTATATAATCATTTTTAGAATGAATCAATTAATTTTAAACAGTTTGCTGAACTACTTTGAAATTCCTCAATAGCAGCATCTATTCCATCCTCTTGCTCATTAGGTGTACTAATTTAACTATTGAAGGACTTGAAAAACTATTCCCATTAAAGTAATTGTTCCTTTATCATTTAATTTTAAGACTAACATAATTTATATTTCTTAAACTCTTCGAGTATTAGTATCTATTGATTTGAGACTTCCTAAATGATAATATTTTAATATTACTTGCTTTAATATTAAGATGTTTTACTCTTAGTTAGAATCTTTCTAAGAATCTTTATTTTCACTTTTTTGAAGTTCTTTATTTAATAACTTTTCTTATAATTCTTCAATAGTTATTTACAACTATTATTTATCAGTTTATAGTTATTTAATTTAATTTTGTAAATCAGTATAATCTTATTAACTTTTAGTTTAGATTTATTTATATGCATGATCACTTTTTTTTCTATTTGCATTTGAATCTTATTCATTTATTTTGCATTTACTTTATCTTAAATCATTTGTTGAAGATTTTGATGGTTTTTTATTGTCAATAGCAAATGGATTACATGTAAATGCAGGTTTATTGGCTTTTTCTAATACTATTAATTTGTCTTTTTATTTCTTCATTTCCATTTCTTATTTCTAAATTGACATCATAAGAGTTTTAATTTCTTAATCCTTTTCTTATTATTATTATTCTAAATTTGATATAATTTTATTTAATCTTTCATTTTCATCAATTACATTATATATTTATTATTCCATTTATTATATTTCTAATCTTGAATCTCCAGCAGCTGCTTTTTAATATTTTAATTTCCATATTTCTATTTCATTTTATTATGTATCTATTAATTCTTCCAATTTACTTACTCTCTCTTTAATTATGTATAATTATTCATACTATTAAGCATTATTTTATATTTCACTTCTTGCTTTTTCTAATTCCTAATTTAAATAACAATTCTCATTCACTAATGATTGTATTTTACTCTCAATTGTATTTGAATTCTCTTTAAAATAAAATGTCTATTAAGATTTGTTAGGTGTAAATGTAGATGATCCTCTAATTTATTAACCAATTATTGATTTCGAAGGAGTGCTAGGAGTATCAGAATATGGATTGCTATATCGTATTTGACCATTAAATGGACTTATTTATTACAGTGGTATTTGCAATTTTTGAATTTGAACGCTTGAATTGGTTCGAATCATAACGTTTTATTTTAAATTATAATAATAATAAATTGGAAAAGTAATCAAATAATCAATACTTAATTCATTGAATTAGATTATAGATAATATATATTTATATTTAACAGATTAAAATTATTAATTTTTTCACTTGAGTAAGAATTACTTAAACAAGTAGATTTATAATTTATAAATCAAATTTCAAATTATAATTATACTATGAATTTACAATCAAGAACAAACTCTAAAAAGATTGATTGAAGATAATAATCAAATAAAAATTTAGAATAGGTTATTGTTTAAATAGATATTTTTGAAAGTAGTAAATTAATTCTCTTTTGAATAGTTTTATAATTATAAGATCGATATTTTGATTATATAAATATATATTAATATTTTAGTAATATTTATATTTATCTCTTTAATATTCCTTCCATTACTAAAAATAATTTAAATTCTAAATTTACTTAATTTTCAAAGTAATTAGAATTGTTTATCATTTTTTAAAATAATCTACAATTTAAGAAAATTTTGTTAGCTTTAGATAAATTTATTTTCATTAATGTTTTGTTGATTGATTAGAGTAATGCTGATAATAATAAACAGTTAATATATTTATACTTGTAATTATTTAATGATTTATATAGATAAAATATTCATAAATAACAACTTTTTAGTTATTACTAAAATCATAATTAAATAAAATGCCATCAAAATCTAAAAGTATATTAAAATAAAAAAATGGAATACTTTTATATATTATAATATTTAATTTTTGGTATAAGTTTCCACTTCAAATTGGAGTAAATAGAACTAAAATTAATTTATTTTAGAAATGATTATTTAACAAGTATATATTTTTATTTTAATTACTTTTAAACTAATAAATATAATGATAGGAGAATGATGTGATAATGAAAATTAATTACTTGATTTTTTTTAGAGATTTAGTTTGAATTAGAATAAAAAATAAAATTGTTTAACATATTAAAATTTAATAATAAAATGGATTAAAAAATTAGTTTATAGCCAGGTTTAATAATTGAGTCTAGATTTAAATTACTTTAAAAAATAGGGAGTGGTAGCTTTGGAATTGTTTACTTAACTTATGATTTATAAGAGAAGGAATATTGTGCAACGAAATTTGAAAGTAGAAATTTATAAATGAGAATGATGAATAGAGAGATACTAATTTTGAAATAGTTAAAAGGCATCAATGGTAAATAGTTATACATTTAATACATTCAATTTCAGGTTTTCCAGAATTAATTCATTATGGAAAAGATAACCAATATTAATTTTATATGAGTACATTGTTAGGTGAGAATTTAGAGGTTTTATTATAAAAATGCGGTGGTAAATTTACTTTATAGACTGTCCTTTAATTATCTATACAACTGATAGATCGTTTAGAAGGTAATTATTCTCTATAAATAGTAATAGTGTTTCATAGTATGAATTTTATTCATAGAGATATAAAACCAGAGAATTTCCTAATTTGTAAAGAGGATACATCAATAGTATATTTGATTGATTTTGGATTGTCTAAATATTACAGAGTAACAGATGGTAGACATATAGAATTTACTTAAAAAACAGGTGTAATTGGAACTGCACGTTATGCTAGTATAAATACATTACAATGTATAGATATCTTAATTATTTTAAGGGATGGAATAATCTAGGAGAGATGATCTTGAAAGTTTAGGTTACATGTTGATATATTTAGTAAAAGGGGAATTACCTTGGTCAAATATAAAGGCTAGAGATAAAGAGGATAAGTATGAGCAAATTTTATAAATAAAAATGGGCTTACCTTTAAATTAACTATGTTTTAATCTACCAAAGGTATAATTTATTTCATTATAAGTGTTTTATTCATTATTTCTAACATGTTAAGTCTCTTCTTTTCCAATAATAACCTAATTATTAGCACTTAAGAAATCTATTTGAAAAACAATTACTTGAATATAATCACTAATTATATGACTGGGAGATTAAAACAATAGAGAAGTAACAATAATAGTAAGATGTTCTTATTGATCCTAATTCAATACCTGATATTAGATTACATAATGATTTAGATTATGTTCCACCTGTAGATGATGAAGGTGAAGTCTTTCTTTTAAAATAAGAGAATTAGCATCATGTCAAATTTATGAAAGAATTACATGAAAAATATTTAGATCACAATTCATATAAATAGATGTAGTAAATTTAATTATAAAAAACTACATCTATTGAACCTAAAAGTTAAGCTACAAGCAAATAGAATAATTATCAAACTAGCAATCATACTTTAATCTAGATTGAATCTTAACCTTATATTTATAATAATGTTCCATAATTCTCTAAAAGAAAAGATTCTAAATCATATACTTCATTTAAATAAACTTAAGAGCATAAAGAAAATAGGAAGTTTCGATAATCAAATGATGACTATGATTTAGAGATGGCTAATGAAGATGGACAAAATTTTGACTTAAATAATCTCTAAGCCAATCACTTTTTAAATTGATGTAAATATTGTAGTAAATTTTTTATCTAAAAAACTGTATTTTTAATTAAATATTAATTTTCTGTTTTTTTTTTAAGATTTTGAAATTTTAATAAAACATATTTTGATATTCAACTGTTTTATTAACTCACATTATCAAAGTTATCTAACATTTATTCTGAATTTACTCTTTTTTATTTAGTTTCTTAAATAGTTCCATCATTTAATATGTCTTCATCTTATTATTCACCATCATTTCGATATAACTAGAATTATAAAAATTCTAAAATATTTTCATCCATACAATCTATTAAATGTTTATTTATAGGATCATGCATCTTAAATAATATTTCCTTATATGCTTATTAGGCTTCAAGAGCCATTTAATAATTACTTTTCAGAGGTTTTAAGATAGAGAAATATTGATTTCCTTAAATTTCTTTCTCAGGATTGGAAGCTATAGTAGGTTTAGGTAAATAATCAAATAGTTTTATTTATTCTTTAGTTAATAAAATCATTTTTAATTTGTCAATCTCATGTAATTTCTTTATAATATATAAAATATCGAAAGATTTTTCCATTCTATTTATAGAGAAATTCATTTATTTAATCTATTAATCATCTTAATATAATTTCAAGGAACTAAGCATATATTTATAATAAGGGATATTTAATTTTTTAGAGACAGTCTAAAAGAACCCTTTGACTTGTTAATTTAATTTGTCAATAGTTTTAACTTTAATATCTTCATCTAATGTAGCAGCATTTTATATTTTCATACATTATTAATTCAGTTCTTATAATTTTTATTACACCTTATAAGATGATTTAATAGAAGATCTAAAAGAATCTTATCTCTAAAACTTTGACTTTTTGAGAGGAGTATTTTATTTAATAGGGGAGATTAATTTTCTATTTGTTTATTAGATATCATTTAAAGTATTTTTTTGAATATTCTCTACATAAATTTTACTTGATTATTTACTATTTATAATAGGAGCATCTTGTTAATCAAGTAAATAATTATCCTAATCATCATTAATAGTCTCTTCTTATCCATCAAAGTTGAATAATGAATTGATTATTTACAGTTTATATGAAATTGTACTATATGGTATTTAAATTAACATAGCAATTGTGAATAAGACATTCCATAATCCACCTAATTCAGCTAATAAAGTTTAGATTCTTGAATACTGTCTGTAGTTTACTTATTCTATTGTATGTAATCTAATTGCAACATTTGCTAATAAATCTTCTTCATTAAAATCAATCATTTCAGTGTGATGCAAATATTTGAGTGTTGTATCATAATGAAAATCTTAGAAGAAGGCTCCTGAATCAGTATATGTCGTAACTGGTTATAAATATATAGTAATTTCTTTGAAAATTTAACTTGATATTGTAGTAAATAAATCTTCACCTTTAGGTATATAAGGATTTTAAGTTGTTTATAAATCTACATAGTAGGATGATAATTATAATGATAAATAATTGTGAGTTAACTTTTTCATTATTTCTTCTTTACTCTTGCATTTTGGAACATCTAATATAAATGTTAAGTATACTTTTTTTTTTATTATCTTCAGTACACATTTTAAATTTGAGTAAAATATATTGATAATTCACAGCATCAAATGTACCTTGCATATTAATCTTATCAATTGTATTCCAATCTATGCAATAATTTGTAGAAAGATCAAAATGTGAAAAATATTCAGCTAATGAATCTTACTTTATTATATCTTTTGAACACTAGACTAGAGGTAATTCAACATAATTATATCGAACTTATTAAGTTCCATTAATTCTAAAATGAGTATAATTTCATACATTTCTACTGATTTGCTCACAAGTAAAGGTTCGACAAAATATATCGATTCATCTATATAAGTGGCAAAAGAAGAATCTTAAAAGCCAAACTATAAAGTAAAATTGTTGGGTCTCAACTCATACAAATTTGGTTCTGCATGATATACTTCTGTTGTTAATGTGACAGGCTTTGAACGATCTGCATAAACAATTATGCTATTCACAAAAAAAATAGACATCACAACTATAACAATCATAGAGAGTGTGGCTCCCATAATCGTCTTATGACCTTCTTCTTTTTTGATTAGCAGTTGAACAGGTTTAGTGAATAAATCGATTTGTTTAAAATAATGAGAGAAGGTTTTAGCATTCATTAAACTTGTTTTTTATAATTTAATATCTTCATTTAAAATTTTCATTCGATATTTCTGTCATATGATAATTAAAGTACGTGATATATTGGTTAATATAAATCATAGAATAAGATTTTCAATTAAGTACTTTTACATTATACTTTCTTTATTAACTATGAAAAATATCAAAACAATTTTGTTCTTTCATAATTAACCTACTTTTTTAATAATTAGTCAATTTGTCTTAAAGTATTATATGAATTTATTTAAATCTACACAAAATGGTAGATTCAACTAAAATTTATGATAAACATACTAATATTTTATATATAAATCTAGACTTTAGTGAAGAATTAGAAAATTTGAATATTAGAACTTATATAGAAAAAGTATTCAATTTAAAAATTGATAAATTTTGGAAGGTTTCAACTATTGATTATTTTAATTAAATATTAAATTAAACACAAATGTAATAAGATGTATAAAACTGATTTTATAATTCATGGTATAAATTGCTAAAGGTTTTTGATAAAATTAATATCAAAAATAGGCATTTATTATGGAGATTCTGAATTTAAGCGAATTTTAATTATATTTTAATTATTATCATTATTATTATTATTATTATTATTATTATTATTATTATTGTTGAAATAGTTATTATTATTTTCATTTTTATTTGTTAAATGAGGAAGTGATGAATTTTAATAAGGTCGAATTTCAATTGGTGTTAATGCATATTATCGATGTTATTCTATGATAAATTTATTAAGTCTTTTTTTTGTATACTTTGAGGCTGTATTTGAGAATAATTTTCCTTAACTTTAAATATTTTTAGGGAGATTAGGCAAACAACTTACCATAGATTTTGAAGGCTCATCTTCACTTAACTTCTTTATTATCCATTTACTTCCTTTACATGTAACTTCTACCTTATAATGTTTATTTAGCAAAGTATTAGCCCAATTTGATTTGTATGGATTAACTATCTATATTATTAAAACAATTTCATACTCTTTTCATTTTAAAGACTTTTTTTAGGTTTATGATCTGAAATCTGATTAAAAGAATTTGATAATTTTTCTGAAGGTAATTTGCTTTGCACATCTTAACTTGTAAACTCGATCAAACTTACAGGTTCACTTAATTGAGGAACATATTATTGACTCTAAAAAAATAGGCTTTACTATTGTTACATTATTTAATTTATTTTTTTTTTATATTGATAAAGGTTTCTTTTATAGAATGGGCTTACTTGAATTTATAAATTCAGTAATAATTGGAATATCTAATAAAAAGATAATTAGAACAAAAATAACTCAATAGAAATGATTTTTTTCTAAAATAAATAAAATATGAATATTAGATAAGTAAAAGTGGATTGAATGTAAGGAGCATCATGTTTGATACTCAAACATCAAATATATAATGAAAAATAATCTTTCAACAATGGTAATCCAATTCATATTTTCAAAATAATCAAGTAATAGTTCTGGTTATTTATCAATAATTATAGTGTTATTAATAAAGGTTCTTCCTTTTGATTCTAATAAAACAACATATGATTATTTTTAATAGTATTCTAAAATACATCCAATTTATTCATTATTATATTAATTATATCCTATTTAATCCTTGTATTTACAATAGAATTCTTATAATAGATTTAATGGTGCTTCTGATTTATTAATAAGAGATGAACAAACAAACTTATTTTTTCTTGGATAATATGCAATCTAAAAATAATTAATAAATTTAACTAAAAAATGAGTTTCAAATTCTCTAATAATTTAAAAAGGTTTATCTATCTTTATATTTCCTTTAATTTCTTTGTATTTGAAGATAAAACCTTTAAATTTTTGATAAAATTCATTTAAATGATATTATTAAATTAGATCACTAAAATTTTCTATTAAATTTTCTTACAATTCCCTTCAAGATAATAAAAAATATTACCATGTATTTTCTTCTTTTGAATAACCAAGCCATTTTACCTGATACTCAATTTTTGATAGATTTTTTCGTATTCCATAGTCCTTCCATTATGATTTAGAAAAGTATATTAAATTATATGTTAATTTTTAATAAATAAATGAAAAATAGGCTAATTAAAAATACAAAAGATAGATAAATGAAGTTATAATGTTTAGATTTACTAAATTAGAAAATGAAGAGATCTCATTCTTTTGATTTACCATCCATAACCATCTTATAATAAGGTTAATTGTTGAAAATGTAATCTAAATTTAAAAATATGCTGTTGATAGCAAACTCTTCAAATTATGGAAATTATACAAGAAAATCATTAAGATCAGAGAAACTTGATGTAATGGATGCAATATCGTTGGCAAGTCAATTAGTATCTGAATCTCCTTTATAAAAAACAAATATAAGAAGAGCTAGTTAATATGATTATATTAGTCTAAAGTAAAAAAGATTAGATAGTTTTGCTCCTCTTGTTTATATATAGTAACATACTAGAGATGTGACAGTGTACAAGAAGAAAAAAATAAAACGAATAAAAATGCACTATAGTATAGTATATGAATACTGCAATTAGAATTAATGAAAAGAACAAATCTAAAGAAGCAACAAAAAGTTTAGAGAAGCAAAAGTACTCTATTACCATAATAAATAAAAATTACACATAAGAGAGCTAAAACAGTTATAGATCAATTATACTAAGGACCAATATTAAGATTAGATACTGAATTAGAATAAAAAATTAGAATGTTAATTTATTCATAAAGATGTCCTCGTTTATTATTGAAAAGGAAGACATGTATTTAAGTACCTTAAAATAACATATTTGTATCAAGAGATAAATTGTTGAGATATTAAGAAGTGATGGCTAATAAATTTGTAAATTTATAAATAAATCCATTTAGGATTAGGCTGATTCATCTTGTGAATCTTCTCCTTAGATAATGACTAAGATTCAATTTAAGAAGACATAATTTAGTAAGATATAGGTTGGCGAGAATACAATAAATTAATATTTAACTCCTAGAATACATTGTGACTGCAATCTAAATATATTTAGTAGAAAAGCTTCTCATAGTATTATTGCTTAATATGTTCAAAATATAATAGATAAAAATAAGAAATTAAAGAATTGTATTCATGGAGATAAACAAATGACTTTGATTAAATAGCCAAGTCTTAATGAATTTAATACTTATTTTTTGGCTTAAAAAAGAAGTGTAGATGTTGGAAGACTCTCTTCATAATTAATATAATCTAGATCATAAGATAATAGTAATAAATAGATTTAGTTAAATTAAAAACAAAGTTAATTTATCAATAAATAAAAATAAATTCTGATTAAATAAAAATCAGACTCCTAATTCAATTAGAATATTAGAATTAGAACATTACCAAGTGATATCAGTTTGAGTAAAAATAAAATCAGCTTGCAAAAAAAGCTGAGACCTTATCTCAAATGAATTAATTATTGTAAATATATTAACGTATTCTAAATTGAAAATTAGATTTTCTATAAAAATAAGAATTTTATTTTAATATAAAAATGCAATGTGATTCTTTTGCACATTATGAATTATAAACAATCTTATCAGAAACAGATTATACTAAGAGAGCTACAAAAATCATTTGTACAATAGGGTAATAATAATTATAATAATTTTTATTAGTCCTGCTTGTTGGGATGTCTCTACATTAGTTTAATTGATTGATGCAGGAATGAGTGTAGCTAGACTTAATTTTTCTCATGGTGATCATAAGGTTCATGGAGAGACTGTGGCTAAATTAAGAGAAGCTTTTAAATAAAGAAAAGAAAAACCAGTGGCAATTGCCTTGGATACAAAAGGACCAGAAATTAGAACTGGTTTAAATCAAGAACATAAATAGATTATATTAAAGAAAGGATAGAAATTGGAAATAAGTAATAATAATCTTATATTCAGCCACCGATTATACATTTGAAGGTACATCTGAATGTATTGCATGTAGTTATTAAAGTTTATGTAAAACTGTACATATTGGATCATAAATCTTGATAGCAGATGGAACTGTAGTAACAATAGTAGATGAAATAAAGGAAGTAAGAAAAATTATAATCTTCATTAATAGTTCAGTGTAATAGTAACAGTATAAAATGAAGCATCATTTGGAGAAAAGAAAAATATGTCATTACCTGGAGCCATAATTGATTTACCTACAGTTACTGAAAAGGAAGAAGAAGATTTAGTTAAATTTGGTTTAAAACATAATATTGATATCATCTTTTTGTCATTTACTAGAAAAGCATAAGATATTGAAGATGTGAGAGATATTTTAGGACCTAGAGGCAGTGGAATCAAGATTATAGCTAAAATAGAAAATTAAGAAGGAATGCAAAATTATGATGAAATATTAAAATCAGCAGATGGAATTATGGTAGCAAGAGGAGATTTAGGAATGGAGATACCACCTTAAAAAGTATTCTAAGCTTAAAAATGGATGATTAAAAGAGCATTAGATGTAGGAAAGCCTGTTATTACAGCTACATAAATGATGGAATCTATTATAACTAATCCTAGACCAACAAGGGCTGAGGCATCCGATGTAGCTAATGCTGTATTAGATGGAACAGATTGTGTTATGCTTTCTGGAGAGACTGCTAATGGAGCATTTCCAGTTATTGCAGTAGAAACTATGGGAAGAGTAAATTATATCATTTATTAATAGATATGTTGTGAAGCAGAGAAATGTGTAGATCATGAAAAAACTTATTGGAATAGAATTCATGATAGGGGATAATTGGGAGATAAAGAAGCTTTGGCTGCTTCTGCTGTTCAAATGAGTTTTGAAACTAAAGCTCATGTTATCATTTGTTTCACTCTTACTGGAGAAATTGCTCGACTTGTTGCTAAATATAGACCAAGAGCTCCTATTATAGCAATTAGGTTTTAGATCTAATCAATTTATTAGTACTGAAGACAAAACAATTAAAGGATTAAGTATGACAAGTGGAGTTACTTGCCTAAGAGTTCCAAGTTTTCAGGGAGTTGATACTTTAGTAGATTATGCTATTAAATCTGCAAAGACAAGAGGAATAATTAAAACTGGAGACAAGGGTATTGTCTTATTAGGAGGGAGTGAGGATAATCCAGATGAATCTAACATCTTAAAAGTAAAGAAAATTAATTGATTATTAAAAAAAATAAATTATTTATTATATTTATAGTGTAAAATTATCAATTATTGAACATATTTGAATTCATTTTAATTATTTTGAATCTAAAAATATAAAAGTGTTTTTGTCTAAATATATTTAAAGATATATGGCAAAATAATAAAATAAGAGAGTTAAGTAGTATTTTAGAATGAAAATAATTAAAAATTATTATGTCTAATGTATTTTATAATTTATAAATTATAAACTCAATTATATATGAATCCAAAAGGTTATAAATTTGAAGTTAACATTCAAATTGAAAAGATGGAAATGAATAGTAATTTATCATTTTAAGTGTAAATTATATTAAAATGTGGTATGTATTAATTCTATCATATAAGGAAATTAAAAAGTATAGACATAGTAATTAGCTGATTTTAATTAAGGAAGAGCAATTATTAATGAAACTCTGTTGATTTAAACTAATGTGTATTAAATAAATGAAATATATTAAGAAAAGAAAATAGAGTTGTTAATTTTGCTTATTACAACAAAAGGTAAAAAAAAAGCAGGTCAATGTTATATTAATATTGCAGAGTTATTGAATTAAGAAAAATATGGTATTTCATAATTGCACTTTAGACATTAATTAAGAAGTATTCTTAGAAAATTGCCCTGATAATAAAGCCAAAATTTATTCAAAAATTCAATTAACAAAAGTTGGGAAAGTAGACTTTGAAGCAATTAATACACAATCTTCAATAGTTAATGAGAAAAGTTCAGATAAAAAATAAGGAATATTTACACCATTTAAAGCAGTTCTTGAAAACACTGCAAAGAAATATTTTGGAGATAATTAATCTGCATAATCATAGAAATTGGAAAATTCATTTTCTAGAAATTAAATAAAAAATCCCATTGTATCAGATGTTTCATCTCAACTGACTTCACAAAAATAGTAATAGAATTTATAGTTCAGCAATTAAATCTAATAAGATTTATAACATCTACATGAAGAGCTAAATTAATAAAAGATATTATAAATGGAAATGAAGGATTAAAATAATTAATTAATATAGTAAATACAATTAGAGAAGGTGAAAAAAGAGGCATTAATTTTATAGATTTAAGAATAAAAACAATAAATGGAAAAAATGATTGATTAATAAATATATCAAGAATAGATATTTTAATATGAACAACAATTAAGTTAAATTCAATGTCAATTAAGGTAAGCACAAAAAGATAATGAAAATCTTACTTTAAATTATAAATAAGCTATGTAATAGTATAATAAATTAAATGAGGAGTATGATTAATATTAATAGAATAAGACAAAGGAATTGGAAGATATTAGTAATTAAAAAGATCAATTATATTAAGCTTTAGAGAAATCTAATAATAATAATAGTTATCCAAAGAATATTAATTTTGAAAATTAGATCATTTAATTAAATTAATAATTATTATAATACAAAAATAAGATTGATGAAAAAGACAATTTTATTAAATCACAAACTGAAAATATTAATAGTCTAAATGAATAATTATTAAATTTATACAATTAAAATAGTTCTCTATATTAGAATGAAAAAATGCTGAATGATAAAGTATTGATTTTTTTATGATGATTAGATTGATGAATAATCTAAGTAGATACTTAATCAATAGGAATAAATAAATTAATAAATTACAGTAATTAAGTAGCAATATGAAGATTTATTATATTAAAATCATTAAACTATATAATAACTTAAAAAGGAATTAATTGATAAAAATTTAGAAATTAAATCATATTAGACTACCTGTCAATAACTATAATAAAAAGATCAATTAGAAATAAATGAAATTGAAAAATTAAAATAAAGAGGACAAACATAAACAGATATAGATTTAAAATATAGGGAAAAATAGTAGAAAATTTAAGATGAATTATAGAAGTACCGTGAGAGAGAGGAAGAACTAAGAACTAAAGTTTAATTTCTTATGCAATAAACAAATTAATTGTAATATATGTAAAATATAGTTTTAGTTAAACAGAAGTTATGAGAAAGTTGTTTCTAGACCCCTAGATTCCAGGCACACCTGTTGATCTTCCAAATCAATTGATTGAATTAAATAGGGCAATATCTATCAAATTTTCTAAGTTAAAGTAGGATCTAGAATGCCATTAATCAGAGATATAGGCTTAAGAGAATATTAATGTCGATAATTCTTAAAATTAACAAGTGGTAATATTAAAATAATTATAATTAAAGACTTTTGAATTAACTTAAGCAAAATTAAAAATTGATAATCTGTAAAATGATAACATATATTTACAAAAATAATTAGTAACAAAATCAGAATTTTTAAATTAATTAAATTAATAAATTCTAAATTAAAATTAAAAAATTTAGGATTTAGAAATTTAAAATAAAAATTTTATTAAGAAATCTATTTTGGAGCCATAGATTCAACAATAATTAAGCGAATAAATTAAAATATTTGATAATTAAAATTAGGAACTTAAAATTTAATTAAAAACTTCTTAAATTGAAATTTAATCAAAAGATGATTTGATCAAAAATTTATAAAGCAAAATTGAATAACTAAACTAACTTAATTAATAATTAATTATAATTAATGAACAATTATAATATTAATAAAAGGAACAAATTCTTAATACATAATAATTATAATAACAAAATTAAATATCCAAAACAGGATAAGATTAAACAAATAATGATTTGATCCTGGAGTTGAATAAAAAATTAAAAGATTTAGAAATTTTCAATAAATAATTATAAATATAGAAATAAGAAAAAGAGAATTAGATAGAAAAATTATAAAAAGATCTTCTCCAACAAAAAGAATATTAAATTGAAAAATTAAAATTAATGTCCTTACAAACTGATTATGAAATTGAAGATCAGTAATAAAAAGAATAAAATCGCCATAAAGTAACCAATTTATAAGGTCATTTTTTAATAGAAGAATCTTAAAAAAGTTAATAAATATAGTTAATTTTAGAATAAAAAATAGAATAATTAACTATTTAATTGAATTAATAAACTTCTACACTATTACAAACCTAATTTACTATTGATTAGATAAAAAATGAATATAATTAAAAATTAGAGAGGGCTTAACTGAAGGAAACAGAAATTAAACTTTAATTAGGTTAATCACAAATTTTAAATGATAATCTATAAACTGAATTAAATAGCTAAAGAATTTAACTTAAAAATTTAGAAGAATAAATTTAATAGAAAAATTAGAAAATTGAAGAATTAGAAACTTAAATCAAAGAAATTTAATAAAAATTATAAATTGATATATAAGATTTATAATAATAATTATTTACTGAAAATGATGAATGGCAAAAAGAAAAAGAAATAATTTAATAATATATTGATGAACTAGAACATAGGGCCTAATAATTAAAAAATTAAGTATAGGAGAAGGATAACAAACTGTAAGATTTATAGATATAGAATGAACAATTAAATGAATAATTAATAAGATCATAATATAATAATGAAAGAGTATAAGAACTAGAATAACAATGTTTCGTTAATATATAAAAATATGAATAATAATTACAATATTAATCTTAAGATAATTAGGTTAAATTATTAGATTAAAAGACTTAATTAAACAAATAGGAAAGTAAAAATGAAATAGACAAATAATTGATAATTAATAATTATGTGAATTAATTGAGAGATAAAGATGATTTTATATAACATTTATAACAAGAAATTCAAAATTATCAATAAGTTAAATTGGAATAGTAAAATGTGATTAAATTTTTAGAGAGTATTAAAGATAATTTTGAATAAAAATAATCTGAAAATTTCGAATATATTAAAAATATTTAGAGAACATATGAATAAATTAAAGTATAATCTTAGCAATAAGAATTCTTAATAAATTAATTATAAAATACAATAAGAGAGTTAGAACTAAAAAATCAAGAATTAGAAATTGAGAAAATAAATATTTCAAATAACTATTAATAAGCTTTAATTGAAGCATAATCTTTGAATCATACTTAAGATAATTCTAATGAAATAATTGAAAAGATACAAGAAGAAGTTATTTTATTAAAATGTAGAATAGGAGATATGTTGAATGAAGCATAGGAATTTGGAGGGGCTTAATTAGTTGATAAATTGTAATAAGCATTAGGAATAAAGGAATGAATGAAGTAAATTATTTCTTTAATAATTAACATTTCACATCATAAAGTAACTAAAATATTAGTAAATTCTTCTTCTGATATTCTTCCATCCTTATTTAAATCACAATCCTTTAAAAACTATTCCCATATCTCAGGTTCTAAAAATCCCATACTATCTTGTAATTCTTCTTTTGATATATAACCATCTCCATTTGTGTCTAACATACGAAATGCTTATTTAATTCTTTCGATTGAAACTAATTTTTCAAATTTCATGGCTCCCATAATAAATTCTGAATAATCAATTAAATTTGAATGATTCAAATCTAATGCATCTAAAATTTGATTGACTTTTTCTTCTGCTTATTCTTTATTTTTTAATATTCCTTAATAACCAGCAATTAATTCTGCTTTACTCAAGTTTCCATCATGATTTTTATCAAGAGCATTAAATGTGGCTTTTAATTCATTAATTTCTTAACTTTATAAAGTTTAATTAACCATAAATGTCATGATAGCTTTTTGAAAATTAGTTTTGACCTAAATTTAACAATACATATATACATAGAATTTTTCAATATTAGTTAATAATTATTAAGATATAATTTCTTATTTAGCATTTCTCTATATCCAAGGATGTAAGAGTGCTTATTTTGCAGTGAACCTTTTTTTAATATCTATATTTAGCATATTTCGAATCAAATCTATAGCATCTCTAGAAATAGTTGACCAATCATCTTTGTCAAATATAATTTTGCCGTTTTTTACTTTAGCAAAGATTTCATTATCAGTTTTTCCAGTAAAAGGAGGATAACCACATAAGAAAATATATAATATAACACCACATGACCAAATATCAACTTTTTCATTATATTTACCATTCAAGACTTCTGGAGCAATATAATAAGGAGTTCCTAATCGTTTTTTCATATTATTATTTGATGAAAAATATCTAGATGTTCCAAAATCAATTACTTTAATTTCTTCACCTTATCCACTTAAGAGAATATTCTCTGGTTTTATATCTCTTTAAACTATATTATAAATTTACCTATGTACTATTTATTTTTCATGACAATAACTAACAGCTTTAAGGATTTATATTATATAATCAGCTGCCATTTTTTCACTAAAACATTGTAATTTCTTAATTCTTAAGAATAATTCTCCTCCAGAAAGATATCTAAATATGATAAATAATTACTCAGTAACAATAATATATTAATCATCTTCTTAGAAACATTCAAAAACACGAACAATATTAGGATGATCTAAAGATTTTAATATATTCAGCTCCGATAACATTCTTTCTTAATCTTCAAATAAAAGTGATTCTTTTTTAATTTATTTCAGTGCTCTTAAAATACCTGTTTTATTGTGTTTACAAAGCCATACAGATCCATAACTTCCTTATCCTAATTTTTTGATTAGACTATATTGTTCTTTCCATTCCCCTTGTTTCATTGTTACAAAATTATCATAGCTTATTCTTACAGATTATCTGGAGCCTGGTAATTAAATAGTTGATTTCATTTTAGATTAATTAGTGTCTGAAGAGAAGTCAAGATCGACTTTTGATGCAGCACTAGGTGTTATATATTGTTTAAGAGGGGACATATATTCATCATCATCTTAGAATGAATCCCAAGTATCATTTTTTTGTAAGATAGGAATTAGTATTTATGTATGGCTTTAGAAGTGATTTTAATGTATCTCTGAATGATTGCAACATGCATTACCCATATCAGAATAAATTTTTATATTAATATGAACATCATTTAATTTGGTAGTATATTAAATTAAAACATCTGGGTTTATTAAAATATTAAATCAAAAGAATTAAATTTCTATCGTCTGATTGATAATAGTTATTAATTGAATTTATCTATAATTGTATCATTAAAAATAGATGTAAGATAATAATATAAATATATCTTAGACTATATTTAAAAATGATATAATTATTATAATTTATAATATAATATTGGATTAAATTAATACTCAAAATAAGATTATACAATTAACATCAATTTATTCAGTAATTTTATTGTTCTAAAACTTCAATTACTTCTACTAAACTCTCTCTATTTTGAACTTCCTAGATATGTAAACTATGAGTAACAGGTTTTCTACATAAGTAACAAAGTTCACTTTTGCTTAACAATTACTCACAACATTCTTTACAAAATCCACCATGACCACATGGCATATTAATCATATTACTTTCTTTTTCATAACATACTAAACATAATTTTTAAGAATTTTGATTCTATTATTCTTATTTAATTTAAGATTAATCTTCGAATTACTTTTTATCAGAATTTCTACTTGTTAAATCTTATCCTAAACTTGAACTAATTTCTAATCTTTATCTTGGACTAGATAATAATATATCAAATCTTTTTGATTAATCATCATCATTCACTTAATATTTATTATCTATTTAATTTTATTTATTTTGTTGCATAATAATAGATGATTTATGTTATTAATCACTATTCTATGCACATTTATAATAAGTTTATGATAATTTAACCATGAATTAAGGTACTTTAGATATACTTATTTTATGCATTCTTTTCAATTTCAGTTATATTCTATTTTCAATTTAATTTTGATTTTAATTTATTTATTATATTTATTATTCAACATATAGATTGCTCTAAGCCATATCATAATATAAAAAGTAATCACTCTATTATTAATGATTTCTTACATTAGTTTTTATTTAAACTTATAAAAATAAGCTAATTATAGTAGATAATATAGAATAGTTAATCCAAATGCATATTAATTTAATTAGATAACTTTAAAATCATAATTTAATGCACATCCAAATAGTGTTGTAAATGGTACTAGAGTGATTCCAAATGAAATCAAATTTAACCAAATTCCTCCTTAAACTTAAATATATATATTAATTTAACTAATAATTGATTTTTTATCTTCTTCAATACCATCTTATTTATTTCTGCATTTTTATAGTATATCAATTAATAAACATATGGCTATTACAAAGGACAATCCAAGAAGAAACCATATAATAATTAATGTTTAAATCCATCCCCAAGTTATTTGTTCTGTTATCCTAAGACTTACAAATACAAGTTGAAGAGCACTGATACTTTTAAATGCAGCTATTAGCTAAAAATTTATAATCAATTTACAATCTCTTAAATCTAAAATGATTAATCTAAAGTATCACTATCTGATGTACTTCTATTCACAAGAACTGTGACTGATAAAATCAAGAATTGTAAAACAAGTTGAGCATAAGAAATGAAATTAATATTCACTTTCTCTATCTCTATATAATATACTATGGAAAGTAAATAGGATATTAAAAGTAAACTTTCAAAAATATTAAAACAACAGTATTGGGAAAGACTATAATAATTAATTGTTATACTTTCTACTTTTAAGTAATTTATGTACCATTATTGTGAAGGAGGATACGCAGCAATAGATAATGATTATTTTATAGTCCCATTAAAATATTAAATGAGCATTGTATAATAAGCAAAATCCGCTGAGTATTGTTATCATAACTACTATCTAAATTTTTCAATTCAAATTACTGATTTCAAATTATTTTGGGACTTTGATCTAATTTACTACAATTCAAAAGAACTAATTAAATGATTTAATACTTCACAATTCCATTCATAAGACAAAATAATAATATAATAATTTTAATTAGATTATAAATGATGTATTCAAACTTATAATTTTTGATCATAATTACTTAATGCAATCATAAATGCAATTAAAGGACTAAATGGTGCTGCTATATCTAAATTAAAATAGTGTTTATCCCACTTACCAAATTATAAATATATTTTTTCAGGTATTTCATCCTTTAAAACAATTTAAAAATTCTTTATTGAAGAAATTTTAACTCTTTCATAAAAATTAAGAATAAAAGTTTATAATTTGGGATCCCATTTAGGTTTTCTATTAACAAATTCATTATTCATATCATTATTAAATTTAAACTAAAATTTAAAATAAATTTATACACATTATTATCTAGGTTCATTGGCTTTTGGAACTGCATTAATACACAATTCACCTAGACATTTTCTATAAGGTTCTTTCTTTCTTTTAGGATTTAATCCTGTATCATAAAAGTAATATTAATTATTTTTCTTACAACTAACTTATCCTACAAATTGTGGAGATTTTCTTTCTATATTTTCTTTATCTGCACTTATCAAATATTTATTTCCTACCTTTTTAGCTGCCAAATAACATTAATTATCTTTTAAAAAATAAAACTTTGGTCTAAAAGTATTAAATCCTGATTTATTAATCTAAAAAGCACATTAAACTATTCCTTATTATTAAATAGGTGAAGTAAGAAAGTCTGGTACTTATTAAAACTAAAAGTTCTTTATGATACTAGGATAAGCACTTGTAGTTAAAGAATTAGTCATAGATTTGTCTGGACTATAAGAATCTCTTTATTAATCAACTTTAGCCATTTAATATTCTTTTTAGAAATCTCCCTTTTATTTTTATTCTAATTTTTTTGGAATATCACCTTAATAAGTTAAATCATCCTCATGATCTTCTGCTACTAAATTACCTGTTCTTGGGTTCTATCTCTCTACTTTAAACTTCCATTATATATAAGTAATACCATCTTAATTTCTAAAGGATTTTGATTTTGTACATCAATAGAATTCATTTTAATCAATTAAGAAGGACTAATTGTAGGTGAATCATTTGGTTGCTTAATTATAGAACCTCTCTAAAAATGAAATGAATATTAAATTACTTTTTCCATTATCCTTTTAGGTGAGGATTGTTATTACATTTTTATTAATTTATACTATATTTAATCAAAATATATAAAAATATAATCTTATTTCATACAGTTGTCACTCCTATTTATTTATCACCTTAAACTTCATATTTAGCAGTAGTTTATTTTGAAGTTCTTTAAAAGAGGTTAGCAAGCATTTTTAAGAGAAAATCTATCTTTACTTCCCAATAACACACTTGATTGTAAAAATAATGAGCAAAAATGCATCCCGTTGTTACCTAATTTAAATTTATTTAAATTACATCAATTGTGTAATGAATTGCAAATGTAATTACAACAAAAGCTTAATATAAAGAACACATAAAGAAAAATGCTGACATATACTTTTTACCTATCCTTTTCATTTCAAGTCCACAAATTATTAAATATCCTACATGTCCCTAAAATTATATAGATTCAATATTTACAGAATAAAAGAAATCAGAAAAAAATCCATATTTTACAACCAAACTTGGAATATTTGGATCCTCCCAATAGTAATTTTATGGGAATTCTAATTTTACTAGATTTAAATGAATAGCTCTAACAACATAGAAGATAATTAAGGCAGCGAATAATCTAAAATTTCTTTGGTATAGAACCCAATAAAGTGATATATATAGATAAGCTACATCTAAGATAATGGCTGAGAGTAATTAAATTACAATAGAAAACCTAAATAATAACACTAATATACCATCGATGTTCTTTATACATATTGTTAATTGGTGTTGTAATTTAGTGTCCAATATCCCAAACTCCAATTATCTTTTCTGTTGGAGTGCAAAAAAGTTGAAAAAGTTATGTAAGAACAATATAAGAGAAAAACACAAATATCCTAAATCGAAAATTGTAACAAGGATTTCCTGGAACTCCACTTTAAGTATGATCAAATTTATCAGGGAAGACAAAGTATTTAATATCCTCTCCATTATATATTGTGATTTTTTCATCATTGACACTCTTCATTTTAAAAAATTATTAGAATTCCAAATAAATTCCTAATTTCTTAAATAGGGATATCATATTATTAATTAATATCAATATCAAACTTAAGAAAAATCTAATAAGATGGATTAAAATTAAACAATTATGATTCCCAATGTCAAGTAATTCAAAATTATATATATCAATTTCTATATGAAATGTCAACTATATATATAGATAATAAGCAGATCAATTATTAACGTGTTTTATTCTGTTTTATATGATCAATAAATGTTAAGATAATTTTTAAAGTTCAATTTATTTAACATTGTAAAAATTAGATATTTTAGAGAAATTACTTTTTATAGTAATTAGATTTATTATATTTTTAATAATATTTTAACAATGGAACATATATTTATATATTTTTTAATAATAAATAATTAATATAAAATGAATTGCTCATAATGATATAAGTATTAATGAATAATAATAACAATAATAACAATAATAATAATAATAATAATAATAATAATAATAATAATAACAATAATAATAATAATATAATGTCAAATTAAATTAATATAATAAAAAGAACATTATAGATGTTAAAAATAAATTATTGTAATTTAATCAATATAGAGTTATTATTGTTATTGAAAATATCTAAAATAATTGAGAATATAATTCGGCTGGATCAACACATGCTTAACATTCTTAATTTCCTGTGCTGTTATCAAAATGATAGATAAAATTGGAATCCAAACTACATCTAGATATATTAGTGAATGCAGTTGTATCATTTGTTTCTTAACAAAATGCTCTTGTTTCATTCCAATTACAAAAAGTGAATTTTCTTTCTCCATTTATAGTCCATGAACAATTTGGTTGATCAAAATAGAGACACTCCTTTGAATTACATTTAGTTTTAGTATTTTTATTATCCCAATAACATCCTAAACCATTACATGCTTTTTCTGTTAGAATCTCATTACATTTAGTTTCAAATGTAACAGATGAACATGCATGATCATGTTTCTCACAAAATTCATAATTACTCAATTATTGATTGCAATTATTAGTTGAAAAATCTGTACAATGTTTTCTATCTAATACATATTTAATTTAACATGCACCTGTGTCATCAAGTTCACAAATTGTTGAATTTTCACATGTGTCATCGCAATTATAAGTATCAATGTCTACACATTTTTCATCAACCCATTTACAATTTGGATTCCAATCATCTGTTGTTGTGGTTTAATTACATTCTGATTCACTAATCCTATTCTCACAACCAACTTAAATACAAATATCATTCTTCCAAAAGCATCCTCCTAATAAACATTCTTCTTCCCAAAATAATTACTAACAAGTACATCTAACCACTAATTACCAAGCAACAATAACAATTAACCCTAAAAAAATAAGAAATTTTGCAGTCATCAAATTAATGACTATTAAATATTTTTTTTATAATAATAATAAATTTTCAAGAATGTTTTACATAATCCTTATAAGATGATAATTTTATTTGTTTTATCAAAAATCTTTTTTTCTACTTTATTTAAGAATATAAGTAACCTATTTCTCAACTGTCAGAATATTATTCAAAAAATATAAAATCAATTATCAGGATTCTTATAAATTTAGTTGAAATGTATTTTGTATTATTGATTTCTATCATTACTAAGGAGATTATTTAAATTAATTTAATGATATAATTTTATCACTATGTTTTAAGCCATTTCTTAAATAAGCATCACAAAGTAAAAATTGAATCAGAAGTTATTGTTTCCCTCTTATTTATCGTTTATTACTCTCAACTAATTTGCTTACTTTAATAAACTTAAGATAATACTTTCGATCAGCAGATATAAATAAACTTACTAAATTTATTTTAGTATTATGGACAAATATGGAGACCCTATAATTATTTAATCAAATATAAGGGATTCAAATAATATGCCTTTTTAATACCTTCACTTCTAATTATTTTGATTATGGTTGATTTTTTGTTATAATGGATGGAGGAAGTTAGAAGCAAGAATACATAACAAAAAAAGTAAAATTTAAAAGGAATTCATAACAACAATGAAAAAATACTCTCTATTATCTTTTAGGTACATTTGTATACTATTTCACTATATGAATTAGACCTTTTTATGTTATCTCTTAAAGATGGAATATTAAATTTGCCAGATTCTATTCCAATGCTCGCTTTTTCTTTTTTTTTCCTTTTTTGTAAATTACTATTCATACTACTAACCCTTTTGTGTTCAGAATCTATTCACTTTCCAAGTTCTCCAATTCATTTTAATATATTATCAATAGGATAATATTTTAACATAATTCTTATAGTAATAAGTCTATATTTGAATCATGAAAATGGAGATTTATAAACTTCACTTTTCCATATTATTAATTTATTTATTATTGGATTTTACATTTATGAAGAGTGTCAGAAGAAAATTAATTGTCTTAATACTTTAATATTATTATTACTCACATATGGTTTTTTTAATAATTTATCATTCTTTTTTGTTATTCAAACGACAAAAAAAGAATATTAAATTGCCTTACTATTTGTCTTGTGTCCTTTATTTCTAAATTTAGTTATTCATTACTCAAGATAATCAATTAAAATAGTCTACTCAAAGAATAGAACTATTGCTTAGATATTTAATAATCTCCTTATACTAAATGAAAACAAATCTAAAAATTTTAAATAAGAAAATTTTGAAACTTTAATGCTTAAATAAATAACAACATATGCCAATGATCCATTTAATTCAGAATTAATCTTATTCAACAATAAAATTATTAAATCTAAAAAAAACTAAAAGGCTTTTTGGTATTATAAATATATACTTATAAAATTATCATAACTGTAATACACAGAAACTTTGATATTAATACATAATTTCAAATAGTCCTAATTTTATTCTGAAGTAAATAAATAATTCGTTAGAGTTTAGATAAACATTTCATTTATTTAGTAATTGAAACTCATAAATTTAAAAAGTGAAGTTTATTAATTACTAAATTACAATATTACTAAAAATTTTGAATTAGATAAACTCAATTCAAATTCCTTTATTCATTACAAAGTTTAAATTCAAAAAAGTTAAAATTAGATTTTAAATATCTTCAAAGAAAAGGAAGCACTCTATTCTCAACTCTTAGAGGGAAAACCTACAAAAATTAATAGTATTTTTAATAAATGTTACAATATCCTTTAAGAAGCTTTATAAATATAATAAGAATTAAGATAAGAATTAACTAACTAGAAAACATATCGTATTCATTAATTATTGACTATGCTTTATGTTGAATTTTTCAATAATATTATATAGGCTGAACTTCTTAAATACTTTTAGTTGAATAATGAAGAATTAAAATAGAATCCTTTAGAAAATATGGATTTTCTCAATCTAAAGCTAGAAGATAATTTACTAAATACTTAAATTAAATATTTTAGTTAAAGTCTATTTTTGAGATTAGGTTATAAATTAAAAGATGAATAGTTTTTTCAATTCAAAATGCTCTTTCCAGATGCTTTTTATGAAACTCATTAAGAATTAATAAAGCATTTTTTGGAAAGTGGAACTTGTAAGTATTTAAATAAGATCTCAGATATGCTAATTAGAGGTTAAGATAATATTTACTTTTATGCTATGTTTTAATTAAATATTGAAAATTCTAATAAACCAGAATTATCTTTTTATGTTTTCATAAAAATAAATGAAGAACAACCTAATTCTGTATTCATCAATAAGTAACAATAAATTATTGGTTATACTACATCATTTTTAAAGTATATAAACAAAAAAAACCTTAATTTTACTTCTAAATCTTTATATTTATTAGAACTTAATAAAATAATAATTATTAATAAACATCATCTTGGATAAAAGTATATAAAGGGACGTTTGACATAAGATTCAACATCAGAAATAGCTTTAGAATTTATTGAAAGAAGAGGTATAATAGAATTAATTATTTTGGATGAAAATTGGGATTATTTATTAAATCAAGAAGTATTTAGTCAAGAACCAAGTTAAAAATGTAGTTTAGTACTTAATGAAGAATCTGTTGTCTTAATTCCAAACCAGCTATTTTTAGATGATTTGAATAGTCCTCTATCATTGGCAAGAAGAGATAAACCCTATCAAGAATTATTATAAAGTGACATAAAACAAAACCAAACAATTAAAAGTAAAGAAGGTAGTAATGTAATTAGTGAACCTATATAAGAGAAAACAAAAAATTAAAAATTAAGTGTTAAAGATTAAAAAGATGATTTCAATAATGATTAAGCTTCATCAAAATTTTCAAGAGGGTTTTTAGATAATTCAATATTTTATTAAAAATATAATAAACTAAACTTATTTTTAGTTTAAAGTACTAGAAATAGATAAATTACAATGGCTTTATTATTATTTCTCTTAGCATTATTAATAAATATTATTTTTTAGTTAATCAATTTGACTTAATTTTTACCATAATATTAAAAAGTAAATTCAGATATTGATATGTTAACACTTAAAGGTAATTTTATGGCTCCAATTCACAATTGTGTAACAGCTTAAGTATGTGTTGTAAATTATATGCTTTTGGCTTTTGTATTTAAAGAGATTAGTTAAGAAGTTGCTTTTTCAAAAATGTAATTTGGATTAGATTCTATTTATAAATCATATGAACATTTGAAAATTTCATTTACTACTTAATTAGATAATTAAAATCTATAAGAATTTTTTTATGATTAAGAAATATTAATGTATTAATTAGAGAATTTAAGTTTGGTTCCTAGAAATATATCATTAAAGTCTGCTTTGATTTATTATTAGGAAGCTTAATATTTCACTTCAATAATAGATTATTAGAATGTACTTACAGTAATTCCTTCAAATGATTTTGTTTATTATATGGCTAATATTGTTGGTGTTGATGATTATTTTGATTATTTAAGTGATGAAGTATAAACATTTGTTGAGTCTAGAATTTTAACATTTGAAAGTGATTAAACAAAGTTTTTTTTAAAAATGATATTTCTGTAATTGTTAATAGTGACTTTGGGAATTTCTCTTATTTTGTAAAATCAATATACACTATCAGAATTATTTAGTTTATTTACTAATATAAATACATTTTCATTATAGAAGGAAATTTAAAAATTATAAAAAATGATACATTTATTAAATCATGATGATGCATATTAAATTTATAATTTTGAAGTAAGTGTTTGGGAGAAAGAAATATCTGCTTAAGCATTTTCATATAATTTAAAAATTAATTTAAATAGAATAATTAATCATGAATATAAATTACCTAGATTAAAATTAATTACTATATTTTTTATAGTTCTTACAATTTATTTACTTCCATAAATAGTATTGTAATCAATGAATGGTACATTTTTTGATAAATACAAATAAAGTACAGATCTTTTAGTTAAATTGTCTAAATTAGGATCAGCAGTAACTGCAGTTTATGAAATTCGAGAAATTAATTATATGATTTCAGGTAAGTCTCCTTTTTTTGATTTCTTTACTGATTAAAAACGAATTGAATAAAATGTTATAGTAGAGAAAGAACTTGAAAAAATAAATGAATTTCTAGTTTTTTATTTGTTTCTTGATTTGTAAATAATATAACAATATTTATTAGTGATTTATCATTAACAGATGATGATTTTGTAGATAAATTCGAAAATGTTTAATCAACAAATTTATGTAATTTTATAATTCATGTAAATGATTATTTATCATGATTAGTACAACTAAACTTTGGCTTAAGAACATTGTAATTTAATTTATGAGGGAGTGATGAAATTAGGATTGATTAATACACTTACTGAAATATACAGATAGATCAAGACAGAATATGAAAATACTAAAGGCTTTTAAATTTAATATAGAAATAAATTTGGTGCTTTTGAGGAAGTTGAAATTGGATTAATTGCATCAGATTCAATTTTATATTTATAATCTGAAGTATTTAATGCTGTAGAATTAAAGACTTCAGAATTAATAACTGCTCATTAAGTATTAAAATTTAAAAGACTATTTAGATTTTGATTGGTATCTACATATCAATTAGTTTAATACTTGGCTTTATTATAGTACGATATTATTATCCATACTTAATCAAAAGAACTATGATAGTTAAGAATATGATATTTTTAATACCATAATTATAGTTTTATTTAGATCAAAAATTTGAAACAGATTTTAGACTATTATAAATGCACAATGTTTGAGGTTGATAAGTAATTATGAAATTAATTTATAAATGTTAAAAATCGTTTTATTTATTTTATTCTTGAATTTTATTGATGATGCTACACTACGATAGAGTGGTGATGGTTAAATGATATTTGTGAATGGAAAACAACATTAAGTATTAGTGAAATAAAAGAGATTTGCATAATTGAGGTAATGATTAGTAGTACATAAATAAAGATCTATGCCAGAGTTATCAGAAGATGAGGGAGGAGATGATGGTGGAGATGATATGGGAGATGATGAAATTGAAGCAGGAGGAGGAGGTGGTCCAAGTTTGGGTGGATTATCAGGTGGAAATCCTAGAGATGCAGAAACAGAAGAGAATTTAAGATTGGATGCTTGGTCTATAATAAGGAATTTAGATGAATTTATGATTGTACAAAATTAAAGGTTGATGGATGCATTGTATGGAGATGCAATTGAATAAAATGAAGAAATGGAAGAACTAATTTATGATTTGACAGATAATATTGATCATTGGACCTATAGAGTTTATAGTAAATTCTAAAAAATCAATTTTGCTTTAGAAGACAGTAGATATACATCAGCAAAAACTGCTATAATAGTATAGTTTATATTTTATATTTTTAGGCAATCGAAAGTTAAATAAGAAAAGCTAATTAATAACTTAAAATATATTATGGATAATTATATAGATTGTAAGATCAAATTCCAGATGAAGAAGAATAATGTGCATAGTTCTATACATGCAAGGAATGTTTGAGTAATCAGGGTTGTGGATGGTGTCCATTAAATGATAAATGTGTTGTTGGAGATGAAAATGGACCATTATTTTAATAATGTCAATATTATAATTATTAGTTTTGTTAAGGTAAATAATGTTTGAAATATTCTACATGTAATGTAAGAATATCATATTATAATTAGACATGCTTATCTGATTCTGAATGTGGATGGTGTTAAGTTGAAGAAGATGACATTAAAGTCTGTCTATAATAACCAAGAAATTTTTAAGGTTGTCCTGAGGGTCATTGGTATCATATAGCAGGAGAAAACTTTGCTTGTCCTTTTAAAAAATAAAAAGAAAAGATGGAAGAAGATGTGCCTAATCATAAATTTTGGATGAGGCCTAAAACTAAACCTCCTGAATGTAAACCTGTAGATTCTGCAATGAAAGCAAAGATCCAAAAAGAAAGACAATAATATAATGATAAATCAGAATATAAGGGTGAATAAAATAGAAATAAAGAAGTGGTATAACTTGTACTTATGTACAATAGTAATTGAATTATAAAAACACTCTTCAGCAAAAAGTAGTTTAATTAAAGAGTTTAGTAGAAGAACTTACTGAGAGAAAAGATGATATCTAAGCATGGTTGGATGAATATATGAAATAAAAAGGTATTGAACCATCTGAGCCTGCTGAAAACCAAGAGTAATAGGATGCGGGGGAAGAATCACCTCAAGAAAATTAAGAATAATAGGATTCATCCAATTCTTAAGGATCAGGGGCTAGTAATAAGGTCTAAGTGAAAAAGGAGAAAAAATCAAAGAAGAGTATATTTATATTTTGAAAAGTTAGAAATTGTTTAAATTTTTGCTGAAGAAACAGCAACACCAGAGGAAGAATAAATGCCAGAAAGTTTATAAGAGGAAGTTTAAGAGGAAGTATTTGAATAAGGAGAAGAAGATGTGGAATATGTTTTTGAGACATCTAAGGAATACAAAGTTGATATTCGTGAAATTCATGTGGAAAAAGAGAAAAAAAAGAAGATTGATAAAGAAGAAATTGAGGATAAAAAATATAGAGATTAAGGGGATAGAGATATAGAAGGAGATTTAGAAACAGATTATTACAAAGATTATTATTAATAAAGAAAAAAACATTTTAGAGATTTTGAGAAGTATTATCCAAAATGAGAATTATTCGTTTTTCTAATAGTTAAATATGTTTATTATTTTAATCGAAAGCGTAATTATATATTTGGGATTGGCTGTCCATCATCATAAAGAAGAGCAATTACTTTTGTAGACAGGCACGTATAATTTAATTTACAATTCAGGATGGGATTGGGAGATGAATTATCAAAAGAAGTAGATAGAATTAAGGTGTCACTAAAATTATAAAATAAAGCTTTAGCCAAAGAACTGAGAGGTGCAACTGAAGAGAGAGCTGAAAACATCTCTGAATTATCTTCTGATATCAAGACTATTCTAGATAAAATGGCATATGTTACTGATACTAAGATGACTAGAATAAATGATAGAGTTTAAGAACACATCTATTAAACTGAAGCTATTTCCTTAATAATAATAATGGATCAATTAGATAAGAAAGTTTAAGAATTAGCAGGAATCAAATAATAAATTAAATAACTTAAAGCTAAGATTCCTAGACTATCTGATAAATGCAGCAAATATTTTACTTGTTATGATTGTTTATAAGATGAGAGTTGTGGATGGTGTTCAATGGAAGATAAATGTGTTGAAGGAGATGAGAAAGGACCATAAAAGATCAGTTGCAATTTTTATAGTTATAAATAATGCAATGGGAGATAATGTCATAAATATAATACATGTGCAGTATTAATTGAATATTATATAAGACATGTATAGCTGATCCTTCTTGTGGTTGGTGCATAGATGATAATCGATTTATGTCAGGATGTTTATAATAACCCTATGATTATTAAGGATGTCCCAGAAATGGGTGGTTTCACTTAGAAAGTAGATAAAATACATGTCCTTAATAATTGAGGAAGGTATATGAAGAAGAGTTTGATGAAAATTCTTATTGGTCAAAACCACTTGATGATTCTGCCTATGTTGATGAAGCAGAAAGTAATGAATAAGATAAAAATAATGCTTTGAATGGTAGAGGAGGAGTAGAAGAAAGTGAATCTAATACAGAATATAATAAGAAATAATAATAAGTGGCTAATTAAATTAAACAATTAGAAGCTTTGGTAAAAGAGATAGAAAAAGAAATTGAATCATTATAGAAAAGATATTAAGAAACAGTTGATTGGTTGGATAAGTTTAATAAAGGAGAGGAAGGAGAAGGAGAATAATAGGAATAATAAGAAGAAGAACCATAATAAGAATAATAAGAGGAGAATCAACAAACATAAGATGAAGCATAAAAAAAGAAAGAGGAGAAGAAAAAGAAAAAAGAAGAGAAAAAATAAAATGATGAAGAAAATAAAAAAAAGAAGGAAGAAGAAAAAAAGAAGAAAGCAGAAGAAGAGAAGAAAAAGAAAGAAGAAGAAAAAAAAAAGTAAGAAGAATAAAAGAAAAAGAAAAAATAAGAAGAAGAAGAGAAGAAAAAGAAAAGGAAAGAAGAGGAGGAAGAAAAGAGAAAGAAATTATAAGAAGATTTAGAGAATAAAAAATAAGAAGATGAATAAAATGAAGAGGCAAGAGATTCGAATGAATAAGAATAATAAGAAGATGGAGATGGAGATGGAGATAGAGAAGGAGATAATAATGAAAATAATGATACTTAAAATGATGATCAAAATTAAGAAGGATCTTAAGATACAGATAATTAAAATAATTAAGCATAAAAGAAGAATAAAAAATCATCTAAAAGTGCAGACTCTAATAATAAAGCAAAAGATAAATAGGGTTCAAAAAATTAGGATTCTGATAAAGGGGATTAAGGAGATGATGAGAAAGAGGAAAAAAGAGAGATTCCAGATTCCTATTTTAGGGAACCATAATTATAAAATAAGAAATGGGAGGACTTTTATAATGGAAATTTTAATTTTATTGCCTAAGAATAAGAAGTTGATGATGATGAAATGTAATTTGACTCAATAGATGTAGTTGATGAATTTTATGATCCTTTTCATTTAAATTGATTTTATATATATATAAGATAATTTTATTAAAATTTAATTATTGATCTAATATTCTAAGTCTTTTAACTCTTTTAATTTTCTTCTTATATTGTCTTAGTTAATGATAAATTGTCTTTTAAATTCTAATATTTCTATAATAATGCGTATTATTTACGTATTTATAAAATAAATTAACGCTAGGAAGCATTCAAATTTGAGAACAATTTAGGAACATAATTTTCAAAAACATATTTAAAATTGAAGGAAAATGAAAAGGTATCCAACTAACAATCCTGTAGAGGAGTTCAATAGAAACGTTACAATAACAAACCTAAAATTAAATCATTTAGAGTACAGAAATGTAGAAGGAAAGGTAACAGCATTTTTTAAATATAATTTAGAACTTGTTTGAAAGAGTGAAAGGGTATCAAGATTTGATTGGGCAATTCAGAAAACAAAAGATTATACTATATGAAAGAAGAAATATGTCAGCACCAGCCCAGGAATGTTATGGTATTTAAAAAAGTTCATAATAGGAATGGATGATTATGGAGATATATTTTATGGGATCAATTTTGCATCTGCAGACTATTTGGGTTTATGCACTAATGAATAAGCAAAGGTATAAATTAAAATAAATAGAATAGGAAGCAGCAGCAACTGCAGCTTAAGAATATTCTGTAAATTCTTGTGGAGCACCATTAGCTTTTGGAGCATCAAAATATTACATGTAATTGAAGGAAGAGTTAAAAGATTATTGGAATATGAAAGAGGTAATAATTTATAGTGCTGGTTGGTTGGCAGGTTATGGTGTAGTAAAAGGATTAATAAGGTAACTGTTGATTATTAATGTACTTAGACCTTATGATTTTGTAATAATGGATGAATTATGTCATAATTGCTTAACTGAAGGAGCTCATGCAGCAACAAAGAATGTGTTTAGAGTAACTCACTTGAGTCTTGAAGCAATGGAGAAGAAGATAGCTGAAGTTAGATTAGAGAATCCAGAAGCATGTATTTTGGTTGTGACAGAAGGTTTGTTTAGTATGGATAGTGATTACACTGATCTTGTGGCTTTATAAAAGATAACTTTAAAATATGAAGCATTTTTATTGATAGATTGTGCACATGATTTTGGATGTATGGGCAAAACAGGTAGCAAATATTATATATGAATTTATTTAGGAAAGGGAGTCTATGAAATATAAGGACTTAAGGATTTTTCTAATGTTCTTTTGATGTCTGGAGGATCTAAATGTTTATCTACAAATGTTGGATGGGTTGCCTGCAATTCGTTTGAAGTAATTGATTATCTTAAATTCTTTTCTTCTGCTTATATGTTCACTAATTCAGTTAATCCTGTTTAATGTGCTACTGCTTTAGCATAACTCAGAATTTTAAATAGTGAAGTAGGTGTTAGATTGAGAACTCAAGTGCTTGAAAATTATCATTATATGAAAAAAGAATTGAATTCTAGAAATTACAAAATCTTAGGATATCCTTCTCCTATTCTACCATTATTAATAGGTGATGAATTAACATGCAGAATTGTAACTAGATTAATGTTAGATGAAGGAATTCATTGTAATGGTATTGAATATCCAATTGTAAAAATGGGATAAGCTCGTTTAAGAGTAAATTTATAACCATAACACACAAAAGAGTATTATAATTTATCATATCTTTAAGTTAAATGGATACATTTATTGAAACCTTTGATTTTTGCTTTAAGAAAGCTACTAAATTAACATAAGATTCTCTTGAAAGATATCAAATATATTTGGAATAGTAGGAATAATAAGAATAACAGTTCAAAAATAATTAAAAATAAGTAAACTTCAATGAGACTAAGATGGAACTCAAGAAGCCTAACTTATGAATCTAATTATTAAATAATTTAAATTTATATAGATATTTATAATTCTAAATTTGTTGTATTAGTATTGATATTATTTACATATACAAACTAATTTAAATTCATCCAATATGCATATTAATTCTTTATTCAAATTTCTTCTTTGAATCATCTATTATACTTTATTATTATGGAATAGTAAAGAAATATTTTTGATTAATTTTATTTTTACCATTACCTACTTTTTGTATCCAAATTAGATTCAAAACTTCTTGGCTTCTCACATCTCTAAATAATTTCAATACTGTAATCAGAGATAAATATTACAACATTGCTGAAATATATAAATAACAAAGAGTTCCTAAATTAATTATATTATTGTTTACCTGCAGGTGTTTTTAATAAATCTGTTAATAAAATTACAATAGATAATGAACCAAAACAAATTTCTAAGAATACTCCTGCATAAATTAAAATTTATATTTTGATGATTACTTTTTTATCTGCATTAAGATTGGCAGTTCTTATTTATTTTTATTAAGCTTATATTTCTGATTAATAATCCTCTGCAGATAATACTTTAGTTTTCCTATCATCATTTATTTAAATATCAAATAAAGTTTCTCTATTACAATTCTTAATTGTAGCTTTTTTAAACTTTTTTGCTTCTAATACTTACTATTTAGTTTTCTCAACAATTTTTATTTACATATTCTTTATTTTTCTAATATTCTATCTATTTTTATCAATATCCCATTTCACATTTTCTTAATTATTATCATCATCTTCATTCAATAAACAAGAATTAACTTTTTAATGAAATACTCCCTCATCTTTAGAACTCTAAGATTCTTCACTAACTATTGTTTTTAATTGATTTTTCTGTATATCTTTATTTGGTTCTAAATCATAAGAACTTTAAACAACTTTAATTTTAATCTATTAATCTTGTAATTCATTAATTGAATTCTATTGTTTTTTAAAAGAAACAGACTTTTTTAAATTAGATAGATTTAATTTTTCAATTGACACAATAGCTCTTAATGTTGATATTTATTCATTGTTATCTTCACTTCCACTCTAAGAACTAAGTCTTAAGACTTATTAATCTTAAGTTTCTGGTGATTAAAGTTATTCATCTTATTGAATTCCTAATGAACTCTTTGAGAATACTATCTTTCAAATTTATAGATATCTTACTTATTACTATTAATTTTCTTGAACAGATTTTTCTTCAATAACCTTCTCCATTTCCTTACTATCTTTGTCTAATTTCCTTAACTGTGATTCTATACATTGATTTAACAATCTTCCATAGAGAAAGAATTCAAATATAAAAGAACTTTTTATATTAATTTTAATATTACATGAAATTTAAAAGTAAGATTGCATATGCTATGTAAAGAATAGTTTTATATTACTGACTTAATCTTAATCCTAATTAAATATTTAAGTTACCATTTAATGTACTAATTGTTAATTGTATTAACAAAACAAACAGAAGTCTTAATTTCATTATATCTTTATAGTAAACGAATATCCATTTTCTTGTTTCAATTTTTAATTCATTTCTAAATAATTGAGATTTTGAATTTTAGTTTCTTTCTGAAACATTAAATGAAATTTCATCATACATTGTATACCAAACCATCAATAATATGCCATATATATAAAATAGAATAGTGTATACTACTTCTGCTAAGATTCTTTCATAAACTCTTTTATCATGATCCTAACTTTATTATGAATATTACAAATGGTTTAATAGGATCTAAAGTAAGCCATATGATTTTTAAAATATTGAATAAAATTGTTAAACACAAAATGCAATTTAATGGAGAACCTAGAAAATTCTTTAGATAACTTAATCCTCTAGAAAGTATAATTATCTCTGAAGTACCTTTAATATGTTGGAATTTTATTGGTTTTTAAAGATAGTTGAAGTTGTTTAATTGTTAGAACAAGTAGCAATATAAAAAGAATTAAAAACAATCCTATAAATGTGAAATAAGAGGCAACATGAAGTTCCTCTAATTTTTATGAACAATCCATTCCAAAATACCCTAAATCACATTAGCAAGCTTAATCAAAATACAATCCTCTTCCATTACAATTTGAATTATCTAATTCTTTTTAAACGGAACTCATATTAATGTTATAATAATCATTTATAAAATCTATAAATTCAATTTAAACTCAATATTTTTCAATTTACATCTTAAATCTTAAATTGAATCAATTCTTGTGTACAATATATATTATTCAATATATACTAAAAAATATGATTATAATAATAATAGCAATATTTTAATTGTAATCCAATTTTCTTTATATTATTGTAATAAAAAAATAATAATATAATTAATATTTTAAGAGATAATAGTTAGAAATATTATCTATTCAATTAGATAATAAGAATATTAAAATGATATGATTAATCTAAAGATGATAATTATATTGAAAATAAATGAATTTAGACTAAAATAGTGAAAAATCATTTAGATTTATTAATTTTTATAACATAACAATAATTAATGGGTTGTGTATCACCAAAAGATTAGAAAAAGTCAATCGATATTAAAACTTCTAGAACATCAAGTGCACGTTAACCAGTCTAATAAACAGTGAGTTCTCCTTGTGTTTTTGAAGAAACTGAAAATCTAGAGACAGATTATATTCTTCATAAATTAGACCCTTTGACTAGTATTGTTTATATAAACTATAATTATAGCTCAAAGAAGTTATATAATGAAAGGAGTTTCTAAATAAAATAGTATTTCAAGGATTGTAAGGATTTACAATTGTGATAATATTCGTAGTGAATAATAACTTTAAGAATTCCAAGAGAATATAAATATATTATTTTAGTTGGTATTGGCTATGTTTAAAATTATAGAAACATTTGAATGTATAAAGCACACTTTCTTATTATTGTAATAAGAAAAAAATAAGTTTGATAGGTGAGTATTTAGATGGTGGAAATATGTTATCGAAATTAGATGAATTTAGTTAAATGTAGTAATTTGTAATGATTGAAATATTTTGTTAAATCATGGCTGGATTATAGTACTTACATGAGAATTAAATAACTCATGGGTATATATTATGTCAATTTTATAGAGATATTCGTTTAGAACATATAATGTTTACAAATAAATCATTAGAAAAGATTAAATTAGTTGATTTTGGTATTTCTAATTCTTTGAAATCTTAATGTACAAATTGGAAACCAACAACAACAATGCACGAATTATCATTTAGATCACCTGAATCTTTAAAAGGATAAACATCAATGAAATCTGATATATGGTCATGTGGTTGTCTTCTCTATTTCTTCCTTACATCTCACATGCCTTTTTAAGCAAATAATTTATAATCTTTGAAAAATTTAATATTAAGAGGAGTACCAAACTTTGAAGGTTAAGAATGGAACAGTATTAATCCTGCTCTTAAATTATTAATTAGTAAAATGTTACATCCAAATCCATAATAGAGACCATCTGCTTAATAAGTATTGAATAATAATGTATTTGTTGGGAGAGCTCGAATTCTCAAAAATCCTAACAAGACATTATAAAGACATATGAGAGAATTCAAAGTATTTATTAATTTATATATATATAAATAAAGATATCATCATAGTTGTCAACGGCAATGTTAATTTATATTGCAGAAAATTTAATGTCTGAGTAAGATAAGAGGAAGTTAATGGATGAATTTATGAAATTTGATTTAAATAATGATGGTTTATTGACAAAAGAAGAATTGTTAAGTGTTTATTCAAGAACATTACCACATGATAGAGCATTAAAAGAAGTCAATAATATATTTAAGAAGATCGATGTAAATGGTAGTGGTAAAATAGATTACCAAGGTATAACTTAATTATGAAAAGCAGAATTTGTAATAGCAACAATAGATTAAAAGAAATATTTCAATAAAGAAAAGTTAATGATGATTTTTTAATAAATTGACAGTGATCATAGTGGATATTTAAATAAAGAGGAACTTAAAAGATTATTAAGAGATATGTCTATACCAATAAAAAAATATGAATAATTATCAAAATAATTAGATTAAAATGGAGATGGATAAATTAATTAAGAAGAATTTATAGGAATGATACTTTAAATATGAGATTTATCTTTAATTATTATATATATATATTTAATATCTCTAAAAATAAATATTTAATTAATTTCTATTAATTAAAAATATACATAATAAATAAATATTAATTATTCTATAAGATATTATTTAATCAAATTGCTGTGTCTAAAAAGAATCCAGTAATAGTTGTATTAATTGATGGAATATTAATTAATTTTCGTCCATTGAATATATAATCTTAAGGAAAGTTTTCTTCTATTAATTTTTTTGTAGTTTCTGATATTAATACTCTACCTTCTTCAGAACTGCTTTCCATTTTATTTGCAATGAGAATGTCTTTACCATATACATCATATCTAATGATATCTGTACCAATAATACCACCAATTACATTACCCTATTATATTAATAAAAAATACCGTATGTATTCCAATTCTCATATGAAGATCTTAATACTTTATTTAATTTCTTACTCTTGTTATTGCTTCCAACATATTGAGACTCATTTCAACTACATTTAATGCTTCTTAAATTGGATCTCTTTTGAAATTATCTGTTACTCCTATTACAACATAACAATCACCAATTGTATATAATTTGAATACATTATTAACTTAAGTTAATGTATCAAATTCATCAAATAAATTTTTAAGCATTGAGACAACTTCTTCTGGTTATACACTTGATGAATACTTAGTAAATCCAGCAATATCTGCAAATAAGATTGTACAATCATTATAAACATCAGAGAATAATCTTGCACTTGTAGAATCATCTAAAAATTAACTTAAAACATGAATAGGTAATAAACAACTTAAAAGATTTATTTTATCTTCTTTTTTTATCTCTATTTATTCTTAATTAAGCATTTATTTATAAGAAAACAAATAACTTAATAATTCTCTTTATAATAATAAAGCAATTGAAATTAATAGAAAGAATACTTCCCAAATATTTATTATAAATACTGAACTAATAATAATTAACCAAGCAGTTAACATAAATGCACAAATTAATATCTTTTCTTAAACATATAGCCATTTATGTGCAAATAATAAACAACTAGTAATTATTGATTCTATTGATAAAATTATTGATTTATCTTTATCTTAATCATAAAATACTCCTAATATAATACATTAAGATATTAATTATATAATAATTACTTTTAATAATCTTTCTCTTTTCCATTCAAAAAAATGAGCTTTTAAAAAATATAATTCTATTAAAATAAAAAAACATCCTAATGCTCTTATTACTGCCTATTAAGTATTTACTTATTATAATTAAGAAAGTATTATAAATAGGATATGTATCATTAAAAAAAGTAATAATGATACAAAAACACTTCTAATACCATTTTCTAATTCTTTACCATAATATCTACTGACATTTTCACTATTCTTAAATGCTTCAAATAAAAACTCTTTTGAAATCAAATGCCAATTATTATTATTATTCTCTTATAATGTTGTACTTTTACCTTCTAAAAAAAACTCTTATATCTTAAATAAAGGAATAGTCTTATTAAAAACTTCTGGTTTTTATTTTATAAATAATTCTATATCATTAAATTTGATCACTCTAATTGCAGAATCAATAAACTTTTTTTAATCATCTCTTCTACAATTAAATGGAGTCTATTCTTTCATTGAAGAATCCATTACATTCAAAGATTGATCTAATGGTATATCAGGTATACCAGCTAAAATATTCTAATTTGAAGGATCTTATTATGGTAGATGTATTGATGATTATTATTAATATTTATCAATTTTTTCTAATTATTATGACATTTATTAATTCTATTGTTATTGTTGTTAACTAAATATAGATTTTTAATGAACTAATTTATTATTAGGACCTAGAATATTATGATTTTGTTATAAAATATGAGGAGATTATATTTAACTAAGTGATGATAAATTTGTTTAATTATTCATTAAATTTCTTTTTGTTTATTTTCTAAATAATTATAATTAACTTGCTGTAAAATTAAGAGTAGGTGTTTTTTAATTAATTATTTATTATTAAGTAGATAAAACCTATTAATTTGGTTATTATTATCCTTAATTATATTATGGTTGATTTAATTATTAATTATCCTCTTATTTCATAGAATTCAATTTATTAGTTAAATGTCTAGTAGTCTTTTATCTAATTGCTGCTATACTAATTTAATTTGGATTTCTAAAAGAGTTTTGTTATTATTAATTATTCAATACAAATTTCAATTTTTAATCTATATGTGGCATTTCTGATTTTTTTTATTTATTATTAAAAGATTATTCAAAATTCCTTTTCTTTTCAATCAAATAAGTTTCAATTATACCTTTACCTTTAGCTTCAATTTTACTAGTTGTAAATTTAATTGATTTAACATTTTTTATTTAATCAAATGCTTAAAGAGATATTTATATTAAACCTTCTGGACAATGAGCACATAATCTACTAGTTGTATTGACAGTATCGCCAATCAATGAAAATTATGGTTTTATTGATCCAATCACACCCATTAGGACTCTACCATAATGTATACCAATTTTCAATCCAAAACTCTTTTAATTAGGTCCCCATTTAAAATTAGTAATTTCTTATTGAATTCCAAAAGCTAATTCTACTAATCTTTCTATAGGATTCTTTAAATGACCTTTTGGCTAAAATTTCTCTACACATTATAATCCTGAACAAGCCATATAAGTCTTTCCAACAGTCTCTATTTTCTGACAATTAGTTGATGAACAAATTTAATCAAATTATCGATAGATATTATCCATTAATTATACTATATTTTAAGCCTCTTCACTTACTATTATATCAAAACTACACATATCCACAAAGATTATACCAACCAATCCTTAATTCTCTGAAAAATTAAGATTTCCTTAATCAAGTCTACCTAATACAAATGGAGGTAATAATAATGACATTACTGATTAATACTTAGATCTTTCAATTTCTAATACTTTACCACAAATATAATCCTCTCTTTGAGTAACATCATCTTAATAACGAGATTATAGAGAAATAATACTAAAAGCCACAAATAATACTATTATTTCACCTAAATATACATTTTCTGCATTTTACATTTTATTTGCATTTAACATAACTATTCCAGATATTAATGTCATTATTTATTATATCACTATAAAAATGTATTTATAATTGATTTATTATGTTAATGAAAAAATGACCAAATAATAAAAGATAAATGCATAAAATTATTTATCATGATCATATACATCAACACTTATTATAAATAATCTAAATATTGTTTACACAAATCCAAAATATATAATTAACTTTTTATATTTTGGATAACAAGATTAATTAATAAGAAATACTTAACAAAAAGTTAAGAATAACATTATAGTAAATAATGCTGTATTGATTTTCTCAAATCTTAATCCATAATGTATTAATAAAAATATATCTAAACCAAAAAAATAACTTAGATTTGTTATAATACCTATAAATTTCCATTTTGATATGTACATTTATATGAATTCTTAATTATAAATATGTTCTTCAAAATTTAATGTATAATTATTTAATTAAATTAATTGATTCTTATTTTCACCTAATATTTATTTTACTGATAAATCTATCTCTGAATCCTTGAACACTTTTTTTATTAAATATTAAATATTTTTCATACTCTACAATTCTTTTGTAATTGTTTCCAAAATTAAATTAAAATCAATATCTTATTAAGATCTTTCTAAAAAACTATTATACAAATAAATGCTAAATTGTCCAAATATATTAACAACTAATTTCATTGCCAATAATATCAAAAATGACATTATAGTAGTAGGTTATATTAAAAATTATCTTAATATATCATAATCCAAATTTATCATCTCTATTGTTATATGTAATAATATCAATAATAAAGTACTTAAAGATAAAAATAATGCTAAATATATTTCCTTTGATAATAAAGCTAATTTAAAGAGATGTATTATTAAAATAAAACTAAAAAATAATGCTATCTCTTCTTTTGTATTGTAAACTCCTATTTAAATATCAGTGATATAACAAATATATCTTACAACAGTTATTAAAAATACATCCATTATTGTTTCTAATAATAATTCTACAATATGATTATTCTCTAAATCTAGTGATTTCTATTTAATTGTATTTATTTTCACACTCAAATATTCTTATTCTACAAAAATAGTTTTAATTGCATATGTTAAAAGTATTGCTGGCACTAATATTTATAATATTAATAATCTATCTTTTGATAATAATTAACCATTATAATGTGGAAAACAATAGAATGTCATTTACAATAATGCAAAACATAAATTCCATTAAATACATATACGTTATGTTGCATCTTTAATTTAAAATAATTAAAATCCAGTTTTAATTACTAAATTATCAAACAATTCTAACTCATCTATATTTATTGAATATTAATTAATAAAACCCATTACATCTGATTCTATTTCATCATGTCTCTAATAAGAGAAATTACTCATTTTCACTAAACCATGTGATCCTGCACTATAATTAACACATAAGGATGAAGAATATTCACTATCATATGTAGTTACAAAATTTAATAATTTTTACTTTAAATTGTTGTTCATATTATAAACAATAATAATTTTATTAAAATGAATGATAAATCCAAAATGATTATTTAGATATTTATCATTTAAAATTAAATCCAATACATTTCCATCTATAATTAAAGCATTATTATTAATTTTAATTTTATCAGTTTAAACTTATGCATTTCTACGATTTAATTAATTTGAACTTTTCTTTGGATCCTCTTAACTTAGACTACTAATAATTTATCTAATTTAATAAAGAATATCATCTCTTGAAGAAGATTAGAATATATATGTAATAGTTTCATTATGTAAAACACTATTTTTAATACAAAATGGTAAAACTAATTCGTATGGTTTTTCTGATTAAATAACTACTCTTGCTCTATTAGTAATAAAGGATTCTTTAATTAAATCTTAATTATCATTTTAACTTATCCCAAAAAGACCAATAATATCATACTAATTTTCAGATAATAATTCTATCAATTAAATAGTTTTATCATAATCATTTATTATCAAACTCTTTGATTCTTATAAATCTTATTATTTTATTGACATTTTTAAAAAACATACAATAATATCTCCTCTATTAATTAAATATTGGATTTATTTTTATAATTATGTTTTCTTTACTAAATCAAATTTCTCATATCCAGGAATATCAGAAATTGTTACAATACAGAATCTACATAATAAAACTAATTAATTTGATTCTTTTATTTAAAAATTATTATCTTAAATCATCATAGCTATAAATCTAGAAGGTATTTTAAACATTTTATTATTTTTTGTTTCATCATAATCTATAAATCCTTAATGATATAATCTATAGTGAATTATGTAAGGAATTTCTAAATCATTAATTTTTAATACATAACAAAGTTACTCTTATTTATTATAACCATAAGTTTTATATGAAATTTTGAAAAGTTTACTTAATTTTAATAATGCTTCATCTTCAGCTAGAAAATATTAATCAATGTTAAATTTAGGTTTTCTTATTCTATCTCTTTCTGTAAATCCTAATTTTGAATTTTTTGAAGATAACCTGTTTTCTTCTCCTCCACTCATTAATTCACTTCTAGTTAGATGACACAATGATATAACAGAAAATAATTCAAAATATTAAAAAGGTTAGTTTAATCCTAATTCAACAAGTGTATTTTCCCTATAAATTTAGACTTATTTAACTTATTCTTCTTCAGGTTCTTAACTAATTTAACTATGTTATTGTTAATTCAGAAGATTCCCAGCTAACGTAGATTAAATTAATCCTCCATCCATACTATGAAAGATTTCTAATGAGGGTCTTGCACTATTAGGATTATTAAGTATAGGAGAATGAAGAGTTTAAGTGTTTTATTTAAAAAAAGGTCTCTTATTTTATCCAGTATCTTTAATAATATTGAAATTAAATTATTAATGAGAAGTTATACTTAATTTTTAAGGAGGCACATTTGGAGTTATTGTTTCAATCTTCTCTTGTAAGATTTCAATGTTTTAATCATTAACTTACTTAATTAAATTATAATAAAATTAAGTTTTTTTAAATGATTATGATAAAACTAAATCTGGAATCAAAGTTTAATCAATCTAATAAATAGTATCTCCATGACATAAAGCTTCAATTTTTGCATCAGATAATATCTGAATATTTAGAAATACATGAGTAGTATCCATAATTTCTGTCATATTGATAGGATAATTTATATTCTATTATTTACTAATTATTTTTGAATCCAATATCAATTCTTTACAGTCTTTTGATTATAATTATGATCTATTTTCATTGATGATAAGAACTATATCAAATAAATGTAGAAATAAATTCAAATATGATGGTAAAATAGCCAAAAATTGTTAATAACAATGTAATAATATATGGTTAAATGATTAATTAGATTAGTATCCATAATATTAAATCAATGATGCAATTATAGGCATAATAATATATAAGAATAATTATAATATGCTAAGATTTTTATATCTATTTTTATTTTTCTATTGTTTTTTAACAGATTAAACTTTTCTACAATATAATGATTGTCCACCAACATTGATTAATATTCCAAATACCCATTCACTAAATTATAATGCTTATCCAAAAAAAAGAATATTTTCTGGTAATATAGGTTCTCCTTTTGGATCTTTAGATAATTTAATATGACCTTCAAATTATTCAAAATTGTAATTATTATTAAAGCTTATTTTACCTTTTAAAATCTTCCTCAAATAATTTAAATCTCCTTTGTTAGGTGCATTCATTTCAACTTTTGTTGTCTTCATAGGTTCCTTACGTTAAAGAAAAGCCTATTTGTAATAACTTTTCGAATAAAAGTATCCATATCTATTGCTCATATCTAATATAACTAAATCACCTGGACACTATTAATTACGGCTAAGAAGAATAAAGTCTCCTCTTTTCAAATTGCTATAATTTACATCCTCAACATTTGAAGCAGGTAGAATATCAGGCACATTGGATTATGAATCAAGGTATTAAATACTTCTAATTGAAGATGATCGTGCCTATTTGATGAAATTTTATGTATCATTATAGACTAAGTCTTCACGTTTAAATCCTTTTAGTCTAGTATAGACAATCCGTGTTTATTACAAAATAGATTGCCAACTTTACTTTTACTCTATTAATAATTATATTGCTCTAATTCCAGCTTCAATTAGAAAGGGTAATAAGTAAACTATAAACAAAATGAGTCTATTTGTAAATTGTTCAATAATTACGATGGTATGACATCTTCTGTATTGTCATCATAAGCTATTCCTACTAAAATCAAAATAAAACTAGCAATAAGAAACAGATCATTAACATAGTCTCCAAACATAGTGTTTAATAACTCCAGAATTTTCTAATCAATCATTCAAATTCTATACCTCCTTTAAGCATTCAGTCATATACTCAAATAACCATTAATTCCCTCTTACTTTTTCTTCGTAACTCTATCCATGTTCAAAAGTAAGCTAACAATATTATTATTTTTATACATCAATTAGACTTTTTTATTTTTCCATTTTCTAATTTATTTTTATTGAATTTCTTAAAAAAATTCATATTCAATTCCTCATTACTTTAATGAATATTCTTAAAATAGACAATACAAAAATAATACTTTAATTCAATCTAAAATATTCTTAAGATTTTTTACTTAAATATTTTATTGTATTGGTATTGATATTTTAATACTAAATCTAATCAACAAATTAAGAAAAATGATGATCTCTTCTTAAATAAGATACTATATTATAAAGATTGGTAATCTATGATGTTAAATTAATTTAGATATATTTTGTCTTTAAAAATTAGTTATGGTTTGATTAAAAATGTTGAAATTTAGTGTTTATAAATTCAAATTATTAGTACTTATTTTTATTTTAAGTTTGTTATAAAATTTAAATTATAATATTTTCATTAAAATTAGTATTATATTTGATATATCAATATTTATTGCAATTACATAACAAAATGAATGAGATATTTTATGATTATAAATGTTTTTGGAATCAATTAGAATTAATAATATGATTTAACTATTCAATTATATTAAATATGAATATTATATATTAATAAATTTGATTATTTAAATTTAAAACATTTTACTATTATTATTTTGTTATCATGAACTGTGATACAGGAAAAAGTGCATCAATAAGATTAGTAAATATTGAATATCAAATGTTAAGTCTACTCAACTATTATATTTTATGGATTACAAAATTCATGAATATAGTCCTGAAGAATTGTATGAAAACAAAGCTAGATTATTTGAATCATTAATGTTAGAATGGAATAATATGAGTGCCAATTAACAAGAAAAATTTTGTAAAAAAGTTTAATTCACAAATGGAGGTGAAAAAGCAAAATAGCACAAAGATGAATCTAATCTTGAATCATTGTATGAAACTGCAGTTGAAAAATATGAGCAAGGATAATAATTAATAATTGAAGAAAAAAATGAAAGAAATGCAAGTTCTAATGAAATATAATTAGCAGAAATAATTAAAGAAAAAAGTATATATAAAATTAAATTTATCCAAGAAAATAATATACATAATAAATATTCTGAGGAGTAAAAACAAGAACCTTTAATCTCTAATTAAGAATTTTCAGAAAAAGAAAGTAATTCACAATAGCCTTAATTCAAAAGTCAAAAATCTTTAATTAATTAATAAATTGAAGAACATCATGTCGATGCCAATATTAACTAAATTAATTAAAAAGATGAGAATATTAAATAAGAAAATGAAATTGATGAATAAAAAAATAATCTTAGAATTAAAAATCTAGATGTTGATAAGAAACGCTCTCAAAAGGGAACAATTGAGAAAATAAAGTCAAAACGTAGTTCTATTTAAAAGAGAGCATTAAGTCCTTCTAAATAAATATAATTAGAATAGCAAAAGAATCACAAATACTTCTTTATAGATGAAACACTTACTTTAAAACAACTCAAAGAGTAAATTAAGAATTTATTAAAATAAAATGAATGAAATTAATAATTATAAGGTTTTATATATATATATATATCTATGAATCATTCTTTTGATGCTTATGAATGAGCAGATTTTCGAATTCTGATTTTTGTAAAGCTTTAACTTGTTGCTGGAGTTGAATTATTAATTATTCTCGAATCTACACTATAAAAACTATTTGCATGATTATGATTAGTAATTTTATATTACTATTTAAGTTAATTCCATGAATCAAGATTTTAAATAACTTTAAAACATTCTTTAGTTGATTATTTACCAATTAGATTAGATATTAAATTGCAAATTTACTTTATAAATTCATTTAAATAATTAAATTTCTTATTTTACACTGAATTTTATTATGTTAATTCTGCCAATTATTTAATTACACTTAATAAATTCAACTTCATAAATATTGTGTGAATATTAAATTCTGATCCAAATTCCAAATTTAATTTCAGTAATTTAATAAATATCCCTTAAAATGTTTGATTAGGTCGAATAGGGAAACATTATTTACATATTTCAATTAAGCAACTCCAAGTTGTAGCAGTTATCCTATTTAGTAATTAGATCTATCCTCTGCTTATACCATATTCAATCAATAAATATAGTGTCTCACATAATAGAGTTTTACTTATATCCAATTCAATAACTTAAGTTGTTGAAGTCTTCCATTATATAGAGTTGATAATAACTTTACATAAATAATCAATATAAGTTTATGCGTTGTCCTAAAAATTCATGTATTCAGGCTTTTTCTTTATAATTAAATTTACTAACTAACCACATAAGACAGCGCTATTTTCTTTTACATATGGTGTTAATTTAATTTTAAATAAGTATATCTGATGTTAATAATTAATATTACTTTCATTAGATTATCAAAGACTTTACTATTTTCATCAAGCAATATGATTCCTAACAACTATTATCTATTATTCATAAAATGAGTTTTTGAAATCAATTTATGATCTCCTAATATTAATTGCTATATAATAATTGATAAAAATTATAGTAGATTATAACAAAATGGTTCATCTTTTATTAAACTATTAAATTATATTATATATTAAATACTTCTCTATTTGAAATTGATCTTATTTTTATTCATGATCCCATTTTCCAAGTGTGACATCTTTCAAAGACAAAGGATACAATTAAAATGACAAATTTCTTGAGTGTTTCTTATTATTTTATTTTTGACTATCTCTATTAAATGAAACAGATTTTTAATCATATTTCGTATTACTCTCTTTAGTTTCAACTCTTAATTCTAAAGGATTAGGATTATAGCTATAAGGAACAAATGGATCTTTTTAAGAATCTTATTCATCTAAATCAAACATTACTGATGCACTTCTTAAAACAATAAGCCTTTCTCTTGTATTTCTTTATTATCTTTTTTTATGTGGTTCATTTATGATTTCTGCATTCTAAATTGCTACTCTAATGACATCCATCATCGAAGCTGGTTTTTCATTAAATGAGGGTAAAATCTTATTTGAAACTTTATTAAAAAATGACAATTATTTTATTGTTTTCTTTTAAACAAATTTTTTAATTTAATCTATATCACATTTTAAATGAATCTTTTCTTCAACTGTAAAATTAAAATTATTTTCATTTTACTAATACACTTTTTCTTTTAATTAAAAATCTGGATGTAATGTGAATACTTCAATCATATTATTATTTCTAAAATTTGATGTACATTTAATTAATAAATCCTATTTATTTTTAGGATTAAATAATAAATTTATAATATCCTCAAACAATTTAGCAGCATTAAAATATGTCCATACTTAATCGTACAATTTTTTTTAATGTTCTGTTACATAATTACCAAGAATATTTATTTATAAAAAGAGATTGATGAGAAATGTAGATGATTATTCATAATTTATGTAATGTAAAAATGCATAAGGAATATTATAATGTAGACAGAAGTATATTGAAATATCTTATTCTTTTTCTAAATAAAATATAAGTAGTTGAGTTAAATGATTAAAATTACAATTCTTTAAGTGATCTTCATTGATACATTCAGCCAAATAGGAAACTAAAATTAATAAAATAAAAATACAAGCAATTTATAAATATGCTGGGTTTACTTTTGCAATAATTTAGTGATTCTCCTCATCTGTTAAACTCTATAATGATCTAATTGATCTGATATGATAAATATGAGCAGGGGCTTGTAAGGAATAACAATCTTTTAGATTTGGAATATCTTTTAAACTGATTTTTTAATTAAAATCAATTTTCATCCACTATGATAGTCTAATATTATACACAATTTGCAGGTTCATATTTTAAGGGACAATATATAAATGAGAGCATAATCTCAATGTTTTCTTTTAATTTAAACATATTTTAAGAATTAATAACACTGTTGGCTATTCTTTTGGATATTATTGGAATAGGATAATTCATTTTACTTAGCCATCTTTATAACTCAACTACTATCTAATTTTCTTTTCTAATTGAATTTGATTTAGATGGGCTATCACATTCAGTTGGTTCTTCATAGAATTAGATCTCTACATTTCTAGGAGTTCTCATTGCAATAATTTCTTCAACCTCATGAAAAATTAATGGATTTATATCGTGTATCAAAGGCCATTTGTGAACAATTTGCTGTAGACTTGTATAGAGTTCGATAGTAACTTATTAATCATGAATATTTCCCAAAATAGTTTTGTAAGCCTAAGCTATTTATTCTGCAACTGACTAACCTTCTTTAGAATCATTTTTAGGAATTTGTTTGATAAAAAACTGTAGTTAAGTTATACATTCTTTATATATGTTTGGAAGATGACTTTTGATTATATCTGACAACATATAAGTATCTTATGAAAACACTAATGTACAAGCATTTAAGAATTAAATCTAAAATTATGTAATTGGTGCAAATCTCTCAATTATTAGTTCTAAGAGCATTTTGATATTTTAACCAAACATTGATTAGAGCATCAACATATAAAAAAAGAGATTTTCTTATTTAAGCAATAGATGCCACATTGATTGAAAAGGTAGTAATTATGCAATCTATTTACATGCTTTCGACATAAATGAATATCGAATTTATTCTATATTTGTGTTAACCTATATTTGAATAAATAAATACAGCTTCTTTTAGATATTCTGCACATTTTAATTGCATCGTATAATAAAAGTCTATTGTTATTATTATTTATTTATTATCTTAAAATTTAAGAAGAATTACAGTTCTATTAAGATGAGAGTTTAAACTGAAATAATTAATAAGAAATAATTGATATATATAAAGTTAAAGATATGATGAATCAAAATAATAGGAATAAATATTTTACAAATCTATCTGTTTAAACAGAAACATCCTTCATTTAATCAATCTTAAAAATCTACTATTTGAATACTTAATAATTTGTATTAAACATTAATTATGATATTTATTAATGAATCTGGTATTTAATAATAATGCTAATAATTATGTTATTGTTTTAATAACTCCAGTAATTTATTAAACACACTAGATTATATGATTTATTTCTTTAAATGAATAAAGAATTAAAATAATAGTAAAAATATTTATAAAATTGTAATAAATTTTTAAATTTGGAGGTTATTTATAATAATGTTACTAATTACAATTTAGTGACCCAATTTTAATTGATTTTTTTTTATTAATAATATAATACAGAATCTAATTTTTCAATTTTTAATTATGTTATTTTTATCTGTAAAATTATTTGATTTTAAATTTATTTCTCTTTCATTTTTCTTAACAAGTGATGTTTTTATAATAGCTATTATAAAAATAAATAGATTACGTTAACTGGTAATATGTTTAAATTTAAAAGTTTTAAAATTATTGAATTTTTTAGTTGCTTCATCTGCATCTATCTTCCATTTTTCATTTAATTTAAGTGATGAAGAGATTTAAAATTAACTATTAAAAGTGATTTAATATAATTAATCTAAGAATTCTTCACTTTCTATATATTTTTTTAATAATGTTCTAATATTTAAATTGTGTAAATACATTTTATCTGTATGTGTGAATTATTAATAATTTATATCTCCTTCACGATGATTTAGATCCAGATATCTATGATTTAAAATCTATTTTTGCAAACATTAACGAGAATGAATTTCTTTTTTTGTTTCAACAACACATTCTAATAAAATTTATTCAAGTTCTCCTCTTTAACAATTTTATTATGATAATTCTACTTTCAATTATTAATTCAATTATTTTTCTTTTTATAATTGTTACTTTAAATCTGAAATAATATCTCTTTTAGAAATTTCTTCAATCTAATCTAATACAATTTTTACTTATTCCATATCTGGATTTTATCTACTTTATTATTAAGAAGATAATTCTCTTTTATAAAAATCATTTAATGAAGAACCTTAATCTTAAAATTTATTTGACAATTATGTTTTCTAGGTTTATTTGATTGATGAAAAACCTCGTTTTGATCTTTCACCAATTTCATCTTTTGTTGAACTCACATGAGTACCATCTTAAGTCATAGGTCTTAAATCTAACATCTTTTTAACTTTATTTCTTTAACCAACATTTCCATTTGAACCTAATCTTGTAACTGCTTTTTATTCTTCACTCTTTTGTTTATATAAATATAATAATTCATATTTTAAAGCTTTATTCTCTTTTTTAGAATCTAATTAAATATTTAATATTATAATAGCTAATACCAATAACAAAACCTTCATAATATTATTTTTCTTCTAATGTAATTTTTAATTTAAATTTTAGTTCTTCTATAGTTCTCAATTATTCTTAACATAATTTGTCTAATCTTAATGCTTCTTATTTAAAATAATCTCTTTCTTCTTCTAGAATTCTCTTTTTCTCATCTGCCTTTTATCTCAAAGCCTCTTCATCAATTTTTCTTTTCATGTTCTTCAATTCTTTTTATACTTCTGTCATTTATTCTCTATATGCAATCATAAAGTCATCTTCTTAAGATTTTATAATTTTATCAATTTTTCCTTATAAATTCTTTCTATTCAATCATATACTTATACATCAAGAATATCTTATAATTTATTATAATCTCGATCAATTTCTTTTCCATATTTTATATTGTCTTCCATAAACACCTTTTTCTTTTAAGTTACAAATTAGGTTTAAGTCAACAAGAGATTATCAAATCCTTCCATTGCAGATTTTGTAATTGCTAAATGAAAAGAAAGTTTTACAATTTGGAGGTTCCATCTAATACTAAATATAATAATTATTAATTATTTCAATCAAATTTTAGAAACAATATGCAAACTGTAAAAGAAACAGTTTAAGCTATATGTAACATTTTATAAGCATTTGGTATCAATAATATCGATCCAAATGTATTTAGATAAGCAAAACATAATCTATCAGAAGCAGTAATATAATATTAATCTTATTATTAATAGATCAAACCAATTTCAAGCATAATGCATAATTTACTTATATTAGATTTATTTGATTTTGAATATAAATTAAATGAGATTACTAATACACATGCAGATCCTGATGGATTGGAGATTATCTTACTTGCATTAAGAAATTCACCTTTTATTATCTATAAAAATGGAAAGCCAGGAATGGATTACTCATCAAGTCGAGATTTACTCTTAGTTGTTGGATAAATATTGGCTGAATCAGATATTTTTGAGAAATACAAAAAGTTAATTGAAAAGAAAGTGGCTAATTTAAAAATAAAGTTAATAAATAAGACTAAAGAATAAGAAGGTGAGATTCCAGCACTTAAGTTTATAAGTGAAGGTAGTTAAGTGAAGGATTTTGAAAATCTAAATAGAATAATTAGACATTAATTCAAATAACTTTCTTGTCTATTAAAAAGAAAAGAAGCCCAATAAAACCAGGTATAATGAATATAAGATAAAAACAGATTGATAAAATAGTATAATAAATGAATTTAAAGGATTTTACAGTGGATCAATTGCTTAGTCTGTCGGATCCAGATTAATTAAATGAAATTACAGCAAATTTAAAGGAGATAATCTAATTTTTAGAATTTGAAACTTCAATGCATAGACATTAAGAAATATTTTGGGCATGGTTGGTAAGAAATTATTGTATTTAGGAAAGTACAGTTGATGAGGATAAAAAAGATGTCAGAGATCATGCTGACTATGGATTTCCGGATGAAACAATAATATTTAGTCCAGGATAATAAATGATTAAATTAATTGAACAGTAAGCATTGCTGGATTAATATTAGCACTTAAATGAAACTTCAATAATTAAGCGATTAATTTGAATTATTTGAATCTATTTCCTCTTAATTTGAAGATGCTTGGGAGAAAGTATCTTAATTATTAAAAGAAGACCCAGGTTCAGAATAAAAATTATAACAATTATAATTACAAATTCATAAAATAGTAGCTTAAAATAATATTAAATTAATGTCATTGAAAACATTTAAAGAATAAGTATTTTCTGAAAAAGATTTATTATATTGTTAAGCTAATGATTTTATTAAATATGCTATCAAACATAATTTCGCTTAATCTTCAAATCATAATGAAAGTAATGGATTTGAATAGAAAATAATTTACTAATAAGAACATTTTGCATCTAGAATTGAGCAATTACATTAGTATATTGAAGATGAAGCTGGTAGAATTAAGGTTCATCTAAAAGAATTAGTGTTTTATCCATTAAAATGAATACAATATTATTGATCATTATGCATATTATTTTTACTCAAAAATTAACATATATGGTGTTGGAGTACCATATGTATCGTATTGTCTTTTCTCTAATTAGGCCTCCTCAACTATTGAATCATCAAATCTAAACCATTTTATTGAGTTATTTTCTATATACTTGCATGTTCTAATTAATATTATAATATAATTTTAATACGCATAATAATGTCCATTATTACAAGTACCAGAATGATGAATTATTGTTTACAAATCATATGAACATGATCTAATATTTGGAGTACATTATTCAATTAAAGATAGATTATCGAGAGGGAATATAATGTTAGTATTTATTCTTTATGCAGAATTCAGATAATTAAATCTCTTTAATTGAATAATTAAAATTTTTGGAAGTTTAGCAATTTTTTAACTTAAATAATATCATATTAATTTACATTAATTAGTGTTCATCTTATTAACATTTTTGACATTTGTAATTTGTAATTATTTATGGCTTAAATTAAAATTTGATTAGTTCATTTAAAAGACAACTTTCTTTTTAAAATGTATATATACCTAAATAATATTCTAAACTTAATGCTAAAACATTAAATTCTTCATAATGGATTTATTCAAATTAACAATTCTTACAAATAATTTTATTACTAAATAAACCAACAAATAAGTTTGTTATAATATTATTTTCTAATTACCTTTTTTATTTCCATTCTTTTTCTATTTTTTATTCTAAATCTCTATTATTTCCTAAAAATATATCTTCAAAAAAATTCTTAATATCATCAAAAAAACTTTGTTCATTTTATTAGTTCTTACATTCTGATCCTAAAGTTTAAAATAAACACAATAAAAATTCATGAGCATCTTCTTATCTACCAAACTAAAATTAGTTATGCTTCTTCACTACAATGAATATGGAAATCATATACAAATCTCATGATAAAATTGAGTAGGATTTATCGAATATTGTATTTTGGAGAAATTTAACTCTTAAAATAAGGATTACAAATGAAAACTTATTGAATCAGTTTATAATTATTTTACAGGTAAATCTAAGATGGCTTTTCTAAATTATTTTATACTATATAGCATTTATATAATGGCATTCCTATATTTATTTAAAAAATATTTACATAAAACAATTATTTCCTATGTTATTTAATCCCTTTGGTAATTAAACTATATTATATGATTACTATTATGTTTAATCAATTTTCTATTGTGTTTACAATTATTTTATAGAAAAATTATTAAATTATGAGAAGGATTATGGTTGTTGAATTTTATAATCATCAAATATAGGTAACCTTGATTTGGATTATTAATTATTTGTTTTTATTATCTAAGAATTTCCAAAAGGGGTTTATTGTATTTGAGAATTATACTTTGATCCATATGAAAATTAATTTTTCATTAATTATATTAAATTAATACATATATTTGCTATAAAAAGGGAAATTCATGTAAAGATTTAACAAGTACATAAGAAGTCTTCGTGAGGAAATAGTTGAAGATAAATTATCTTAAAAATAATATAGATTGTTGAAATTTCAAAAATTAATAGGAATAATAATTATTTCAACTTTTGGTATAACAAGTGTAATAATATGATTATTAAATCTTCAGTTAGCATTTTATAATTTAAGTGGAAAGATAGAGAAATAAAAATAAGAAAGTTTTGATGATAGTAATAATGAAGATGTTCTTTAAGAAGCAAAACTTTTGCTTAATAGAACATAACAATAATCCAGCATTAAAAAATGACATCTTTAATTATTATTATAGTATGATTATCCAAAAATTACATTTCATATTAATTATATATCTTATTTTAAAATAATCTTGCCAAGTTACTCAGTAACAATGTAATCTAAATCATCAGAAACTAGATAGAGCTGGTCCTATCAAGTAAAACTTTCTCTTAAATTACTTTTAGGAAGACAAACTTTTATTAGAACTTATTAAACTTAATGGTTGTACATCTTGGAATCATATTGCACGTGAACTTCAATCTTAAGGAAAAAATCCTTTAAAAGTTCGAACTCCTGCTGCTTGTAGGGAACGATACTAAAACATTCTTAACCCAAATTTGAATAAAAGTAATTGGACATTAGAGGAAGAATAAAATTTATTTAATCTTTAACAATCTTTTGGAAATAGCTGGGCAAGAATTGCTTCCTAAATGCCTGGTCGTTCTGATTTATTATGTAAGAACTATTTTTATGCTACTCTAAGAAAAGTCTTACGTCGACTCAGTAAAGCAGTCGGGTTGGATTAATGTAATTGTATACTAATATTTCTTTAGCATCTGATTTATTAAAATAAATCAAACCTAGTGTCTTAGGAATAATTTATTGCAAAGATGATTCTTTTAAAAGTTTCAACATTGAAGAGAAGATGAAGAAAGACTTTTAATAACTTATCAAACAATATAGATACACAGAAAAAGCAGAACTTCGATAGCTTTAAGATAATGAAGTGAACTATATAAAATCAATGTTAAATCAGTTATTTGTCATAAAGTAAAGAAAATTCAAATAATGATTAGTAATAATTACATAACTTAGAAGGAAAGAATCTTTAATAGGAAGAATTCAAAATAATCGATCTTCTCTGTTGAAAATAACAGTAAATCAATCATTCCAAATTGCTCAACTGTTCAAAATTTCAAAAATTCTAAACTTGAATCTAAACTTATAAACACAATAAACTTAAAATTAGATTCATAAGATGAATATAATCAACCTTAAATTAATGTCTAATAAGATAATCAATCTATATAAGTATATGAAAATCTATATCAACCTCATTCTGATTTCATTTTAATGAATTAATCATAAGTAAAAATCATTTTTATTTTAGGGATCCTTTTATGCTCCTTAACCTGTTATTACATTCTGTATCTAACCAAACTTAATAAGCTGGCCAATCTAATAAGTTTAATCATATTACACCACTTAATACCTGCCTTATCCTTAATCTCATCCTCAAATGAGATATGAGTTCGTATAAATGATATGATTTATATCTTAAATATGAAGAACATTAAAAAACAATACATTTTACATTTGTTTATTAATATATTAACCTTCTCCTTTCTGTTTTTGCAGAACATTTTTTTAGTATATTTTATAACTAAAATATTTTAACAAAAAACGCTATTAATAAATTTTTATTTGAAAATTAATTAATTTATGATTAATAAATTTTATATTTTTAGTTTCTAAATATAAATATTTTAAATTCTTAATCATATATAAACATAAATAAGTAAAACTAATCTTAATTAAAGATTTTAATATATGAAGAATTAATTGTATTTTAATAATCTTTTTAACATTTACTCAGATTTTTGGACCAGCATTAATGACATCTTAAGAAGCTTTACTTTAATATTTTTAAAAGTTCTTTTTGAATTTCTCACCTAAATTTCTCAATGTTCTATCAAATTCAGACTTATTTCTATTAATAATAATTATTTTAATTTACGTCCAAGTATTTTTAGGATGAAGAATCTAATCAGGAACTCCTGTAGCTTTCTTTGGAATTTATAGATTGAAAACTTCAAAATTATCAAATTCTCCTTTGGCTAATTCTCCACTATGAATGGCATCAATAATAGATCTAGTATTTTTAAGAGACATTCTTTTTCCTATACCATATTTTCCACCTGACCATCCAGTATTGATTAACCAACATTTTGTTCCATGTTCATTCATTTTAGCTGCTAACATAGTTGCATAAAGAGTTGGATGTAATGGTAAGAAAGCCTCACCAAAACATGCTGAAAATGTAGCAACTGGTTCTTTGACTCCCATTTCAGTACCAGCAACCTAAAATAAATTATATAAATAGCTTTATACTTTTGCTGTGTATCCAGAAATAAAATGATACATGGCTTGTTCAGGAGTCAATAAGGATACAGGTGGTAGAACACCATAAGCATCACATGTAAGGAAAAGGATATTCTTTGGATGACTACCAACAGCTGGATTTTTAGCTCCAGGAATGAAATCTAAAGGATAACTGACTCTTGTATTTTCAGTAATGGAAATGTTATGATAATCAACTTCTCTAGAATTTTTATTCAAAAATTCCACATTTTCTAAGACTGCTCCAAACCTTTGAATTAATAAATAATTTTACTTAACAGCATTAAAAATTTCAGGTTCCTTCTCATAAGTCAAATCAACACATTTAGCATAACATCCACCTTCAATATTAAAAATACCATAATCAGACCATCCATGTTCATCATCTCCAATCAATTTTCTTTTTGGATCTGCACTTAAAGTAGTTTTACCAGTTCCACTCAATCCAAATAATAATGTTACATCCCCATTCACTCCTTCATTAGCAGAACTATGAAGTGTAAGGATTCCTTATTTAGGTAACATATAGTGAGTAACTCCAAATACTCCTTTTTTCATTTCTCCAGCATATTAAGTTCCTAAAATAACCATCTTTTTATCTGTGAGATTAACAGAAACACAAGTTTCTGAACCTACTCCTTCTACTAATTTTGGTGCAGACATAGGACCAGCATTAAAAATATGAAAATCAACATCATCACTAAAATCTCTTTTCAATTCTTCATTTGTTGGCTTAATGAGCATATTTTACATAAATAATGCATGATAAGCTCTTGTACAAAATACTCTAATTCTAAGTCGGCTGTGAGGATCCCATCCTGCATATCCATCTACAACAAATAACTATTGATTATATTGTATTCTTACTCTAGGTCTAGTATTTAAAAATTAAAGAGCAATTTATTCCAATAAATTATGAGATTTCTTTGGAATTGGAATGTTGACATCTCCCCACCAAATTTCTTATTCAGTATGTTCATCTATAACTATTCTCTTGTCCTTGGGTGAACGACTAAATTAAATTAATCAAACACTTTAATACCCTGTTCTTCTACCTGAATATGCCACCATTGCTCCTGTGCTTGAAATTGAACCTTATCTGGTCTCTGGATCTGGTGAAAGTGGATCCATAGCAGCGATTTCATACAATTCAGGAGTACTGGCATTTCTTACAACTGTGGCATTGTGTAGTCCCCATCTTGTTAATTATTCTAAAGGTAAAGCTTTGCTAGTGTTATAGGTATATTTCCAAAGGTGATGTAACATCAAATGGTAAAAAGATATATTTAATATTAGATATGTTCACATTTAACATAAAACTTTTATAATCATGCTGAATTAAGATTTTTCATTGATTAATTTCTCTTTTCTTCCCTAAAATTGTATAAAGTTCTCATTCTTTATTTCAAAGGAGTATTCAGTTTACGTTTCCTTTTATAATTTAGTCAAATAACAGACTTAGCATTTTGTTTTTTATATATTATTGTTTATTACAAAACACAACTATAACTTAGTATTTTAGACTCTTTACATTTATTTTTAAGTATATTCGATAAATCTTCATTTTTAAATAGGCTACTCATCTTAAATGAGCATTATTCCCTGTCTCATCCTTTACTATTTTGAAAATAACAAATATAATCTAATTAGTCTAAATATTATATTAAATCAGTTGATTTAGATTTCAATACTATTTTCTCTAAACCTTATTTGGTTGCAGAATTCATACATATGATAAATATTACTTATTGAAATTATTATAGATAATAGAGATTAGTATATTACAACAAAAATTATATAATTTATTAATAAACTGGTTGATACTTAGACCAAATAATATATAAATATTCATAAAAAATTACTAATTTTTTAATCTAATCATTTTCAACTAATCAAGAGTGAAAATTAGTAGAAATTATATGTAAGACTAATTTTGCTTTACATAATTATTACAATACTATTTCTTAAATTATTTTTATTAATTCTTTTCTATTTCACAAAGGCAATCATTTAATAGTTAGTGATTAACTAAAATTTCATTTTTTATACTATTACAATTTTAATTAAAAATATTAAAGTTTTATATTAACACTTTTGGTACCAATAAAAATAAAGTACTCTATATTAATTAATTTTTTTAATTTTAAAAACCTATAGACTAATAAAAGAGTAAATTATAAGTTCAAAAAAATAATTTCCAAAGAAGACTATAATTTCTTATATTTAAATAAATCAAGATGATTTGCCAAAAAAAATAGAGATATTTGATTTAATTATGAGTTAATTTTATTCTCTAGAAATATAATCAATTTCAGAAGTTTAATGTACTTATTAATTTAAAATACAAATTTCTTAAGTCTCAATTTTTTTCGATTAGCTCATATTTTTTTATTAAAAGATAATAAACTGGAGCAACAGAATTTTCTTCATGGCATATAACTTCAGTTTCGTTTCTATGAGAATTAAAATGAATATATTACATTTAAATTCTTTTTTTATATAGTGGGCAATCAAGTACAAAACTTTCAAACTCTCCTCCTTCTCCACAAGGATGAAAACCAAATTTTTTATTCTAGACATATTTTTAATAAAAATAGTACTATTTCTTTGAAATAATCGTATAGCTCATTTATGGTTTTTCCTAAATGTTTTGTAGTCAATCCCATAGCTGCAATTTTAATTAGGATTATATTCATATTATTTTACATCATTTAATCCAACAAAGAAAATTAATCTTGATTCCACAAATAAGCAAGAGATGTTAAGCCTAATCGATTACAACTAAAATTAGGAGATCGATATACCAATCTTCTACTCTTAATTTCTGATATGTAGAAGCAATAGCTCCAGAACTGACTCCCTTTATATCAGGATATTTGAGAAGTGCTTCTTTTAAAATGAGATAAAGATCTTCAACTTCATCACCAATTCTATCTTCATCTTTGCTTTGATAATCTAAATTAGTAATTTTAGGTTTTCCTGATATTTCTCTTGTCATTAAGGGTTTATCTATAGCTTAAGCAATAGCTTCGATTGCATTAGTACCAACACTTTGATACATGAAACTATCAGATTCAATTCCAATTTCTAATTTGAATGAATTTTAATTGTACATTTTGGATATAGATTCACTAATAGAACAAGTTCATGACCTTCTTGAACACATCTAATAATATTATAAATGGAATCTTTGCCTCCTGATATTAATGCTAAAAATTTCATTTAAAATATATAATAATTATAGGAGTGAAAAAAAAAGTGAGAGAGAATATTGATATAATGTTAAATGTAGAACAATTGTCAATAATTGTATATGTTAATGAATCAATTTCTCTTGCTGATGAATTGAGCGGTGGTTGATAATTTCTCGCTGATGTGTTCTTAGAGTCTGTCAACGATTTCATTTTATGCAGCTCTAGTTTATAGTTTCTATGATACCTTTCAGCAGTTTAAGTTTCATAGATTTCTGATTAGACTGCATACCATGCTTATTATCCAGCAAGTCTCTCTTCACTATTTTCTAATTCTAAGGTGTGGAATTCGATCCATGATTAAGCATCTTCAATGGTATCCTTTTATTCTTAGATTTAGACTTCCAATTAAGCTTTTCTTTCAACCAATCTAGTGTGTTCGTTACTCAAATGAGCACTGAATTCAGCCCAGTGAGCAGCTTATCTTTCTTCAACGTCCTTTATTATTGGATTTAATGATTACAGTTTTAGCAGCTTTTTCTTAGACTAATTATTATCTGATTTCACTCAAAAGTTAAGCAATTTTGGTTAAAGCTTTTTAGTTAACTCCATGAGTAGCTAATTCAGTAAGAGCAGCAACGACTGGCTAAAGAAAGAGAATAAAAAGAAAGATATACTTATAAGAGTTGGGAGTGTGAAGTGTTGTCAGTGAGTCTCTTGTGAATAGTTTCATATTTTGATTTAACTTAGACGAATGAAGCACCTAAACTCAAGTGTTGAATTAATTTGGCAGCATCATCAATGGCATCAATAACGTCATCAATGGCAGCAACCTTAGCAACAAAGGTTTCGTGTTATTAGTTTCTAGTGGCTTCTTCTCTGGCATATGTTTATTCATTTGTTGCAATGTCTTGAATTGTGACTCTGATGTCTTCTTCAGAAACAGCCAAAGCTTCAATAGTGTCATCTCTCAATTAAGTGTTGGATGAAATTTGATTTTAGTGATATAAGATTTCCTTTTCCAAATCTTCCACAATCTAAGATATTATTAATAAATATTCTTACTCTATTATTAGTTGTGGTGTCAAGTTCGAAAGCGTGATCATGGTCATTTTGATCTTATTATAATCCAGCAGCGACACCGTTCAATAACATATTAACTTCGTTGGCTGGTGTTTGGGCTTGAATGTGAGCCTTAATTGCTGACAACACAACATTTCCAAATGGATTAGCATCAATTTAAGCCAAGGTTGTGTGAGTATCAACAAATTTGGAAGCTGCAAGAGCAACAACTAATGTCAAGATGGCTAGTTTTTGCATATATTTTAATTAATGTTTTAAAAACGGATCGATCAAATGCTTATAATGTACATTTAATTATTATTAATTATGATCTAAATATATAAATATCTATCACACACTATTCCTCTTTCACTCAATATTTATTTATTTATCTAATTTTCCATTCCCTCCAATTTTCATTCCCGCCTTATATATATCAATCTATTATATATTCACTTTTTCATATCGATCTTCAAACCTTATAAAAAATCAAATTCTCTAATCTAATTCTCATTATCCCTTATAATCTCAATCAATCTATCTATTTCTTTTTCTATAATTATTTTAATCACTTTTTAACCTAATTTAAGAATAACAATTCAATAAATTTATAAAATTTAAATTAAATCAATATAATCTTAGTCCTTAATTTCTTCATCCAACAAAGGTAATGAAATAACATTTAAAATTAAATCTAAGAAATTTAGTAATTATTTTCATTTTTTATTCACAATTTCAATGATAGCTAAATCAATAGACTATAAAAATTATATACTCATATTCAGTATTCAATTAGTATGAATGAAGAGCCATTAATAATAAATAATATCTTTGTAAATAAATATTCAAAATATTTTTTTAATTTTTGTTATTGCATGTCAGCTCCATTCTACACCGTCAAAGTAATATAACTCATTTAATGAAGGACGTACCTGCTTAAGATTTCATTCGTGCATATGCTGAATATTTGAAGAAAAACAATAAAATTAAAATTCCAGAATGGGCATCTATTGTTAAAACTGGACTTGGATAAGAAATTTCACCAATTGATTAAGATTGGATGTATGTTAGAGCTGCTGCACTTGCTCGTAAAATATATGTAAGAGGTCATTGGGTATTGAATTTTTATATATCAATTTTTTTAGGGTGTTGGAAATCTGACTCATATGTTTGGATCAGTCAATGATAATGGTAAGCATGAATCTGGATCAGGAAAAGTCATTAGATATCTTCTCTAATAATTAGAATCAATCAAAGTCTTAAAAAAAGACAACAAATCTCTCTTAAAGAAGGGATCAAGAATTGTTACCAAAGAAGGTTAATAAGACTTAAACAGAATTGCAACTTAAGTTGCTTTGGCTGCCAGAAAATGATTTATTAAACATAAAGAACAATAACACCTGTCAATATTATTGTAAGAGTCTAATAATCTCTATTTATATCTCTACAAAACAACACTTTATATTTAATTCTAATTATTGAAGATTGATCTTCTTATTTAAGAAATCATTTATAAACATTACTTTTGTATTCTCTTATCAATTTATTTCTGTTTAATTGCTAGAATTTATATAATATCTATTTAAGAATTATATACATAAACACCTAAAATTCTTAAATTTTAAATGTTTATTATTATTCAAAACAAGCTTGAATATACTTTTTTGGATAATATATTAAATATATTCCATAGTTTATAAATAAATTTCATATTTAATTATTATTTATATTATCACTTATTATCATATTCTACTTGTTTTCATTATTCTATTTAATGATGATTATAATCCATTTAATTCATTTTGATGTCTATAATAAATTTCATTCTATTACCCTAATTAATATGTTCCTATTTATGATATTGGAATCTAATTCAATCTTGAAGAAAGTGATGAGATATCACTTTATTTACCAAACTTTTAGAAATTGGATGGAGTACTTGCTTAAAATAAGTTTGATTTAGAGCTCTTATGTTAGTAAGGCTAATAACTTTATTGGATAAGTTAATTGTTCAATTTTGCAATCTAATTATTTTATATTTATAATTGAATGTCTAATTTAGAGTTCCAATCTTGAAATTGATTCAACTTAACCTTAGCTCTTTCAGGAGAATCTCTAAATGTTCTTGCTGATCTATGAGGAGATGGAGTTTTATCATTAGAAAAAACTACATGGGTTGGAGCGAGAGGACTAATATTTATGCATATTCTTACTTATATTATCCTACAACACAACCTTCTAAACCTTTATAAGTTTTTGGAGAATCTCTAAACAATCTTAATCTCACTGGAGATATGTTTTTAGAATCTTATATTCTTGATTTGAAACTTGAATCTCCTAATTTACTTATTGCAGTTGAAAGAAGATGAGCTTAATTACCTTTTGTCTTTATGGCTGAATTGTTTTCATTACTGTAGATACTTGAATTTAACATAATTTTTATTTATTACTTAATAAATTTTAAATACAGAACCTATATATTTAATAATAATGCGCAAAATAATTCCAAACTTTTCTCTATTTAAATTTAATTATCATTATTCTTTAAAAATTATTATAATTAAAATATTATAAACTAATTTTCTAATAAATTGATTATTGTACAAAATAAAATATAATTCAAAATTTATTACAATCATTTTTTTAAAGGTTATGATTAATGTGTAATTTTGTTTTTTGAAAATAATTATATTTAATTTATATTTCTTTTTTATTTGGAAATATCATTTTATAGATTATTATAGATTTGATATATTTTTATATTGAGAATCAAAAAAATATTCAATAATTTGATAATATTTTTTATTTACTAAGAATAATGAGTAGTTTAACTTGGTGGATATTTTTAAATTGAATATTTTATAATCTAATCACTTTCTACCAAGGGATGTTTATGAAGCTAAGGCTCTAACTTGATCTTTGAATAATTAGATAACAACATCGATGATGGCGTTTTCCTCTAAAATAAATTAGATGAGGATAGATACCTTATCTTCTTGCTGTTTCTGAAGCATAGAATTCTCTTTTCTCTTCCAAATCAGCTGTGGCTCCAGCAACTGCATTCAAGGAATCTTTCCATAATTTGAGTGCTTTTGCTTATTAAGCAAGAACTGCTGGGAGTTACTAATCAAATTATTTAATGAATGCATACAGTTTCTAATTTTTCAACTAAGCCTGTTCTTCTTTCATGTTCTGAATTCAACCAAGCAACTTCAGCATTAGTATCTGAAACATATTTGGCAAGAGCGAAAGCAGCATGGATTTCTTATTCTTAGAGTGTGGCAAGTGTTCCTTCTAATTCAGCTTATAAGTCTGCTAAGATGGAAAGGACTTGTTCTCCAGTTGTGCCATCTCTCTTGACTTCAGCAAGGGATTAGAATTTCTAGATAGCATCTTATTAGAAGAGGTGACTGTATGCTGACAATTTGTCGGCGATGGTTTCAGCCTTTTGAACTAATTCAACACCAGCATTGTTTGTGAGCCATCCAGCAACATCTTGTTATAAGAGTTAGACAACTGCAACTGCATCTGCATGATCAGCTAATGATCTGACAAAGAGTCCATTGGCCCAACATCTTTAGTCTTAAAGTTAAGCATTTCTTCTTTCGATTTCAGCAAGTCTTGCTTCAGCCCATGCTAACCATGAATATCCATCCTAAATTTTAAAGGGAAATAGCATACTCTGATTTGGGCTTCAACATCAGTACGAACAGCACCTAATGACTCCCATTGTTATTTGTTAAGGGAAGCAACATTTGTCAAGTCACCAATGACCTAAGTAAAGATTTCTAAGTCTAATTTTAAATAATACCTTCATCAGTGTTATTCTTTCTGTCGGCAGCAGCTTAGACATTAACATTTTCTGTCTTCAAATCTCTCAAGAGGTTGTAAACTGATTCAACAGCATCATTTCCTTTAGTACCGGCTTGGAGGAGCACAGCAAATTTGTTTGTGTCAATAGCGAAGACGGCAGCCACTAAGCAAAGGGCAACAAAAGTTCTCATAATTAATTTATTAATGTCAAAAACGGAATAAAAATTCTTCGTTTTAAAATTGCAAATATCACTAATTATTATTTAATTAACATACATTTATGCACACTCATCATTCAAAACATACATAAATTTTACACTTACATCTCAAACTAAAAACGTATTCAATCAATTAATCTGTTAAAATATTTATATGAAAAGTTAATTATAAAGAAGTTCTTATGGAGAATTATCATCTATTCGTTCTTACCCCACTGAGAAATTAAATACTCAATCTGATAGTGAATTAGTTGAAGTTGATATGGAGAAACTAAATTTTCATTCATATTACTTAGCCTCTGATCCAATTCAATAATAAACTAATTAAGTGGAAGGGGAACTTTATATAAGAGATTTCATTAAAAAGGTAATTGCTATAGTCTCAAAAAAAATAACAGAAAATGAGCAAATCAAAATGTTACCAATAATTGGTTATTAATCTTCAATTGATAGAATGTCACATCCAATTCAATAATACTTTAGATAACATGAAGATTTTATAATTGATTAATTGACTGGTGGATTAGAAGAAGATGAAGAACCTGTATTCAAACTTTCTAATTGATAGGTTAGATTTAAATAGGAGTAATGGTTAGTATAAAAAGTTAATTCAATGCCTGCAAAGATATTAGAAGTAGAATAATAAAGTACAAATTCTAATCGTCAATCTTTAACTGCATAAACATTTATGAGATCAAGAGTCTTAATTTAAGTATTTGAAACTTATTTCTAAATTTTAGGATTAAGCATAATTCAATAATTAAAAAAATGTAAGAGAAAAAGAAAAATTACCTGGAATTGTTGATCTAAATGATCCATTAGATATAAGTATGACTGAAGAACTATTAAGAGCATAAAAGGAAAGAGATTATAAAATTAAATAAGATTTGAAAGAATAAGAAAGAAAGAGAAAATAAAAAGAATAGGAAGAATAATAATTAAAATATGAATTGATATCTAAAGATAAAAAATCTAAATTATATACTTATGATTATGATGGAAAATTGATTTCAGTTATAACATTGAAAGGTCATAAATTTCCACCTACTGCTGCAACATTAGGGTATTTAAATTTTAAATTGAGAGATCCAAGTTTGAAGATGGCCAAACTAAAATAAATATGTTCAATAAGAGAAGATCCTAATTTTTAAATTCAGGTTCCTAAATTAGAAAAAAATAAGAAGATGAAAAAGAAAAAGAAAAAGATCCTAAAGAATAAATTAAATTTTAATCATTTGCACCTCTTGTTAATGAAAATATGCATTTACAATCAGGAGTTCTTATAATTTAAGAAGGTAGAATTAGAGAAGGACCAAAAGATTAACCAATAAGTCTAGAAAAAATGAATGATCCTGCTTTAAGAATGGTTAGAAATGAATATTTGTCATTAACTTAATAAATCAATGCTTCTCATAATTAATCATCAGCATAATTAGTCAAAGCAGAAGATGCTTAAGTTAAAGATTTTACAAATGAACATGATAAAAAATAAATTCTTAATAGAATTCGTAGATTAAGTTAACCAAATATTACAAGTGATGGAAATATAAAGTAAATATATATATTATACTATTCAATAGGATTAACTCAATGCAAATATATGAATAAGTTGCCTAAGTTATTTTCGATGATAAAGAATAACATTCTATTCCAATTATTAAACCAAATAATAATATTACAAAAGATACTAGAATAATGAAATCTCCAACTGATTAATATAATATTTCACTATATAAAAATACTGCTTGGGGAAAAGAAGTTCCTTCAAGTTAAGGTATTACTACAAAACTGAAAGGTAACAAAGCCAGCGCTAAGTAATATATTTATTATGTACAATAGAGATATCTTAACAACTGTTGGAATAGTCGTTAAGAGAACTAGAGAAAGAAGAGGTAATTCAGAAACTACACATTTACCAAAAATGAAAAATATTTCTCAAATTTGATATTATTCAATTTAAATTTGTCTCCAATATATCAAATTGAAGTAAGAGGAATTTTATTTAATATAATTCTATAAATTAATCAGCATTTATTTCTTTTTTAATACCATTTTGGTATTAATTTATTTGCCAAAGATTGATTATTTGAAAGTTCTTCTTTTGTGAAATCAAATAAATCAGGAATTTGTATTTTTGATTGATACATCCTAAAAGTTGTTTCATCTCTGAGATCATCAAAATAAGAATGTGTTAATGCTTAAAGTGCAGTTAATCTAGTTTTTGGGCAATAAGTTAGTATTTTACTTATTAAATCAATAGCAGAAGGATCTACTACAGTTTAAAATACTTTTCTCCAATCCTTTTTTCTTATTTAAACTATTTTGTATTGTTTAATATCATATAATTCATTCATTGATAATACTTCATCTTTACTTGGAGATCCAAGTATTTTGATAATTTCTACTAATTAATCTACTGCTGATGCTCCTAAAAATAATGGTAATCCATTAAACATCTCTCCAATTATACAACCTACTGACCACATATCTACTTAAGTAGTATAGTTTGTAGCACCAAACAATAATTCAGGAGCTCTATAACATCTTGAACAAATATAAGCAATATTAGGTTCTAAAGGTGATAATTTTTTAGCACTTCCAAAATCACAGATTTTTAGTACATTTGTATCTGGATTAATTAAAACATTATGTGGTTTAATATCTCTATGACAAATTCCATTTGTATGAACAAAGGCTATGCCACGTAATAACTAATATGAATATAATTTGGCTTATATTTCTGGTAACAACTATTGTTATTTCAAAAATGATGCATTAAATGAATGAAGAGTTTCAGGTTAATAATCCATAATAACATTTAAATATTGTTCATCAGGTGAATCTCCATATGTAAAATATGCATGTTTAGTTTCAACAATATTTGGATGATCCAATTCTTATAGAATTTGAATTTCCCTATTTTTATATCTCTTATCTTATATAACTTTCTTAACTGCAACTATTTCACCTGTTTCATTCACTTTTGCTTTGTAAACAATTCCAAAAGATCCTTATCCAATTACTTTTAAGCTAGTGAATGTAAATTATGAATAATCAATAGGTTAATTGTTTTAAGGTGGAGCTGGAGATTTACTTTTGGTTCTTTAATTTTTCAATGGAGTTTTTTGTTTTTCTTATAAATTTTTGAATTTTAATATTGCTTATTAAAGATCTATATCATCTATATCAGCTGCTTCTGTTTACACTCTTCTATTGGCATCTGTTGGTTGAGTATATTTATTAATAGGTTTTTTAGCATAGCGAGCCATCCAACTGATTAAATTATGAAATTTTTTATAAATTAAGTTTATCTAAAAGGTTCCTCAAATATTAATGAGTATAAATGAATAGGAATTATAAAATAAAGTAGAAAAAGTAGTAGATAATGTAAATATAAATAATCATATTTAGTATATGAAAAGAGCAAAGTCATTTCATAGATAAAGATCATCAATTTCAATGAATGAAGAATAGAGAGATTTAACATAAGAGATTGCTGAAAAAGAATTTTAAAAGAATAGATTATTAGAAGAATTGTTAAAGCAAATTTCTTTAATAATAGACAATTTAATTCAAAGACATTTGTTTGATGTGAATATTACATATATATTCCTAGTTTCAAAATTAACTTCTTCATATATAGAATGAACTATATTAATTGAAGACAAAATAGTTTCATATTGGAAGTTAGGAGAGTACAATAAAATAGACACTTGTATTATCAAAGAATAGTTCTTTTACTGATTTTAATGAATAATTTCTCTCTGAAGATTAAATTAAAAATTTAAAAAACAAAATCAAAAATCTAAAAGAGGATGTTAATAAGAAAACATAATATCATGATTCATTAATAAATATGTTGTTGGATTAATAGTAATTAATTATATATTATAAAAATTAAAGGAAGGATTTAAAAGAGAATTTGAGAAAAAATTAATTTGATTTAGATATTAAATCAATAGAAAAAAGAATGCTTGATTAAATTTGGTTAAGTAAATAAATATTTATATTAAGATAGGTGTTGAAACATAAAGTAGAGATTTTGTTGAAACGAAATTTCATTAACTAAAATAATTAGTAGAATCAAACAATTAGAAACAGAAAGGTAATTTAATAAATTTAAAAAAATAGAAAAGGATGCTGTGATGTGGACAATTGTAAATGAATGTAAATGTGAGATGGATAAAATGAATTTGAAGCTAAATAATGTAAACAATATTTTACATGAAATCAAAGAAAATAACAATTGGTTTCCACGTATTTGGAAAGCAAAATGATATAATATTATTATTTAATTTAGTTCAAATTTATTAATTTATCATTTTTTAGAAATTTATATTATTTATTCATTTACTAAATAAGTTAGGATTAAGAGTGATAAATATTTATGTGAGACATTTCTTGTCGATATTAAATTAATGGAAACTGAAAATTCCTATCTTTTCAATATTTTCTTATTGGATCAATTTTCAATATTTAATTATTCAAAATTGCTGAATCTAGCAGAATGAAAAATCAAGAAAAGTCGATTTATGATGACAAAATGTCTTAAATCTTATAGAATGACAGTAAAACACATAATACTATATTCATTTAGCAAATGATGAAATTTCATAATCCTTAGCAAATAGTCCATCACTGGATATAAGTTTAGAAACAGTATTAAAGAAACTGCAATCCAAAAAAATAAGATAATTATATCAGGATCTAGGTCCTGTTTATGATATTAATGACAATTATGAGATTCGAAATTTCGATGATGACAGCTGTTATTTTGGATAAGTGGAAAATGACCAAAAAAATGGTACAGGAATACTGGTATGGTCTTCGATAGGAAATATACTTGATGGGTAAAAGTTTATAATTTATAAAAATAGAATTTGGGTGAATAATGAGTTAAATGGATTTTGTAGAATGATTTACTCAAATGGAGACATGTAAAATGATATTTAATTTAATAGTTTCGAAAGTGAATTCAAATTTGGGAAGGCTAACGGATTTGGAGTTTTCTAAACTAAAAGTAAAGTAGTAAAAGGTAGATCATTAAATCATAATAGGATTGTGGAAGAATAATGTACTAAATGGAGAGGGATAAGAGATAAGAAGGGATGGATAGAAGTATTATGGATAATTTGAGGATGGATAAAAGAATGGAAAAGGAATTATATATTATAAGGATGGATGCAAGTAAAAATAAGATTTGATTTTAGATATGAAGGAGAGATTAGTAAGAATAAGATAAATGGAAAGGGCATATTAGTTTGGAATGATTCAAGTTATTATGAAGGGGAATTTAGTAATGGGATAATAAATGGAAGTGGTATTTATGTTAGTGGAAATGGATAAAGTTTGAGTGGATATGTATGTTTGAATTGATAATAAGTTTATAGTTTGAAGAAATAAGTAATAAAGACAGAATTCAGAGAATTTAATATATACATAATAGTGGTTCTCAAAAATTGATCGAGAAAATACGATAATTATGATTTTTTTGATTGATTACACATGATTAAATATAACATTGTGTATTTTAGTGTAGCTTTTAAGTAGTTAGAATATAAGAAAATAAAAAAAGTATAAGAAATATATATAAATTAATATTAAAAAGAAAAATTCGTTTTTGCCTTTTTTTAGCAAAATAATCCTTAGAAGGAATTCATTATTAATTACAATAAATGTTCAAAGTTGCCGTGTGTGCATTGTTAGTACTTGCCTCAACAGCCATTAATGTCTAATCCTCAATTTGGACAAGCAAAGACTAAAAAGCTTTTGCTTAGATTCACTAATCTGGTTGGGGTAAATTCATCTTGAACTTTGCTGAACTCCATTTATCAACAGGTGGTATCCTTTCTGAGCTTAACTCTGAGATTGAAAAACTCGTATATATAATGAGTTAATATGTTTATAGGTTGATGAAATGGAAGAGGAATTAGCTGGAGTTCATCATGAATTTAACAGAAGAACAGATGTCCACAATAGAGAAGTTACCAGACTCGAATAAGAAATCTAAGATAAAGAAAGAGGTATATATATCAGTTTTATTATTTCTTTAGAATTGTTCAATGCCCACGATTTCTTTGATAACGTCCTCATCCCATAAGGAGAAAGATTTGCTGCCTAACTTGAATAATTATAAGAAAACATCGCTTAAAACAGAAGAACCCTTGAATAAGCTACAGTCTAAAGAGCCAATGATCATGAAACATTTGAAGCTTAAGTTGTTGAACATAATGATGCTATTGCTGCTATTGATGAATGCTTATAATTATTGAGCACATTAGAAGCTCCATCTCTTGCTTAAGTCAAGAAAGTCTAAAAGAATTTGGCTAAAATCTAAAACTCATTGAAAAAGCACAACTAATTCCAAATCTTTGTTAAAGTTTTATTGGAAATCACAGTTGACTCCAACTTTGCTGACTAAGGAGCTCTTAGAGATGTAATGTCTAAAATAATATTTATTAGATTGTTGTTGCCTTCAATAATTTGAGAGTTGAATTAGTTGATTCACTCAATTAAATCACTGCTGATGAAGCTGACTAAGTTGCTGAATTCAATGCTTAAGTTATTTAATTGAACTAAGAACATGCTGAATTCTAAAGAGCTGTTGTTGTTAAGAATGCTGAAATCGAAGCCAACACAAGTATACATTCTAATCTAACAATAAATAGCCAAATAAGAATAAACTCTTGAATTAATTGATGAACTTGATGCTGATTTGGCTACCCTCAATGGATAATTACAAGCTGAAAACGATGACTATGCCTTTGCCACTGACGTTTATAATGCCACCGTTGCTGAATATAACAAGGAAATTAATGCTGCCAATTAAGCTTTAGAATTGCTTAACCAACCAAGATTCCAAGACTATGTTAAATCATAACTCAAAGGAGCATGATCTATTTCCAAATATAAAATATATCAAAGCATAGAAATTATTATTATAATAATTTATTTGTAAAAATCAAACCTTATTCTCAACATATGCAACAAAAATGTTGTTGTTTACCTACTCAAAAAGCATTTCTTATGATTGTTTATCTAGATATTAGCAGAATCATTTGGGGTTTAAACTACTACTATTATTATTTCTAGGAACAGTGGCATGTGCCTTCATGTTTTAAAAAGACTCATCCCTTTCTCTTATTATATCCATCATGGATATTATCATAATTGTATTTCAGTCCTCCGTTGCTTTATACATTAATATGAGAGCATTAAAACAGCAAAATAAAAAACCTATCTTCATCTATAGAAAATTGAAAGTTTTAAGTATATGCTTTAACATACTTGATCGATTGATTGTTCCTATTATCAATTGTACCCTCATTTTTAAAGATGTAATAACCCTAATATTTAGGATTAATAAGAAGCAAGATCACAGTACTGTGTACTTGATATTTTTGTTGCTCTCATTATAACTGCAATCATATGGAATCTTATTGAATATTATTTCTATACTATAGTAAGAGATTTTGTCATGATTCTACAATCCTCATGTATACTTTTTTTCTAATTTAGAAAATCGATCATTACGTTATATGAATGACAGCAAACTTAAGCTTTTAGAATAGCAAAACTTAGCAATTGTCTTTGAAGTTGCAGGATTGAGACCAGCTTATCGAAGAGGAGGATAACCTATTATAAATTCAGATAAAGTAGAATAAGGTCATCTTAAAAGTACTATGGAAGTTCAAAAAATATATTAACAACCATTACAAAATAATTAAAGTATTAAATCTAAATATTTCAGGTTTCCAAGTTTATGGTTCTTAATAAGAATTAATAGAAATCAATTTAATTGAATGATAATATTCATTTTTCATTAATGAATCTAATTAATATGAAAATAATTAAGATTATTCGATAAATAATAACAAAAATTTATTTTTATCATAGTATTTAGTCATTAGTTTAATACTTGACTGCTTTTTCTTATTTATTTCTTCATTAAGTCATTCAAACTTTAATCAACCTACTTTATCTGATTTTTACAAACTATTTATTCTAATTATTAATATTTATCTATGATTTAAGTAAGTTCTTTATTTTTTATCATTAATTCATTTTACAAAAGGGATATTTATTCTGACATTCTCTTAAATTATACTGTATTATTGAGTGGATCATTTATTATTCTATTAGATTCTTAAGTATTACTTAAAGATATTAATTTACTGTATAATAATTCATTATCAATTCTTATATTCTATTATTTCAATTATAAATTTTTAACTTCTAAACTTAAATCTGAGCATTCTTAATTTTTTATCTCTAACATTTACATATATTGTAATTTTTCATTAATTAGATTTTATAATTAAAAATCATATTACTTTAATTGATTTTCAAAGTTTCTTTATAATTAATATATATATTATTCTTTTTCTTTTTGTTTTTGTCTATCCTACTATTCATAATGATGTAAAATATTTGAATTCTCTTCTTCTAATTTTAATAGATTTTCTTCATAATTATTTAATTTCTTGTAAATATTTTCAAAATTATTGATCTCATTATCTTTTTGTATAATTTAATTTTTTAAAAATATATTCTCTCTATTTATTTATTCCATTTTCTAGTTAGTCTCTTCAAGTAATAACTGACATTATAATTATATTTCTTAGATTTTTTTGATTGATTCATCATTAAGAGTTTCAGACTATAATCTTTAAGATAACAATCTATTATTTTAATCTTCAATTATATTATTCAATTTTTAATTTTCTATTTCATAATACTCTCTCTATCTTAATCTATCAATCATTAATTATTATTATTCTGAATTATTGGCTGATAGAAATTCTTTTAAATTTTTAATTTCACTTTCTAAAACAGAAATTTATTTTTAAGAACTTTGTTTAATTGAATCAATCTCATTTTTTTACATTTAAAAATAATTATTTTTAATTTAATTAACATCTTCTAAATATTATTATTCTTTTTTTATTAATTTTAACTTCAAACTTTCATTTTCTTATTTTATTTAATTGTTTTCTAAATCAATTTAATATTTTAATCTTTAATTTTAGTTATTTATAGTTTGTATTTCCTAATTCTTTATGTCAATCAAACATTTTAATTGATTAATTTCTTCTTTTAATATTTCAATCTAATTATTATAAGCAATTTTCATATTCTAAACTTATGAATCTTAATAAAACTCCATTTTCATTTTCTATTAATAAATTTAATTCTAATGTTCAACCTATATCTAACTTACCTTATTTTTTAGTTATTCTATTTCTCCATTATATCTCAATTATGCTTCAGATATCTCCATTTTTTATTTCTCTATAGTAAAAGTTAAACTTTTAATAATTGAGTTCTTTTCTGAGATTTCATCTAACAGTTTATTTTATTCAATCTAGTTATCATTCTCATTTAATGATCTTTAGAAGGTCTACATACTCATATTAGTTAAATTATCACCAGTTGGTTTCTATTCAAAAAAACTATAGTTTCTTTGTTACTCACATGACGTAATTCGTTCATTAACTGCTTGAATTTCTTAGCTTAATATTTTAATATCCTCATCATACTTGTTTCTCATTTCATTTAATTACATAGCAGCTTATTCATATTTTTATTTCCATTGTTCAATCTCTTATTGTTATATTTCACTTTATTTATGCAGAGATTGATTTTATTATAATAACTTATATTATTATTCTGCTTAACTATCTTCATGATTTTTATTATCAATTCCTACTATAGAAGAATACATAGAAGGAAAATTGCTTTCATTTTTATTGATTTATTATAAAAACTTTGCTACTTCAATTCCTATCTCCTTACATCTGTTTTTGTTTTTATCATTCTCTCCTTAAGTTTGATTGTTAATACTTTCCTTATTTTATGAAGAATAAGGTGATTGAGTTTTTAAGTTCTTACTTCTTTTTAATGCCCCACCAACAGAACAATTGGAAGGAGTTGAAATATATTAGCATTGCATTGGTGAAACTGTTCTGAATTTGCTTTATTGCATATTAATAATTTATAAAGAAAAATATAAAATGCTTTCATAATCAATAAAGCATTTTACATATTAAATAAATTTATTATTATGTTTTATTAACATTATATTTATAAACTGTATATTCCCAATTATATAAACAAATAACTTTTTAATTATTTTATTTTCATGGAATAAGTTTACAATATTCAAAATATATATTTTCATATAAATTAATTTAATAATTATATCAATAGAGGTCATTTGAAATAATTAAATTATTGAAATGCATTATAATTCATTTATCTGTAATGCTTTGTTATTTTTTTTTTAAAGGAATCTTAGGTTTAGAATCAAGCTATTAGTGATTAAATAATAGTATAAATTAATTAATTCATCATAATAAATTTAAGGTTGAAATGGTTAAAATTGAAAAAAATAATTATAATATTTTTACATAACTTTATTTACTTTTAAATTAAAAAACAATTATATCCTACTCAATTAATTAAATACATGTATATTAATGTAAGGAATACATAAAACATATTTCCAAATATGATTTTAAAACTGATTGATAAATTAAAGTATAAAGTGTATATTCTAAATAAATAATACAAAAACCATCTTAATTAGTACTTGATTATTATGCTTAATATTAAGACTTATTAAGTATAGAAAAATTCTTAAATACTTAAATAATATTTTAATAATTTGCTTAATTTTTATAAAATGCGTCATAATTAAATATAAATCAGATGCATATTTCTAAAAAAGCACATTCATCTTTAAATCTTGTCAACAATGACCTATTGTAGACTCCAGATAAAAAACCCTAGAATCATGTTAATAATTCAAACAAGCAAGAAGATAGCACAATGAAAGAGTCAATTGTAGTTGATGTGTTGACTTATAATCATCCTCCAAACCTTTAGAAATTAATTCCTGTCTCACAAATTTTTGGAGCATATAAAAGATTAAAAAATGTAATAACAAGAACTCCAACTTAAAAATCAATGAAATTATCAGAATAATTTGAAGCTAATGTTTATATCAAAAGAGTAAATAAAATATATAATTTTAGGAAGATTTGCAAATTGTTAGAAGTTATAAGTTAAGAGGAGCATATAATAAAATAATATCTATACCAGAAAGTGAAAGACATCGTACTGTATTTTGTTCTAGTGCTGGTAATCATGCTTAGGGTGTTGCCTATGTATGTAATTTATTGAAAATAAACTGTATTATTTACATGCCAACAAGTACACCTAATATTAAGTTTAATGCTGTCAAGTAATATTAAATTCATATTAAGATCTTGGGGAAAACAATATGTTTAGATTGAATTGATTGGAGATACATTTGATGAGAGTTTTAGAGCAAGTAAAGAAAGATGCAATAATGAAAACGGTATATATGTACATGCTTTTGATGATGAGAAAATTATAGAAGGTTAAGGAACTATTGCTGTTGAAATACTTGAAGATATTCCTGAGAGTTAAATTGACTTTGTTTTCTTTCCTGTTGGAGGTGGAGGATGTGGAGCAGGAATTTCATCTTATTTTAAATAAGTTAATCCTGAAACAATAATGATAGGTGTAGAACCAGAAGGGTATATATATATATATATTGATTATTTAGTTCACCTTCTATGTATGAGGCAATTAAATAATAAAAAGTTGTTGAATTGGATAGTATTAACACATTTGTTGATGGAGCTGCTATTAAAAAGTCAGGAGCAATACCATTCGAAATTTTAAATTCTATTTTAAAAGATATTATATTAATTCCAGAAGGACATGTTTGTACAACTATGATGAAATTATTTAATGAAGAAGGTATTTTAGTTGAACCTGCTGGGGCTTTAGCAATATCAGCCTTAGACAGATTTAAAGATGAGATCAGAGGTAAAACTGTTGTTTGTTTGATTTCTGGAAGTAACAATGATTTAGGAAGAATGACTGATATTAGAATGCTTTCAGAAATTCATTAGGGTCTTTAATATTATATGTTTGTAAATTTCTTTTAAAAACCTGGAGCATTAAAACAGTTTATTATACAATGTTTGGGTATATATATTAATCAATATATAATATAGGACCAACAGATGAAATCACTAATTTAGAATACACAAGAAAAAATAATAGAGAAAAGGGACCAGCATTAGTTGGAGTCAAAGTTAAAAAACCTCAAGATTTTGAAGCAATTAAAAATAAAATGGAAGAATTAAAAATTACACTTAGAATTTTATAACCAAATTAAGAGATTTTTAAAATGTTATTGTGATTTATAATATTATAAGATTATAAATATATATAATTTATTTCAAACAATCTAGCCACTTAAAATTAATCTTTTAATCTCTCTCTAGAATTATTCATCAAAAAACAATGTTCCTTATGGAATTAAGTAAATGAACTTTTGTAAAAGAATCATTTTATTTAATTCAGAATTTGATATTAATCTTAAACAATAAATACTAACGATTTCAAATGCTAAGTACAATGAAACAACAATCTTAAGTTAGACAAAACTCTTACATAAACTATAAATTACAATTCAGTAATTTAAATTTAAAATTATTCTTTTATAACACCAGAAAATTTTGACAAGACATCTGATAAAAGTGTTGAACCTTCTAATTCTAATTTATCTAGTGATTATCTAGTGTCAAAATGAGTTGTTTCATATTCATTAGATATGCTGTTGATTACATAACTTAATGCATTTACAAGTCCTCCTTTTAAAACTCCCTACATAACTTTGTCACAAATCCCATTAGCCTTTATTTTATATTCCTAAAATATTTTATTGTTATGTATATATACTTCGCTTAAATTATCACATACAGAAATTTAAGTTATTTTTTCTACTATTTGAGTAGATGGTCCAAAAATTTCATTAATTTAATCTAATTAAAGTAAATCCTAATTAAACTCTTTTAATGAATCTAAACTCTCTTCTACATGTTAATATAAATCTTAGATTTCAGAAGGAGTGAAAAATGTAAATGTAGCTTTATAATACAAGGCTTCTTTCCAAGCATAAATAATTAAAATATTTACACTGGCATCTGATATTTTTTAGTAAAATTTTGCTACATTTTAATAATAGATTATTTAATTATGTGTTATAAGATAGAAACTTAAACTTACTAAAAAATATATTAGATAATGAAATAATATTGCGAATGTTTTTCTAAATATATTTAGAGAAACCAATTTTTTATTGTTAATTTAACGATATTTAAAATTTGATTATTTTTTTTTGAAAGATTTATCAATATTATCCAGATCCATAGAATATCCATAGATCATTTATCTATTATTTTAGATTTTCAAAGTTATTTATTTTAATCTAATAATTTCTAATTCAACTTGATGTAGATCTTGATTTTTTAAAATAGATAATATTTTATTTTTGGAATTTCTAATCTGTTTTACATGATAGATTTTTAGAATAATCAATATGAAAGATATTACTCCAAATAATGTTATGTATAATCTAATGTTATTCATTTTTTCATTTGAATATATTAATGTTTGTTCTAAAGTAAAGTTTTCAAGATCAACAAACTTTTTATATAATATTTGACTGTTTTTATACGAATAATAAAAATAAGGTCCATCTGTCAATAATGGTTTTACTGTATAAGCCAATTTATATTCATATTGATAATTAAGTAATAAATGAATTGATTCTCTAAAACTTATATTATAATTCACTCCAGTATTATTCTTTACATATAAGGAAAGTATTAAATAATTCTCTTCTAAAAATGGTTAAAATTCAGGTATATATAATACCTTTGTAATACTCTATTTTAAAAGATCATAACCTGATAATAAATTTGATTTTGGAAATTAAATAAATTGTGCATGTTCTATCTCATCAATCATTTTCAGATTAAGTAATTAATTATAAGTTACAATAGTATATCTAGTGACTAAAAAGGAGTCAATTGGTTAATAGATTTCATTCTTAATAGAAAGTAGTTCCAAATGAGATATCAATTCTTTTAAATAAAAGGTTTCATCAAATATAATTATCGAAAAGATAAATGCAACAAGAATATATATTAAATAAATGATAATTAATGAAATCCAATTCTTAGATTATTTTTGAGAATTAAGAATAATTGAGGATTATTTAAATATTTGATAATAGGGAGATCTTTTTACTTTAGCAATACTTGATAAATTTGTAAAATTTTCTAATTTTCTATTAATTTTATTACTGAAACGAGGAAAAGAGTTTTCAGTTTATTTTTTCTCTGGAATTATTTAGAAATCATTATTTTCCTATAATAAATCAATTTGTAATTCATGACGTTCTGTATTCAATATCATTTATTACTTTTAATAATAATCTTCTTCAGGATCTGGTAAGTTTATTTCAATTTATTCATCAATATCAAAAGGATTCTCAGAATTTTACATATATCTAAATTATGTACATGAATTAACTTTATCTATTTTAAGATTATCTAATCTCAATACAAATATATATTGATTTTCTTAAAAGAATCTTTGAGTGATAGTTAAATGACATGAATATAATGTGATATTTTCAATATCATCTAAACAATTAAATGTTTTTGTTTTTCCTTTCTATTCATCTTCTTCTTAACAGCTTATAAAATTAATAGGACATATTTTAATATCATATATTTTTTCATCAATATATTTTTTAAATTAAGGAATTACTTTATTTATATTAATACCAATAATATGATCCAAATAGACTTCAGAAAGATTTAAACCACCAAAAAATAAGTTATGACTTATTTCTTAAAGTCTAAAGTTGGAATCTACAAATATTATATGTTTTTCACTTTGTGGTAACCTATAAACTGTTATAATTTCTATATTTTATGAATTTTTTTGATTCAAATCCATACAAATATCAATTGGTTATATTATACCTTATCTTATTTTTATAAAAGTTTCACCAATTGATTAAAAAAATCTATTTTAACCTGTTTCAAGAAAATTTTCAACTAAATATTAATGTTGTTGTTTAAGTGATTAAGGTATTAAGGTTTACAATTAATCACCTTCTTTTAATTTAAAATTTTAACCTTATGTTATTGAATGATATTCAATAATGATATTTTATACATCTATAATTTTGAATATTACAAAATTAAAACTTTAATTAAAAAAGTTAAATAATTCTGATTAATTATGTTTAAGTATTATATCTTCATCAAGTGCAATAATTTAGCTAAAGTTATATGCATCTAACACATTATTCAAAATTTCTACTTAATAGAACATCAAAACACTCTAATTTGAAATAGCTTAAAAATTAATATTATAAATATACTTGGAAACAATTCATAATTTGATTTCAATTTCTATAGAAAAGTTTCCATTTCTAATAAGATCTTTTATACTTTGCGATTTAATTGATTCTACTCTATTTTATCATTTAAAATAATATTAAAAAATTCTATTTTTGATATTAAAACATTTAAAAACATTGTTTAAACATCAATAGTATTTGAATTAATAATAGATAATTATCTCATAGCCAATGAAATTGTTTATTAATTGGATTTTGTTTTTGAAGTTTATTAAATCATTTTACTCTACATCATTGCTATTATTTTACATTCTAATATTTTTAAAAAAGTTTATTATGAATTGCTAAGTTCAACTCTTATAGTTAATCTATATATTCTTGAATTCATAATTGAAGGATTATTGCTCTTATATCTAAACAATTATTCAATAATATGTTATGCTTCAACATATTTATCTAGAATTATTAATGTTTAAACATAATTAATATATATCTATCCTAAATGAAAAGGATTTCTAATTTTCTCTGATAGATTTTCTAATTATCTCAATATCTATTATAGCATATGTTATCTTATTCTATCAATAATTTATTGAGATAGTAGTTACTCATATGAAAATAAGATCTCATTTTTTTAACAAAAATGTTAAACATACTAAAAAAGAAAAATTTAATTCTCTAACTTTTTAGTATCTATACCCTCTTCAATAATGCAAGAAACATATTTTAATTCACTAATAGTTATCTCCTAAAAACCTTTTTTATTCATTATTTAATGTATATTTCTATCTAATAACCCTTTTATTATGAAAAGACTTATAGGAGCTAATGGAATCCACAATCTTAATGTAAAACAATTAAATAAACATTCAAATAATTGTAAAATTGCCATTATAGATCCTATACTACCAACTATAATTATTATTAATAAATATGGATTTCTCATGTGTATATGATTAAATCTAATTTACCAAAATTTATGAATAAAATTTAGGATTATCAATACTGCTTAAGCAATTTAGGCTGCTTCTTTATTTTCTAAAAAAGCATAATTTATTATTTGAAGTAATTTTAAGTATAAATTAATTATATTTGTATGGGATTAATTAATTGTTAAATATTACAATTAAGGTATAAATCTAATGCTCCTATTTAAGAATTACCATTAAATAAATAATATTATACTTATTTAAAGGATTAGGATGATGCTTATTATGATAATAAATACTGAAGTCTATTATTTATCAGCAAGAAGCAGCATACAAAATTCTATTATATTATGACCTATATAGACTTTATTAAAAAATAAAAATAAGGAGATGATTGAAATAATTATTTGTAATTTATTTGAGTTCATTTGACTAAATTATATTTCATTTATTATGTTGTTCTATTTTGTTTAATTAAAAACAATACAATAATATATCCAAATGATGATAACTATTTAAATTAAAAGAAATAAAACAATAAATGTAATTTCATAATTTCCTTAAGTAATAATATATATGTGAGGTCTTGTAAAAAATAAAATAATGGTAAAAGATTTATATGGTTCAAAAGCAGGCTATTCTAAATAACTTACCATCTGAAGTTATGCAAGGAGTCCAAAAATTAATTAAATTAAGCTCGGTAGTTTCATAGTAAACTATTAAAACACTATGCTAGTTTTAATAATATCATTTAGTAATTTTGATATTCCGTTCATTCAACTAATGATAAATAAATTATTTAATTCTTATTAATTCAGAATTAATAAAACAAAGAATTCTTCCATGTTAGCTCATAAGTTCTGATTCCACTTATTAATAAAATTGATATTTAAAATTTAGAGATTTATTAAATTAACATGTTATTTAGAATTGAGTATTTAGTTTGTAGGATAAAAATATCATAATATAATATAATAACAATTTTCAAGTAGAGTTTAACAATAATTTAGTAATTCAAATTCTTGTGATAACTGTTCTTTAACATTTAAAAGTAAGTTTATTGATTCCTATTTATATCTGCCAATTCTCTTTATTATTTTCTTATTTCTAAATACTAGATCTGATGATAATTCCTGGTATTTTTGAGGATTTTCAAATTTTTCTGAAATTCTAATAATCATTTCTTTTTTTGAATACTTTTAAGATTGTAAATTTTGAGATGATTTAAGATTGTCAATTTAATTGAGTTTGAATTCAATCTTATCTTAAAGTTGTTTCATATAAATTGAATGTGTAAAATTAGTAAAGTTAAGGGTTTTACGATCGAATAAACAATTAACTAAAAGAGACTAACAAAATTATTCAATATAATAGAGTGAATGGAAAAGTAGATTGGATTGCTTCTTATCATTTTTCAAAAGACATTACATACTTAGATTTGGTAATATGAGAGTGTACAAATGATTTATACCATTCTCAATTCCATATGGATAGATGACTGACTATTCTTGAATTTTGATATCTGAATTAGAATTGTAATCTGCATTTTCATAAGTCTAAACAATAATAACATTGCTAGGCTTGTTGAGTTAAAGATCATTAAGGATTTCCATACAATTTAGAGCTTTTAGATTGATGGAAGATCGTTTAATATCTTTCATTTAATAGATAGCTGTTATAGGTAAACGGTTAATATTCACATACTCTATTAATTAATTTTGTAAATTTCTTGTAAGAAAGATTAATTAGAAATTCTTAGATAAAGCATAAATCAGATCTTTTAAATTTGTTAATGCATAAATAGTGGAATTATGTATCAATTTAGAAAAATAATGATCCTTAATATTTTGATAATCTATATAGAGTTGAGATTAAATAAAGTCCTATTAAAACCCATAATAACTAGATTCACAAAATCCTAGTAGTTCATCAAAGACAATTAAAGCAATATTACTTATTTAAGAATTTGTGATTTTTATTTATTCTAGTTCTAGTAAAATTGTGTTAATAAAGGGTTTCTTAATTTAGATATCAGGAGTTGGTTTTGGTAAGGATGTAATTGGTCTAATAAACTAAGTTATAGGGCTTTTGTTAATTTCATAGATAGGCTTATTTTAAGATAAACTATTTTCGAAAGAAGAATTGCTTGAAATAGATGATTTAATTTTAGCTTTAGATTATGTTAGTTATTTAATCCCAATTTACTCAATATTTAACCCATTAGTATTTTATTAAGGAGAGCGAAACTAAATATTTTTAGTATGGGGAAAACTTCCCTTAATTATTTTACCAGGTATTTTGATACTATGTTTTTATTTTCTCATTTAATAGTAATTAGCACAAGCAGGTTTAATCTAATATTTTGATAAATTAGAATCTTAGTGGATGTTATGAATGAAACTACTAGTTACATCAATTTTATTTTCTTCATTTCTAGAATCATTAGCTATGTAGGATTTGGTATTAATTTAGGGTAAAGTAATTCTTTAGTCTTCATTTGATGAATTTAAAGTGACAAAAGGTGAATAATTTTTCTTCCAATATCCCTATATTAATGCTTTAGGAGAATAGGATGTATTGGTTTTTATCTCTCTTTATGAAATAGATTTGAGATAGTTGTCGTTGACATAGTATTATTAGATGGGGTCTAATTTAGTTAGAGCTTGAATCATAATAATTAATTTTATAATTGACCTTAAAAATAATCTGTATTGAAATGAATATTGGGTATGAATATACTGTTATATAGATATATCATAAACTAACACTTTTCAAATACATTTCTAAAACATTAGTAAATCTAAGGAAACTAGGACAGTAAATATATTTGATATCACTTCCAAGTAATCCATCAAATTCCCACATCAATTTAAGAGAGTTCAATAAGTGTTCTTTGAAATCAACTTAAAATTTTTGTCCATATTAATGGCTAAGAATAAATTTATAGAATTTACAAAATATATAAGTATATATCTGATCTAGAATCTTCAGCAAAAAGGATGTCTTGTATACTTTATAATTGATTTTAATCTCGATTTGTTAAAAGAGTTTTAGTAATTAAATTATCAAATTTTTAAATTAGAAGAAACTTCTTCCATGGTTTAGTTGTTTTTATCATTTGACTAAGTATTTCAAAAGTTGTTGCATATGGAAGATGTTTAAATTATTTCTCAGCATTTTCAATAATATTATCTATTTGAATAATTGTTTAATGTTGTATTGGTTTAACAGATCCACCAGATGATTCAAGAAAACTAATATATAAATATTTGAAAAGTTGTACCTATCATTAGAAATATTAACTATCTCTCCTCCTTATATTGGTAATAAGGCTTAATCTATTTCAAAATCATTATGCTCTAAAACTGTACCTTTTTCAGGAATATTTGATTAATGTAATTCATTAATTTATATTTATTGATAATAGAGTTTAAGCATCTAATTAAATTTATTCTTAATGGGAGATGCCTTCCCTAATAAGTAATGTTAAAGCACTCTTTAAACAAGTAATTCCTGTTCAGGTAGTTTGTCAAGGTCATTGCCAAAATAAAGTTTGAGATCCTACTAGAAACCTTGAAGAATAACTATTCTAAGTATTTATGAAATAGTATCAAATTGTTGTATGATATCAATGACCTCCTCATCAGCATAGATCTCATTGAAATGTAAAAAGTAATTAGCAATAAGTAAATTGAAGAAACTTGATTGATTAAGTTCTATTTCTAATTTCATTCTAAAATAGAACTCAAGTTTTGTTTCTGGATCTTTTTCAGTTATTGATAAATATCTTGGAGCATTGCAATTATCAATTAATTATACAACTAAATTCTATATACATATATATCAAACCTTATGAAATATTATTATGTCTTGATACTAGATTTGTGAAATGAGTTAATTATTCAGTTTATGTAATTTTTTTTGGAATTAGTACTTGTGTTTATCAATAGGTTCATCACTTTGATCAACACAACAGATATTATTATTTCCCATTTATTTTATATAAAATAATAAAATTAAGATTGATCCTTATTTTGTGAATTTATGTAAAAGTAAAAGAAGTATAAGTTTATCACAATAAATATAAGAATCAATTAGATTTTTAGATCTTGATAGAAATTAATTAAAATTTAATGCTTCTATACTTAATGATAATTATTAATAACTTTAATGAAATAATTATAAAGATAATCTATATAATTCATGTTGGCTTATATGTTATCATATGATATAATGATCATAATCAAATTTAATATCAGTCTTTTTCAATAATACCCATCACTGAATTAAAAATAGTTTACAAAACTTCATTTAAGATAATTACTAACCTTGGAAAGTATGAAACTCAAAGTAACAATAAATTAAGTTAAAATAACATATGAAAATAATAATTCCAAATATTTATATTCTATTTCTAAAGATAACTAAAATATATATATAATTAATTCTAGATATTAGTAAATTGGTTCCTAATATATAATAAAATAACTAAAATGTTAATAAATGTAATTAAATAATTATAGCACAAAATAATCAAATGCTTTATTAAAAGACACTGTATATGAAACAAAAATTAAATTAGGAATCAAAGTAATTTATTTAATTTTTACTTTGAGTTGATAGATGAAATGAATCATGACTATTAAAATATATGGTGTAATGATATTTAAGATTGGATGATTGATTGTTATTGTGATTATAAACAGAGAGTATATGTGAAGCATTTTGAGTTATTTTCATTATTTAGAGTAATTTAATTATTTAAATTAAAATAACAAAGATTTTAATCAATGAAGGCCGAACAATAACAAAAGGGGGCAACCAAAACAGTAAAGAAAGTGAAGGTTAATAAAAAAGCACCAGTCAGGTACATTGAATATTTGAAAAAAGATTATGGGTTAAGGCTGTTTTCACTGGTTTCAGAAGATCTAAAGTTTAATAAAACGAGAATTAAGCATTGTTAAAGATTTAACATGTTGATGATGTCTCATCTAGCAGATTCTATTGGGGAAAAAGAGTAGCATATATATACAAGGCTCACACTCTTAAGAACAATACTAAATTTAGAGTAATTCATTATCCTAATTTTTTTTAGACTATCTGGGGTAGAATCAGCAGATCACATGGATCAAATGGAGTTGTGATTGCTCGTTTCAATAGAAATCTTCCACCAAGAGCCATTGGATCTACTTTGAGAGTATTCCTTTATCCAAATAGGGCTTGATCCAATATATTAATATGTACATTTATTTCCAGAAATTAAATAAAACAAATTTATTTTTTAAATATGAGTCAACCACCATAGGCATCATAATCATAATAGTAAAAGTCCAATACCTTCAATAAATCAGAAAAAACAAAAGATATCAGATTAACAAATATCTAGGCTGCTAAAGGTAAAAATGAAATAGATATACCAAGCTGTATCTGATGCAATTAGAACCAGTTTAGGACCAAGAGGAATGGATAAAATGATTTAAGATGCCAAAGGTGAAGTACTCATTACAAATGATGGAGCCACTATACTCAAATAGATGGATTTGGTTCATCCCACTGCAAAAATGGTAATTTATAGAATATTACAAAAAGTTAGTTGAAATTTCTCATGCATAAGATGTTGAGGCTGGAGATGGCACTACATCAGTTGTAGTATTTGCAGGAGCATTATTGAAATCATGTGAAGTCCTTTTAGAGAAGGGAATACATCCAACCACTATTTCAGAGGGATTCCAATATGCATTAGAAAATGCATTAGAAGCTTTAGATGAATTGAAAAAACCAGTTGATCTAGACAATAAATAATAATTGATTGAATGTGTGTAAACAGCACTTTCATCAAAAGTGGTTTCATCTAATAGTGCATAATTGGCTCCACTTGCTGTAGATGCAGTTTTGAGAATTGTTGACCCTCTTAAACCTGATAATGTTGATCTTAAAGATATTAAAATTGTTAAAAAATTAGGAGGCACAATTGATGATACTGAATTAGTTGAAGGAATTGTATTCTCTAATTAAAAAGCAAGTTAAACAGCTGGAGGACCATAAAAAATAGAAAATGCTAAAGTTGCACTTCTTTAATTTTGTTTATCAGCACCAAAAACAGATGTTGAGAATTCTATTGCAATTAAAGATTATACAGAAATGGATAAAATATTGAAAGAAGAAAGAAAATATATTATAGATCTTGTAAAAAAGATAGTAGCATCAGGTGCAAATGTATTATTAATACAAAAAAGTATATTAAGAGATGCAGTAAATGATCTTTCATTACACTTTTTAGCAAAGAAAGGTATAATGGTAGTAAAAGATATTGAAAGAGAGGATGTTGAATTTATATCAAAGGTATATTTATATATTTATAATTATTATCATAGACTTTATGTTTAGTACCAGTTGCACATATAGATTAATTGACTCCAGAAAAATTAGGAAATGCTGGACTTGTTGAAACAGTTTTCTTGAATGATGAAAGTAAAGTATTAAGAATTACTGGAATGCCTGTTTAATCTAAAGCTTTAACAATCTTAGTTAGAGGATCAAATTAATTAGTTTTAGATGAAGCTGATAGAAGCATTCATGATGCATTATGTGTTGTTAGAAGTCTTGTTAAAAGNCATTTAATAAATCAGAAAAAACTAAAGATATCAGATTAACAAATATCTAAGCTGCTAAAGGTAAACAATCCAACATATATATTAAGCTGTATCTGATGCAATAAGAACAAGTCTAGGACCTAGAGGAATGGATAAAATGATTTAAGATGCCAAAGGTGAAGTACTCATTACAAATGATGGAGCCACTATTCTCAAATAAATGGATTTGGTTCATCCTACTGCAAAAATGGTAATCTATTCAATATTAAAAAAAGCTAGTTGAAATTTCTCATGCTTAAGATGTTGAAGCTGGTGATGGAACTACTTCAGTTGTAGTATTTGCAGGAGCATTATTGAAATCATGTGAAGTCCTTTTAGAGAAAGGAATACATCCAACCACTATTTCAGAGGGATTTCAATATGCTTTAGAAAATGCACTAGAAGCTTTAGATGAATTAAAAAAACCTGTAGATCTAGACAATAAATAATAATTGATTGAATGTGTGTAAACAGCACTTTCATCAAAAGTGGTTTCATCTAATAGTGCATAATTGGCTCCACTTGCTGTAGATGCAGTTTTGAGAATTGTTGACCCTCTTAAACCTGATAATGTTGATCTTAAAGATATTAAAATTGTTAAAAAATTAGGAGGCACAATTGATGATACTGAATTAGTTGAAGGAATTGTATTCTCTAATTAAAAAGCAAGTTAAACAGCTGGAGGACCATAAAAAATAGAAAATGCTAAAGTTGCACTTCTTTAATTTTGTTTATCAGCACCAAAAACAGATGTTGAGAATTCTATTGCAATTAAAGATTATACAGAAATGGATAAAATATTGAAAGAAGAAAGAAAATATATTATAGATCTTGTAAAAAAGATAGTAGCATCAGGTGCAAATGTATTATTAATACAAAAAAGTATATTAAGAGATGCAGTAAATGATCTTTCATTACACTTTTTAGCAAAGAAAGGTATAATGGTAGTAAAAGATATTGAAAGAGAGGATGTTGAATTTATATCAAAGGTATATTTATATATTTATAATTATTATCATAGACTTTATGTTTAGTACCAGTTGCACATATAGATTAATTGACTCCAGAAAAATTAGGAAATGCTGGACTTGTTGAAACAGTTTTCTTGAATGATGAAAGTAAAGTATTAAGAATTACTGGAATGCCTGTTTAATCTAAAGCTTTAACAATCTTAGTTAGAGGATCAAATTAATTAGTTTTAGATGAAGCTGATAGAAGCATTCATGATGCATTATGTGTTGTTAGAAGTCTTGTTAAAAGAAAAGGATTAATTCCTGGAGGAGGAGCACCAGAAATTCATTTATCATTAAAATTAACTTAAAAGGCTAATACTTTAACAGGTGCAAGATCTATGTGTGTAAGAGCATTTGCTGAAGCACTTGAAGTGATCCCTTATACTCTTGCAGAAAATGCAGGTAAATATAATTTATATTCCATAATTTATAGGATTGAATCCAATTAATGTAGTCACTGAGTTGAGAAATAGACATCTTAAATCATAAAAATTTGCAGGAATAGGAATGAAGAAAGTAATTATTATCTAATACTAATTTAGAATAATATTGTAGATGATATTACAACTGAATAAGTAGTCTAACCAATTTTAGTAACAAGGAGTGCTTTGAGTTTGGCTACAGAATGTGTTAGAATGATCTTGAAGATTGATGATCTAGTCATTTCAGCACGTTGATGTATAACATTTTATATATGAAAAATAAAAATAGTCTATAGGTTTTAATATTCAATATTTAATAATTATAAAGTCTTGAAAAAATGGTTGAAATAAAATATGTTTTATAATACATTCATATTTCTATTGTAATTTATAATAATAATAAATAAATTAATGTTAACAAATTCAAGATCTAATCCTACAATCAAACCTGTTCTTAAATTAAAGCATTTTTTGAATACTATTGTTGTACCCTATTCATCCAAAGATCCTATATATAGTTTAAAAAATTCAATTGAAAGTTCAAGATTTGCATCATATCATAATATCGGTAATTCTGTACGTAAAAATATAATCAAAAACCAACATTCCTTTTTACCATGTATCACTAAACGGAAATCACTCATAATTGAAGCTAATTAAATTTCTACAATTACATTTGATCATGTGTAATAAGAATAAAATAATAATAAGTAAATGAAAAAACATTTAAGATAATTAAAGAATCTTAGTATTGCTCAAAATTCAAATGATAATCTAAATTCAACATATGAAGAATTATAAATACTTTAATCTAATAAAAATAGTCCAACAAAATATAAAACATCTAATAAATAGGAATAGTAAAAATCAAGAAAATAAAAATTAGTTGATTTTTTGAAAGGTGAAAATTAAGGCATATAATTTACATAATTATTACAAAAAAAATAATCAAAATAGTAAACTTTATTTCCTTCCTTTACAATTAAAAAATATCAAGAACTTTAATTTTGAAATTTTGTTTGTATTATTATTATTTTTTCAATCATAATGTTAGACAATCCAAAAATTTAATTAGAAACAGAAATCATACTTTAAGTAATCTAATACTTAATCACCATATAAGCTAATGATCATTTACTCTCTAAATAATTTATACATTAGATATATAGAATTACAATCAAAATATGAACTTTAGATCTGGAAAAATACTTACACCATTGATTATATTAAAGAACTTACTTGCAAAACAGGTAATCCTAAAAAATTCAATGTATTTATCTTCATGTTATAAATTGCATTACAAAAATCTAATGAAAATGTATTATTTATATTCTAAATAGGTATTATTTGATATTTTGAATTATCAATATCTTGAGAATCTAAAATAATAAAAATAATAAGATTAAAGTCAAGAGGTTCATCAACAAATTCCAAAATTAATAAAAGATATCTGATATTATCATATTAAACTGATTTTGAAAAATTCATTATCCATTAGCCTTAAATTATGAGGAACATATTGAAAACTCAAGATTAATGACTAAAATCTAGAATTTAAAAACAGAACTATAAGATTTTAAATCATAGAAATAAAATGATGAATAATTTTAGATTTCGAATTCATTTACCAAAAGTAAAAAGGATATATAAGCTCCTGATTCTATTGTGAATTAAAATGAACTTTTGAAAGCAAAAGTAAAAAGATTAGAAGAAACTTTGACCCAAAAAAAGAGGCAGTATAAGGAAATCAATCAGTTAGAGATAATGAACACTTATAAAATATGCTAAATACATCAAAATTATTATATGAAGAGAAAATGGAGAAGTTAGAATAATAGTTGAATAAAAAAATACAGAAATTTTTATGTAAATGGTTGAAGTATATATAATATAAATAAAGATTAGATAAATGCATTTAAAAAGGAGTTACCTAAAGTAGAGATGGATAATAGGATCAAAGAGCATATCAAGCTTATGAATGATGATGAGGAAAGTAAATTGGTTAAAGCATAGAAAACTATACAAAAATATGAAAAAGATGTTGAAGACCTTAATTAGTATGTAACTTAAAAAATCATAGATAAATAGATTATATTTAAAAATAAGATGCTATACAAAAGAGAAGGATAAATCAATTAGAAACCTGAACTATCTTAATCAATGAAAAAATTTAATTACAAAAGGAGTTACTGACAAGCTTTATCCCCATATAGTAATCACTCAAATTGAGTAGGAAATTGAATTATTCAGTTCCAAATAGATTAAATTTAAATAATTCATCTGGAAATGCATCTCCTAATGTAAAGTAGGCATCTCCAGCTTTAAAGTAAGAATTCACTTCCTTCCACTCAAAATTCAGTATTTATTTATTGTATTCTTAGGCTGCTTTTCAAAAACCAAAACATTATAATACTGCTCCAATGAATAAATAACCTATTTAAAAGAAACTCTCTCCAACTAGACCATAATAAGAGATAAGACCTAATCCTAATAGGGCATCTCCGATTACTTAATAAAAACCTTCTCCTGGAAAAAATAATATCTTTAAACAGCCATCTCCTCCAAGATAAAATTATTAATAAAATTAGGCTCCTTCATAACAATAGGCTATATAAAGGACAAATTAATCTGCTAATAATTATAAATAGCCTATGGGAGTAGGTGCATAATGAATATGATTGGAAATCTGAGAATGCAACAGAACTGGATAATAAAATTAATAATTTAAAAAATATATTATAAAGAGCAAAAAATGATTAAACAATATAATAAATACAAAGAAATAAAAATTTAATGAACCAAAAAAAAATCTTAAAATTTATCATTTTTTTGTTTTTTTAGTTGGTTAAGGGCTTGATTCTTTTTCATCATCATCATCATCTAAATCACCATCATCATCTTCTAAATCATCATCTGATTCATCTGAATCTTCTCCTCCTAAACCATCTTCATCATCACTATATTAAATATCATTTCCATTTTTATCTTTATTATCTAAAACTTACAATCCTGGAACTAAATCAAAAACCTTTTAGAAGTATCCTTACTATTAAGAAATAGGATTGTCAGATAAATCTAATTGTTGTAATTACTTCAATTATTTGATTGGCTCCAATTCCTAATAATATATACTTAATAAGATACAGCAAATGTTTTAATTAAATTTTCTGCTAAGCTTAAACACATTAATTTTGGATATGCATCAGCAATAAATTTAATTGCATCTCCCTCCAATTAATTAGTTTCCAATACCAAATTCTATAAATTTGGTAATTTAGGAAATCCTTCAAGTGTCTTTAAGGAGCACTCTACTAGACTTAAAGATTCTAGCTGACTATGAGATTCAAGAAGTTAAGCTGTCTATTTGTCTAATTTAACAATCTCAATATTGTCAAGATCAAAGTCCAATAATTTGCCATCTTGTTCTTGTGTTTTTTATTTGATTTCTTTTTTAAATATGTCTAATATGTTAGCCATTTATTAAAATAATTAATATCATTTAATTAACTATTACGCTATATGCTAAAAAGGGTGATCGATGTCTTGATTACGTGCCTATTTTAATAAAGATAATAAATTACTGTTGATAATGAAAAGAATGACAATCCCAATTAATTAGCTAATTACATTCCTTATTTATTTTCTATCTTTCTGATTGCTTATAAATCTGACTTCATGGCAACTAAAACACCTGGTAACTTCTTTCCATTAGCTTTTGTTACTCTTTCAAACCATTCCTTAGCTGCCTCATAGGTGGTCTCCTTTGTCATATCATAACATAAGAAAACAAAGTTGGCGTCTTTCAACTTGAATAATATTATTTAAATTTGACTATGTTAGATTTTAAAATCGCTTATTCATATATTTCTGATCCTGCTATATCAAATAAGTATAATTCGACATCTTTTTCTTCTTATTCAAATGGAATCAATTTTGTAGATATTTCAGCTATTTGAGTCTAAGATTATTGAATGAAGATAATACTAATTGATAATCCTTTAGAAAATTAACCTCTCCAGTTGTATACAATTAAATAAGGGCAGATTTTCCAACTGCAGAGCTACCTACCACCAATACCTTAGCTGTTACTTTTCTCATTGAATAATAAATAATTTAAAAATAATTTAAGATCAATAAATTATTCATTTTTGTCTGATATTTTTTTTTTAATTACCTAAGTTTGCTTTTTTACCTTATAAAATATATTCATGTTATGCAGATTGTTTTTTTGTTTCTTTATCTAATTAATTCAATAAATAATACTTTGAAAATAAATAGGCCCATAAGCTTATTATTTTGTAAGTGGAGGTAATTTAACTGTATCTTAGAGTTATTATTTTTTAGTTTTAATAGAGTTTTGCAAATTTTAGTTGTTTTTTTTGAATAGAATCTATTTACGTAATGTGCGACAGTTATTTTATTCTTCTTCATCTCTTTTGAATTATATTTCATATTTACAGTTTCTCTTGCAATTTGATTGATTATAGACTTATTCCCAATAATTTATATTATTCTTAATCTCTTAATTCTTTAAAATATGGATGTCTAAGTGCTTATGTTGCATCAATTCTCTCTTCTGGATCATAAATTAACATTTGTTTAATTAGATCAACTAAATCTTTGGGAGCATATGGAATAAGATGTTCAAAACCTGTTCCAACTTTAGGAGGGAAATTAATTTCCATATGTGATGCATGCTTTCTAAAACGATCTAGTACTTTAGGATTTGGTGTTCCTAAAATATTATGAATCTTATTAATTTAATCAAATTCATGGTTTCCAGAAAACAAAGGATATAATGCAGTAATTTCAAATAGTACACAACCTGCTCCCCAAATATCCATTTTACTATCATAATAACCATCTGTCAATAGAACTTCAGGTGCTCTATACCATCTTGCAGCTATGTATTCTGTTTATGGTTGTTAAAAATAAATGCTTTTACAAGATCCCATGCCAGCTAATTTTAGATGATCACCTTAAAGTAAAATATTTTCACTAAATATTAAAAATAGTTATTACGGCATAATGCAACGATGAAATAAATTATTTTTATGTATGAAATCTATTGCTTTTAATAATTGATACATATAACTTTTAATTTTATCTTATTCTAATAGTATTTTTCGATCTATTTAATTAACTAAATATGATTAATACCCTTAATAAGTTCATAAAGATTTTGTTCCATTAATTCAAATACTAAAGATAATCTCCATGTATTTTCATCACTATTTAAATGATTAATAATTACTATAAAACATCAAATAAATTTATTATATGGTCATGATTTTGTAACTTTCTTAATATTGGAATTTCCCTAAATTCATTAACCTAAATTAGTAATAATTATATACTTCATCAATTGTTTACAAAACTTTTTTCATACATTTAATAGCAACTAACTCATTTGATGCTATAGATTAAGCCTTTACAACTTCTGAAAATGTACCATCTCCCAATTTAGCTATTAATTTATAATCTATCCATCTTAATAATGAAATTACTTTGCATTCTAAATTTTTATTTTATTATATAATCAATTTTTTATAATAATCAAAATAAATCCATGTATTATGCTTTAACATTTATTCACCATTTTAAGATTATAAATCTCTTAGAATTTATCATTATACTATTTTCATTTCATTAATTATTTAATTAATTAAATTAATGTATTCATCATTTATTACTAAAAGACCTATTGGATTTAGTTTATTGGGAACTTGCATGATTCTTGATCTATTTATTGCAGCATCTTAATACTCTAATTATTGTGAATTTTTTGATAAACCAATATATAAAGTATCATCAGATAATGGAATATCAATATATTAAACTAATTCAGAAGGATGTGAATTAAGTTAAAATTTTGAATTAACATATATGGGATTAAATGTTAGTGATCAAAATGCAAAGGCAGAAGTTGATAATAGAATCACAATCTTAAATTCAATAAATACTGAATTATTTGCTTGCATTGCTCTCTTTGTATTCTACTTTCATATTTTTACAAGTTTTTTACCTTTATTTCTAGACTTTGTATTAACTATTTCAGAATATTGGATGTAAAGAACAAGGAATACACTAATGATATCATTAATAAGAAACTTAATTGTAATTAATTGGCAATTAATGTAACCCTTACTTCTACTTACAACTGTCGTTAACAATATTACATATAAAGAATGCTTTGAAGTTTAAGATTTAAGATTTCTGATTCCAATTTACACAACAGAATGGGCTATTCTCTTTATTGTTGTAATAGTTCTGGAAACATATACACTTTTTTTCTTTTTAGTTAAATGGAGAAATGAATTCCCATGCTATCTATTAATATTTTAAATGTTCCATTTTGGTATATTTCATACTGTCATTATTTATAATATGGTTAAGGGATCCAAAAAATTATTACAAGTTCTATTTACTTATAAATAGTGGGTGACAGTTTTTTAAATCCAAAAATTATATCTAGAATTTTATGTAATTTAAGAAAGATTTCGAAATCATAGAATATAATAGGCTAAATTTGCTTAATTATATAACTAAAGATATTGAAAAACCATTTACTTATTATAGTAAGAAGAGAATTATGAACTCAAAATTTGATTAAATTTATATTAAAACTTACTATTATTATATATTTTAAAACATTTAATATAATTGAATTAATAAAATTCTTATTGACTTTAAGATTATTTCATTAAGAATGTAAATTAATTTTAAGAATAAGTAAAAAGCTTAATAATTCATAATATAAAATATACATTTAAAACTAAAAACTCATAATTTGTAAATATATTTTAGACATTTAGGATTGTGACATATAATAATGAAAGAGTTAAATAGTTACTCCCATCTATTAATTAATTAAATAAATATTTAATCTCATAACAAAATATATAATTTTTATTCATTTTTATTTCTTCAACTATTATTTATTTATCTATTGCATTCTTTCAAATAATGTAAGTCCTGGTTCAAATTCTTAAATTTCATCTTATTACAAATCAGTTATTAAAAATAAATCTTCTTAGATTTTGAGATGATGAATCCTTTCAATTTATCTATAATAATAAATAAAAATAATTTTACTTTTTTTAAATTTATGATGGTAATTCTTCAATATTAACATCAGCTGTAAATGATTTTCTTCCAACATCTAAAAATTATTATAATTTATTATTATTTTCATTATCTTAAGAATTTCTAATTTCTTCTTTTGTCCAATCAAATTTTTAATCAAAAGGATATCCTAATGTTTGATATAATTTCTTAAAAGATTTTTAAATATATTCATAATTTGGATCTCCATCAAATGATATATTTTAAATATATTTAAAATAATCTTCAAATGTTTTAGGTAATCCAGAACTATTTATTATTTTTATTAGAAAATACCATAATTCTTCAATTGATGTATTCATCTTTTTTTATCCAATTAATTTTATTTTTTCTTCTGGTGTATCTGCATGAATATGCATCCATGGTAATGAACCTTTCAAAAAATAAATGGCTAAATATCCTAAACTTTCTAAATCACTAGCTCGATTTTAAGATAAGCTCAAATGTGAGCAAATTGGGCAAAATCTAGGCTTAGCAAAGTTAATCATTTAAGTACCTTGGAGTTCCAATCACATTTTCATTTTTCTATCTCTCAATATGTTATCCTTAATCTCTATATTTTGATGCAAAACCAAAATCAATAAGATAAATTTCATCTTCTTTTAAACCTGTCATAAAATTTTCTGGTTTTATATCTCTATGTATATAATCATTTATGTGTAAATATTATAATCTTTAGATTGCTTAATCTAAGAACATTAGAACTGTTTTTAAAGAAAATACTTTTTTTGGAGTTTGCATTAATAATTAGTATAAATTTTATCCTAGTAAAGTTTACACAATAAAACTCTCAGTTCCATTCTAAATAAAATAATATAACCTTGGAAATCCAATATTTCCATTTAATTTATACAATACGTCAACTTCATTCTTAACAGATTGAGCAAGATTTGGGTTTTTACCTGTTTCTAATATCTTAACTGCATAATATTCTTATTTAATTTGATGAATTGCTAAGTAAATATGACCAAAAGTGCCTAATAAAATAAATAGATTCTGAACCTGAATTTAATGAACTTAGAATTCTATAGTTTTTACAGACTACTTTATCAATCCATTTGTTTTAAGTCTGCTTTTAAATTAATTTATCACTTCGTTTTGACTTTGACATATTAGATTAAAGTATTTGTTTTAATCTATTATTAATATCAATTTATTTATCAAAATCAGTTAATCATCTCTCTAAATATAGAATTAAATATAGATAATTTAGACTCTTTAAAAATAATGAATTGTATAAAATATTAAGATTAAGATATAATAATTGATCTAATTGGAATTTATTTTTAAATTAATATGGATTATGAAATAGTAAATTATAGTATATAAAAATATATGTGAGACTCATATTTATAAGATAATGATTGTAAAATGTTAAAGATATGTTATTTAAAAATATCTTAGCATTTGTACTTCAAATTAATTAGCTTTAGAAATTGATCTAAATAATTGAATCAATAATAATATAATAATAATGATTAAAGTCTATAATCCCGAGTTGCTTATTTCTGATGCATAGGATAAATTAACATAATTAGTTAGGGATGACTTTAAGCCATTCATCCTGAGATGTGAATAACACAAATTATGTGTCTTAGAAAATGAGAACTTGATATTATTTTCTGTTCTTTTTGATAAATGTTCCCCAATAGTTGATGAAGCCTAATTGTATACATGATTATAAATAAGAACGATTACACTTGTAAGTTAGAAGGATGAATCTAAAATCATAGCGATTAAATTTGCAGACAAGAAAGGAATGTCTTATTTACAACATTATGTAAATAATTTTAAATGATATTTAGATTCATTCAAGAAAAACCTATTCAAAATATATGGGTCCTTTGGCATATCAACCTGTAAGAAAAGAAAGGACATCATTATTAAGTACAGAATCACCAGAATAGAATTTTAGAGGAATATTAAATCTAGCCATTTTAATATTAATAGCTAATCATATTAGATTGATATTTGAGAATTTTTAAAAGTATGGTTTATTGATAACAAATGTATTTTGGAAATTTGAAATGGTATAAATAAATGGAAATCCTATAATGTAAGCCTTATTAGTATTAATTATTAATTTATTGTCTGGATTTGGAATACAATATTTATAATTTAAAAGAGATCTTAATCCTAGTATAATAAGAACATTGAATGTTTTTAATATTGTTTTAACAATAATAATCCCATGTTATGTAATTTAAGGATCACATCCAGGATTAAATTTGATATTTCTAGGTGTTTAATTTATAGTCTTTATGAAATTGATAAGTTATGCTCACTTTTTAAGAAATACTTACTTTTATATTTAAAGAATAAAGTAAGTAAAAAATAAAAAGGTAACACTTGATCATTTTTTTGCTGAATATGAAGTCAATAATGAAAATCTTAAAATATTAGAAAAATATTCATAAAATTAATCTAGAATTTTAGATTTTAAACATTTCTTATATTTTTTAGCTGCTCCTACATTATGTTTTCAATTATCATATTTAAGAACAAATTCTATAAGAAAAGTTTGGTTAATTAAAAGAATAATAGAATACATATTTGTTATACTCTTTTTAGTAATAATTTGGTTCTAATATACAGAACCATTAGTAGAAAATACATATAAAATGTTATCAAAGGCTCCAACTCTTATGGTTCTAGTAGATAGATTATTAAAATTAGCAATACCTAATACTTATATGTGGATAGCTTTATTTTATGGATAATTTTAATGTTTTTTGAATATTACAGCAGAACTTTTGAGATTTGCAGATAGAGAATTCTATAAAGATTGGTGGAATTGTAAGAATCTTGAAGAATATTGGAGATTATGGAATTTACCTGTTCATCATTGGTTAGTTAGTATAATATTAAAATAAATTATAGGACACATTTATTTTCCATGTCTAAAATCAGGAATGAGCAGAACCACTTCAAATATGATAGTGTTTTTAGTATCAGCTTTAGGTCATGAATATATAGTAAGTGCATCAATTGGTGTAGTAGAAGCTTGGGCATTTGTAGGAATGTTTGCATAGGCACCATTTATGTTAATATAAAAGAAATTAGAAAAAGTAAATATATGAAAATATATAAAAGTTACTTAAATTATAAGATTCTTAATTAGGAAATTTAATGTTTTGGATGACTTTTTGTTTTATTGGATAACCAATAATGATATTTGTTTATTACTTTAGATATTTAGAAAAGATAGGACATCCAATATGATATTATAAATATGTTACAGTATCAAAAATAGATAAATTAATTGAATATCAATCATCTTCTTCAACAACTGCAAACATTGATTTGTTAATATTACCATATTGTAACTTAAATTCTTCTGATGAACAAGTGTTAGCTAAATGTATTAACATCTTTTCTAATTTCAAATGAAGAGGTTATGCCAATCTTTAATCCCAAGTTAAATCAACTGCATCAATTCCTGGCATAGAAACTTTATCAGTTATTCTTGCAATAGCTTCTAAGAATTCTATGAAAGTCATTTAAAATATTCTATCACTTTCTAATTCATCAATTTGTAACATCATAGATAAATTAAAAGCCTAAATTAAATTAATTATTTACATTATCAGCATCTCTTTCAACGAATCTTTCATCAAATAGATTTGCTTATGAACATATTTCATGTAATTCATCTAAACACATAAATTTCTTCTATCCTGGTTTCACTTTTTTTACACTAAATTTATTATAAATATGATTAAGTAATGGTCTAAAGAATTTTAAACAATCATCACATTATTCATTAAAATATCTCTCATTTCTCCATTTCTATGCATCAAATGTGGACATATATGTTTTACATTATTCTAATATCATTTTTGTTGCCTCTAACATATTATTAGCAACTTTAGTTTTTAAATATTTATCCTCAGATACTCTTACAAGAAACTCCATAAATTAGAATCTACAAAGAGCTCTCTCTGGATTTCTAAAATTTCCTTTATATTCAATTGAAGCTGCACATGTAGCAATAAATTTTAAATCTAAATCAGATAATTTTAAAGTTTTTCCATCTATTAATTCAGTTTATTAAGCAAATTCAGTTATAACATTTGAAGATATTGACCAAATATCTCCTGTTGGACTATTAGAACTATATTATTTATAAGTTTCCTTAATCAATTTATAATGTAACCATAAAACATTCTTAATTTCTAATAATTCATCAGGATTTTTTACTATTTTTGATATTTTACTACAAGCAAAATCTTTTTCAAAGCATTTCTTTAATAAATCTTCATTTTCAAATTTAAAATCTTTAGCCCATATAGAAATTGGAAATGTCCATATTCTCTTTTACTTTTTTAATTTCGGAGGAATATAAATAGGATCAGGTGTTCTAGGTAATACACTAATTAATGGTTTATATTCAACTTAATCAAAAATTAAAAAATGTTTATCCTTTTTTACATAATTTACATTTTCCATCAAAACAGTTATATTATTATTATTATAATTAATTTTTAATTGATGTCCATAAGGTATATTTGGTTAATCATTAGCAATTACTTATGTATCAGTCATTGTATAAATATATTATGTAGTATTAGTAGGGATCATTAAAGTTAAAGATATTTGATCTTATGTCTTTGGAATATATACTTATTTGTATGCCTCAAAATCCAAATGAATAAACAAAGGATCTGCTTCACCTTCTCCTGAAACATCAGGTATCCAAGTAAATTTCTATTCTTACCAACCTTCACATATCCAACAAACATTCTCCTATCTAATTGTTGTAGTTTATTATAATCCTTTGATTCTAGGTGTTTCTCCTAATACTCTTTATAATTCATTTTCTTATATCTACAAAAAACCTCTTGCATCAACAACTCCCCAATTATTAACAAAATGAAATCCATATATAGTTCTGTTCTATTTTAATGCATTTGCTATTAACTTACAATCATTTAAATTAAATTAATTAGATGATAAATCAAAATGTAAAACAGTCTTATTTGTAATTAAAAAATCACATATCTTCTATATACATTATACATCCTTTCTTTCTTATATTCCAAAACTATTCCAACCTGCATCAAAAACCAATAAAGTTTTGTTCTCAATTAATGCTTCAAATATCTTTTATCCTCCCCAACCTTTTATTTAATTCCAATGAATATATAATTATTCCATATTATCCAATTGAATTATACTTTCTTTTAAAATTTCTGCACTATCATTTGTCAAATAATTTTTGCTAATATTTAATGATTTCAACTTATTATTGCTATTCAATAATGCCTTTAAAATACGTATTACATTTCTATCTCCTAATTTGTTATCTTCTATATTTAAAACTTCTAATCTAAAATTTTAATTCTCTTTTCTTACTTATTTTCTCTTGATTAAATTTACTAACAAATTGAATCTGTTCCTATTTTTCCAATATTATTTTATTAAAGATCTAAAACTTTTGCCACTTTTCCAATTTAATTTAATATTTGTGTTGCTCCAGAACTTTAAATTCTATTATTTGCCATATAAAAATCTTTTATATTTGAATTTACTTTCAGACCTTCACTTAACATTGATGCATATCTATCTCCATACTTTTAATGACTTATTTAAAGAGATTATTCACTTCCTTTTGTTTTTATAACTCCTATTTTACAAGGTAATACATCAATTTATTCAGCTTAACGAAGCATTGCAGTTTACACACTATCTATTTATTCAATTAAACCTTACCTGAAATTTTGAAAAAGTCATTTTATTAACGAACTTTATTCACTTTTTTATAATGTTGATAATATAATTAGACTGCTTATGATCCTACTAAAGGTTTGTTTAATAAATCTTCTTTCACTATTTCTGGTGATAATAATAAATTCTTTCTTATTTCATTTTCTTATTCTTCTTCAAGAGGATCTGGTTTCTTTTTTGGTTTTAGAACTTAATCCACTCTATAAAATTTCTTTTTATTATCTGAATTCTAAGGTATCATAGAAGCTATTTTAGCAAGTACTATTATCTTAGTAATTAAAATTTACTTTAAGGATTTAATTAACTTTCATGTGGCATAGAATATGATGCATTTCTAGAAAGATGAGTACTACTTGGATTCATCATAGTTGAAGCATCTTAAAATTATGCACTACTTCTTCTTCTATCTAATTGATTTTAATATTTATTTGTTTGTTCTGTATGATAATGATTATCTTAGATCATATATATATATAATAATTTATTATATAAATATTGAGATAAAATATAATAATAATAAATTTTTTTGTTTAACTATTATAATTTAGAGATCTCATTATAAGATAAAATTAATTGTATTTTAATTAATATTAAATTAAATATATGTAAAAAATTTCATAAGATAATATAATTGATGGTAAAAGAAAAAGAGTAATGTCAACTGATGGTGTTTTAGCTTGTGTTACTTCAAATCTATTGAAAAGTACTGTTTAAAAAAAAGGGAATAAATAAAAGAAACCTATAACATAAAAAAAGACAATAGTGAATTAATAAGAATCAGATAGTTCGGTAGTTTAAGTTGTTGAGAAGCCTTAAAAGAAAAAAGAAGAAAAAGTAAGAATAACAAAGAGTGCTCTTAAAGAATTGATCAGTTAGCATTTCTTAATCATTGATGATGAAGAATAGAAGTAATAATAGGTATTAAAAATCCTCCAAATTTTTAGCCAAAAAAACATATCAAATATTAATTAAATGAATCAAATAGTGAAAGTTCTAGTCAAAATAAATCATCATCAGAAGACATTCCAAAAAGAAATAAACTTAAATCATGAAAAATACAAATCATATATTCTATTAAATTATTAATTTCATAATTTTTATAAATCTAAATTTTTAATTTCTTAACTTTTATTATAAATTAACTATTTATTAAATTTCTAAGTAACTACTAATCTATATACTATTAATATATAAAATTATATTATAATAAAATGTTATCATTTTAAAAGACTAATGTAATTAAGTTAGAAATTATTATATAATCTTAGATTTGGTTTTATAACTTTATGGAAACTGAATTATTGTATTCAAATATTATTGATATTATGTATATTTTTATAATTAATTATGGATGAATAGTTAAATATCATTATTAATAAATTTTACTTTAGTTTGAAAAGTACATACAATAAAGAGAGTTGCAATTTAGAATAAATAAAATAATACAGATAATTAAATAATTAATTATTAATTTAATTAGTAAAGTCTTTGGAATCTACTCAAATTAATCTAATGAAGATTATTTAAAATAATATAAGAAGAATTTTAAAACATGAAATTCATCAATGTATCTACTAATAATATTCAAGATAAAATTATGTACATCATTTTATATAAGTCAAAATGATTAAAGTATTATAAAATAATAATCTTAAAAAAGCAAGACTACTACTGATAGTTGTGAGATCAATATAAGTTAAATCATTTAGATTAAGATAATTTTTATATACATGAAATCAAATAAATTTTAATATTTACAAAGGTTGGTTTTGTATTATTATTGATGATTTTAACTATAAGAAAATTTTTGATTGAAATTGATCTGAAATGGTTATATTTATCAATCTGATTTCTATTTGTTATTCGTTGATCTAATTCAGCTATTTCAAATTCAACAATTATTTCTAATCAAATACTATATTATATTTTTAATTATTATAGTCTTTTGTTAACATAATATAATCATTTTTTTTAAAGAACTACTTTTATTTGATAATTAAGATCATTTAGTAGATCATCATCTTTATATTTTCAAAATTTTTAGATTATCAAAAATTTATTTTTATTGAAAAGTTTTATGATAAATTTCAGTTACAGTAGAAAATAAAAAGGTGTTAAAATTAAGATAAATTTAAGCAGTTGAGTTAAGTTAAATGATATTCAATATAATATACAAAAAATATTATTTTTCAATAATTCAGAAATTAAGGCCCTAAATCTCCAAATATATACTTTTCTTCATAAAAACCTTGTTAATTTATGGATTTCTAATTAAAAAATTAGTATTTTTTTAGGCTTGATCTCTAAATGAACTTAGCTTTAATTATGAACTTTCTATATGCCATTTGATTATTTATTGTTTTAACTCTAATTCAAGTGATTTGAGTCTATTTTCTATTACTGAAATTTATAATTATTTATTTCGCATCGACGTTAATGTTAACAAGATTTTTGAATACCATACTTAGAAACAATTATACTAAACTATACTTGAATTTAAGAGTTAATTATTATAACAATTAACTTTATTCAAACCGCATTAGGATCTAAATTCTATTACAATTAATTTAAATTAAATTGATTATTTTTTAAATTCAATAATTATTGTAAGTCTTAATTATTAGTATGTTTGAAGATGCTCCAGCTGTTGTTATCGATAATGGTTCATATGAACTTAGAGCAGGGTTTGCAGGATATGATGATCATCCAAAATGCTGTTTTAGTACAGTTGTAGGCAGACCAAAACATCAAGGAAATATTTTTGCTAGCAGAACAAACCAATATTATATTGGTAATGATGTTTAAGCCATCAGAGGTCTACTAACACTCAAGTACCCAATTGATAATGGTATTGTCATTAATTGGGATGGTATAGAATGTGTTTATAACTATGTAGATATGGAAATAATTTGGCATCATGCATTTTTCAAAGAGTTGAATGTATAGTCAGAAGAACATCCTGCTCTTATGACTGAAATTTCATTGAATCCAAAATACAATAGATAAAAGATGATATAAGTCTTGTTTGAATCCTTCAATGTGCCATAATTCTACTCGGTTAATTAAGCTGTGCTCTCATTGTATGCTTCAGGAAGAACTACTGGTATTGTAGTAGATTCTGGATATGGTGCTTCACACATAGTGCCAATCTATGAAGGTTCTGTTTTAAATTAGGCTGTTTGCCAGAGTGATTTGGCAGGGAGAGCTTGTACCAAATATTTGGATATTCTCTTGAATTAATTGGGTATTTCGATATCATCATCATCTAGAATGAACATTGTAGGAAACATTAAAGAGTAATTTTGCTATGTTGCTCTTGACTATGAATAGGAAATGATGGAAAATAAATAAAGTGTTGTGTATATATTACCAGATGAAAACACTCTAGTAATAAACAAAGAAAGATTTAAATGTCCTGAATTATTGTTCAACCCTTGCATCGAATAATCAAATAATAATTCTGGCATTCATGAGTTGTTACAAAAATCAATTATGAAGAGCGATATTGACTTCAGAAGGGATTTGTAAAAATATTTAATTTTATGTTTTAGTTATTAATAAATTGTATTATCAGGTGGTAATACTCTGATTCCAGGATTCGCAAATAGATTGAATAAAGAATTAAAATCACTTGCACCATCCAATATGAAAATAAAAATCAATGCCAGTTTTGGAAAATTTTCAGCCTGGATTGGAGGATAAATCTTTTCAAAAATCAAACCTCAGTGGATCCAAAGATCTGAATATGACGAATATGGACCAAATATTATTCATTTAAGATGTTTTTGAGAGATAAAGTAATAGAATTAAATTAATTATTTTTATCTTTTTATATTTTAAATATTTAATAATATTTAGATAAATAAATTATTTCAAAAAAATGTAAAATAAATTACATATTAATATTAAATGAATAATAGGAGAACTTTAAATGAGATACCTTATTCTTAAATGATTGAATCATATAATTTTATAAAATAACCTTTTAATATTAGTTAGTTTCATAATAAATTTCAGTTTAAGAGATACATAATTATTCTTTACAATTAAAGCACAAAAACTTTTTAACTAAGAAATTCATTTAATTAAATAAATAATTATTTATTCAGAAAGAGGTATCTAAGTTATTCAATAATTAATAACAGATTAATAATAGATTATTAAATAAACTAAGAAATAACTTGTCTTTAAAAAAATATAAAATTCTGTAATATCAATTATTAATGTAAGTTTGAACAAAAATATATCTTCTTTTGTAAATGTAATAAGAAGAAAATGTTAATTTATATAAATACTGTTTGTTGATCAACAAAATATTATTTATAATGAAGGAATATGCCATGTTATTATTATTATTTAAGAATTATGATTACTAATTTAAAATCAAAACATAATCACAAGCTATCTGTCGAACTAAATATTTCAAAAGCAGATTAATTTGAATCAAATAATAATAATCATTTTATAATTATATAATAAAATGGCTAAATAAGATGCAAAAAATAATAAAAGGGATCGTAGTCCAGTGGCTGTATGAAATTTTATAAAAATAGGAAATGAAAATATGGCAAGAAGCAGTTAGAAAAGAAAATTAACATTTAAAAGTATATGAGCATTTTACTATTAACCCACATAAATGTATATGCAGCTGATAATCGTTTAATTAGTATATATTATTCAAGAGAAACCAAATAATAATATTATGTTGTAAAAGCATCTTGAAAAAACAGGAGCTATTAAAAAACCAGCATTTGATGTTAATTAAATCACCGATGATTCCCCTCCTTTAGAGAGTAATATAATATAAATATTTTAGAGGAAATCATTGATATATTGAATACAATGAATAGAACTCCTCGTCAGAAATATTAATTTCCTTAAACTTCTAATTAAGAGCTTGGATGGCATTCTAAAGTACATTTATATATAAATATAATTAGAACTCTCACAGTCTTTCTCCATCCAATTTTACATATCCAAGAAAATTGTGTAAAGAAACCAATTATGCAAATGACTACTTCACTATGAATAAAATAAGTCCTTATTCTAATAAATTTAAGTGAAACAATTTAATAAATGATATCATAACTAATTCAAATTGCATTTATTTACAATTCTAAATATTATCATTAAAATGTCAATATATATAATATATTATGTAATAATAATCACCTCCAAAAATAATAGAGATTACTATAAGTACAGAAATGCTTGGACGTTATGCTTCTTATAAAATTCAAGTCGATCAAAATATAATATGTAGAAGGTTCAATGATTTTGTTCACTTTTATGAGGCATTACGTACTAATTACCCTGGAGTATTTGTACCTAGACTCCCTGAAAAATAAGCTATGGTAATACTTTTATCTAAATTAAAGGGAAATCTTGAAGAAGACTTTCTTCGAGTCAGAAGAAGAATGCTTCAATATTTCTTGAATTCAATATTCAAAAGAAAAATATTATGGAATTCACCAGAAACAAAATAATTCCTTAATGAACAGAATTAAACTTGGATTCCTATAAACAATGAAAGTAAATCATTAGAAGAAAAATATCAAACTAATCTTCCTGAATGTTCAAATGTAAACAATATAATTAATTGAAGTTAGAAATTACATTAGATATGAAATGTTAATTTTATGATTTTTAATCATTTGTAGTTAAAGCAAAGCCTATGATAGAAAACTTTAAAAAGATGTGCAATAATTATGTGATTGCAAAGACAAATTTTAATACAGAAAAACTTATATTTGTGAATTATGTACTACCAGAGTTTGAAAAGAATTTATTATTTAAAAGTGATAAGAAGTTTTATGATAAAATAAAACCTTTAGATTTGATGAAGAATTAAAGATATGATTAAGCTCGTAAATTTTAGAGTGATTAAATTTTAATTGATTTATATATTTTGGAAAATGATATAGAGGTTATAATATTCAAGAAATATATTAGTCTCATTTAATTTAATTTGAATAGATAAGAAAATGGGAAGATAAAATCATAAAATATGAGGATAAAATTAGATAATCCCAATTAGATTTATAATAAACTATAAATAATTAAAGAAATGCAGTAGCAAAGTTATTCTTTGGATCAAAAGATAAAGAAATATTAAGATTATAGAATTAAATTGAATAAGTATTTGTGTAATATATTATATTTTTAGTATTCTAAAACTATATAGGATTTAAAGGGAGTAATCAATATAACAATGGGTTAAGTCTGTTTATTTGAGATTCCTGATTTCATAAAGGAAAAGGAACAAAATCTTTTTAAATTAATAAAACTTATAGGATAATTGGAGATGGAATAGATCAGTATAATAGGAGAATATTGGTAAAACATTTTGGATTCTCGTTTAATATCTTAAATTGAATAATAATAAGCTTATGACTCAGTTATAATAATTGATTAGAAATAATAAGATTAAGGTTAATAAATATAAGTAGAAGAGAAGAGAGAGAATTAAGAGAATAAGAGTATGGTAATATAATAGGAATAAGACTAATAATAGAGTGAATTAAATTGATAATATATTAGTAATGAATTTATGTATCCTTAATATTATTTAAAATAAATGAGCAGAAATCAATAAAAACAATAACCAGCAGCTTAAACAACTTAATAAGCTAATAAAAGTTAAGTATAAGCTCCAGCAGCAACAAGAGGAAAGTCTCCTGCTACAGCAGCATCTTAATAACCTGTATAGGCAACTACAAATGGTTTTGATCCTTCAAAATATGTTAAACCAGGACTTAGTAAAGAAGAAGTTTTAAAGATTAAGGAATGCTTTGACATTTTTGATGATGATAAAAGTGGATCTATATCGTAATTGAAATAAATTATTAAAGTCCAAATGAAATGAAGAATGCCATCATTGCTTTAGGAATGGAATAATCAGCTGAAGAGATTGTCAATATGATTTAAGATCTTGATTAAGATGGATCAAGTGTAATTGATTTTGAAGAATTTCTAAATATTTTTGGATTTTCAGGGTATTAAAAATATATTAAAGCATTATAGCACTATTGAAGATGAATAAGTACTTGAGAAATTATATTAAGAATTTGATTCCTCTGGATAAAGTAAAGTTACTTACGAGGATTTCAAAAGAATAAATGATTTAGTATCAGAGAGATATACAGATTAAGAATTAAGAGAAATGGTTGAATATGCAGATAAAGATAAAGATGGATCATTAAGTTGGGATGAATTCAAAGCTGTTGTTCAAAAAGAGTATCCAAATCAAGCATGATTATGATAAATAATACGAGCAAAATAATCAATCATATATGCTATCAATTTCTGTTATTGTCTCTAAATGTATGAACCATTCTTTAAAAATCGTTGAAAATTAACTTTTAGCTTATTCATATGATTTATTTCCCACTCTTTATAAAAGGATTCTAGAATAAGGAGTATTAGGAATAACCTCCTTTTACTTCACTAACTTTTGTCTCACCTATTTTTCTGCCTTTACTCTATCAATCCATTTCTACTTAATATTTCCCATCTTATCCCATTCTTCCTAAGCTCTCACTTCTTAATTACTAGATAATTATCCACTTTTCTTCAATACCCATTTAGATTAAAAATAAGCATCATAACCTTAAGTGCAAAACTCTTACAGAAATAATTTATATGCCATTTAATTCAATTTCTAATCTTGTAATGCATATTTCTTAGCCCTTATTTTATATGTCTCTATTATTTGATAACCGTACTTCTTTAGATGCTCCTCAGACAACTAGAATACTTATGATTGAGGCTATTCTGATTACATTACATTCTGTATAATACGTTTAATGACTCGACATAAACAATAATTTAAGAATTTCAGATTTATACATTCGATGAAATTCTATCCGTATTGATGCGGATCAATAAATTACTTAAATCTCTTATGATGAATAAATGTTTAAGATCTCAATTCCATAAATTTTATGAACTCTTAAGAAGGCATCTTCTCAACTCTTGCCTTCATATATTCCTCCCAAATCTCATGTGGAGATTCTGATGTTATTGAAGAATTTGAAACTGAATCCTCTTGTTAAGAATATTATTCCTCATAAACTAGAATTTTCTCCTTTTAAGCCTTATTTCTTAAGGTTGTCTCATAGTCTAAATTATTGTCTTAATTGACTTCAGATGCATGTTTCTTTAGTTTCTTTGAAATTCTAGATAACTTCTAAAATAAACTAACAAACTCTTTGAAAACAGAATTCAAATAATTCTATAATATTCTCTTGTTTTTAGTTAATGGTTGAGGAAATTCAAATTTGATATCAGATCCCATTTCCTCCCAAGGTTTAGGAGCAGGGGAATATAGAGCATGAAGAATTAGAGGTTAAAATATATCTGATATCAATTCTTGAATTTATAGATGTGCCAGATTATGCACTTCAGATTTTCTTTAATCTCCATAAACATAAAGCATATTCTTAATTGTTTTTGTAAGAGGAAAAGTGGAATCTTCATCATTTTCTGATTGTTATATTGATGGAGAACTAGGCTCTTCATGCTTTGGAGAATTAAATTCAACATGTATTTTTCTTCGGGTTTTCATCTTATATATTTTATATTAATTTAATTATATAATTATTATTATCGATTTTTTAATATTTAAAGATTGTATTCTTTTTTTTAACCTTTATATTATAGATATTTAATTACTTTATATTGAAATATCAATAAATTCTTAGTTCTCTAAATAGTTCTTAAATAATTATGATACAAATCAATAAATTTATGGAAAATATATTATTTTTTAAAATAAAAAGTTTTAATTTTGAATAAATTTAATGGAAAATACAAAAATCAATAACGATATTTTTTAAGAGAATTTTTTACTCTTCTTTTGTATATTTATATGAAAATTATGTTTGTTTAAATCTAATAAACTGTCTCAAATTGTCAACCATCTTATTAAAGGATTTGATGTTATATCAATATTAATTAAAAATGTATAGATTTGATAATGCATTATTTACTTTTCCTGTCACTAGAAAGCACTTTTTCTCTGATAAAGTGTATTAGCTATTCTTATTTAGTGATGAATTCATTATGACTGATGTATTAGTGAAATATATTATATATAGAACTAGACAAAAAAAGCAAAATATGAGATTAAATTGAACATGACAACTACATTAAATTGGATAGTTAATGACAAGAAAATATAAGCTTTTGAAATACCATATAATAATAAAATGAAGGCATTTAATGCTTCTCCTAATAAATTGTAATTGCTGAGAGAGATGATTGCTGGTCGAGTATTTTATTCTGGAATCTAAAACTTCTATGAAATTCAAATGAAAGTTGGTTAGGGAATGATTGGAGAAGTATAAATTGATAAAAAAGTTAGGTCTATAGAGCCGTATCTTAAAATGGTGAGTATGTTGCTATTAAAAAGTGTGACAAATAGAAATTAGCATCACTTTAAGGAGGAATTGTAAGAAACTTATATTGATATTAGCCTTAATTGATCTAAGAATTATAGCTCCTACAATAACTTTAACATATAAATATTTTAAAACTTAAAGAAGTCTATTGTGATCAACAATTTTATTACATAGTTACTGAGTTTGTTGATGGGAAAACTTTGCATACTGAATTACTATCAAGAACAACAGGCTTGAGTATTACTCAGACTTTAAGAATCATGTTTTAAATTTTAAATGCTCTTATTTATATCCATTAAAAAGGAGTTATGCATAGAGATATAAATCCACATAATATAATGATTTCAGAAAATATAAAATTAATTGATTTTGGTTTAGCTCGAAAGATTAAAAATTAATTAATATTCCCAACAGCTGGAACACCCGGTTATATGGCTCCTGAAATAATAAACTATAAATAAGAAAAGCCATATGATGAAAAAGCAGATATTTATAGTTTAGGATGTATGTTATATAAAATGTATAATAATGATATTAATTGTTAGGTTGTCAGGTGAAAACTTATTTCATAGATAGAAAAATATATTTTAAGAAAATAAGGAGGGTATATTTGAATTAAGAAAGAATCCTTAACATTTAGAATATAATTCAAGTAAAATGGATTAACTATTTATTTTATTGACTCATATGTTAGAGAATGATCCAAATGAAAGACCTAATGCTTAATTTTGCAAGTTTTTATTAAAAGAAATAGAAAACAATAATCAATAAATAGATAAATTGATTAGAAAATAATAAATTATGAAACCTATTTATTTAGTTACTGATGAAACTCCTCTTGAAAGAACCCCTTTAAGTTTTACTAGTAACAATAAGGGTAAATCAAGTGACACACTTATAAAAAGTGATGATATTACAACTTAAGGAAATAAAAGATTAAGCAAAATAGCAATTAAAAATGTGTGAATATATATATTTTATTTATTTAATATCTTCATTGTTGTTACTATTATTATTACTATTACTATTATTATTATTTTTATTTTTATTCTTCCTTTTCTTTTTAAATTTTCTACATCTCTTCAATAGTCATTTCAGGTTTCATGGCTGGAAATAGAAGAACTTCTTAAATGTTTTGTGTATCTGTTAATAACATCACAAATCTATCAATACCAAGTCCCCATCCAGCTGTTCTAAAGTTTAATAAAATATAATAATTACGGTGGTAGAGCATGTTCTAATGATTTAATAAATCCTTCATCATATCCCATAGCTTCATCATCTCCTTTGGCAGCATCTTCAACTTATTTTTAGAATAATGCTTTTTAAACAAATGGATCATTTAATTCTGTATAGGCATTACATAATTCATGATAATTAACAAAAAGTTCAAATCTAGAATTAATTTAATTTAATACCTTTCAGTTAATCCTGGATATTATCTATGAACTTTGCTTAATGGACTCATCAATTATGGATGATCAATTAAAAATGTTGGATTCTTAAAATTGACTTCTAAGAAATGACCTACTAATTTATCAATTAATCTTGCAGTAGTCCTTGGATTTGAACATTCAACTTTGTGTTTTTTAGCTTATTCCATAAAGAAGGCATTAGCTTCTTCACTTTCCAAAACTTCAGGTAATTTTTCACCTAATTTTTTTTCTAATTCAGCCATCATAGAAACTCTTGGCCAAGGTGGTGTGAAATCAAGTTCTATGAAATCTTCTTCATTTTCTTTAAAATGACCAGATTTAATATCATGTTCAGTAAGTGTGATTGTAGGATTATCACCCTTATGAATTTTGAATTTATAACTACCCTTAACCTTTAATACAATTTATGATAAGACTTCTTCAGTAACAGCCATGAGATCATTATAATCACAATAAGCCCAATAAAATTCCATAGCTGTAAATTCAGGATTATGAGTTTAATCAATACCCTCATTTCTAAAATTCTTACCAATTTCATAGACTCTATCTAATCCACCAACAATAAGCATTTTCAAATATAATTCTGGAGCAACTCTCATAAATAAATCTCTATGTAATGAGTTATGGAATGTTTTAAATGGTTTTGCTGTTGCTCCTCCTTGTATAACATTTAAAGATGGAGTCTCAACTTCTATAAATCCTTTACCATCAAAATATTCTCTTAATTATTTAATCACTGATGATCTTGTAAGGAATATTTCTCTTACTTTCTTATTCATAATCAAATCCATATATCTCATTCTATATCTTTATTCATGATCTTTGAAACCAAAATGAGCAGTTGGTAACATATGTAATGTTGGTGATAACAATTAAATAATGCCTGGTGCAATACTCAATTCTCCTGCCTTTGTTAAACAAGGATTTCCCTTTACACCAATAATATCTCCTCTTTTAATCAAACTATGAATTTTTTCAAAGTTTAATTCTTAGTCTTTGTGATTAGCTTCATTTGCCATAACTTAAATTTTGGTTCCCTCTCCTTATAAATCATAAAACATCAATTTTGCTCCCATAGATCTAATTGTGACTACTCTTCCTGCTACAGAGACAACATCTTCATGAATTTTCCCTTTTTCTGTGCATATAGGACCATACTTTTCTCTGAATTGAGCAATTGTTAAATCCACATGAAATTTATGAGGGTATGGGTTTCTATTTTAAATAAAATTAAATACGGGTCTTTAGTTTGTTTAAGTGCTAACACTTATTTTGATCTATTCTCATGGAATAGACGGGGATCTACTTCCTCCTCTGCTTATTAATCAACCTTTTCTAATATTTATAAGAATTCTTAATACTTGGTTTTTTCTCCTTCTCTGCAGCATTATCTGGTTATTATACTTTCTATGCTTCTTTCTCAGCTTTCTTCTTATTCTTTTCCTCTTACTTTTGAAGATATTTCAATTAAGATTTGCTTATACCTTGCTCTCCGGGTTGTGGAACTTAGGGTTGATCCATTGAAAAATAAAATAGATTTCGGAATGTTAATTTTGAAATATTTAAACAAGATTTAAGCATTGAAATATTCTTTCTTAAATATGTATATATATATATATCTAGATTAGAGATCATATATAGTATATTGATTTAATATTAATTGTTATATTGAGAAAGTTTAGAATAGATTTTAGTATTTTTACTTCTATAATTATTTTTATATTAATATTATGGGGGATTCAGATGAAACTCAGAATAATTATCTATTACACTCTTTAGTTAATTAAAGTAGAATTAATGAAAGGATCAATTACATTAATCTATTAGATTTGATGAATAAATATAATCCATGATCTTCAATCAAAAAAACTATTGTAAATGATTAGGATTTCATTGATGAATTAAGAACAATTTTTAGATTAATTGGATCAACCAAAAAGATAAAAATTCCTTGAAGAATCAATGATTCTTTTTGATGATAATGACGGTAACTCAATAATGGAATTCAATAATTTAAATAATACTAATAATAATAAATTAGAAACTTAATCTTCTAAACTTCAAGATGGATGGTTAGACAAACTTCCAATTAAACATGAATTTGATGATCTAGAAGAACTGGAGAAAATACTATCTTAATGATAATAAATATAAATATAATTATTATGTAATTATGAAAATCTAGAGATTTAAATAAATTCATATATTATGATAGATATAATATAAAAAAAATGTAATATAAGTTTAAAATATATATATTAATCATCTATATTACATTTAATATAATTAATAATTAAGTATTATAATTTTACAATAGTATTAATAGTTATATAAATACCATAAAATATGTTTCAAATTATTTTTTAATAATAAATCTTAATTTTAAGTGAATTTAATTGTAAATATCTTATAAAATTTACAAACATGATGATTTAACTCTTAAAAATCTAATAAGCAGCTAGACTAAATCTATACTATTTTAATTAGAGAAATTATTTATAATAAAATTAATTAAGAAACTCAGAAATATTTTTTTTATTATCTAAATAACTTACGAAAATCAATTTTTTTCAATTCACTCTGAGATTAAAACTGATGATTACTTTAGTTAAATTATTCCATAAATTAATTAATTTTGCATAATGATCTATAAAATTAATTGTTCTAAAGCTATCTCATTTTCATTTTATTTGATAAATATATCAATGAATTTTACTATAATACCTTGTTTACTTTGGATTATTATCAACTGTTAAGCTTAATAAATCTCCTAAACTGTTGAGTTTTATGAATATGAAAAGCTTCTGAACATACAAATAATTTTGTCATCCTAATTTGACTTCCAACTTACTTTTTACAACAACAAAGTAATAAAAATAAATAATTTAGACTCATTCATTTGAAATTCTAAATTGCTCAAACCTTGATCGATGTGAATGTGAAAGTCCTAAATTTAGCAATTATTATTGTTTCGAAAATAATAGTGAATTTCATTTCCATTTTTCTAAATTACCTTATGTTTATGGGGATACTATACTGAAAAGGGAAAATACAACTTAAATTTAAAATAATCATTAAATTGAATCATACAGTTCAAATTCCCATTTTAGAATTCTAGATCTAGAGGAATATCTAAACAAATCGTTAGCAGCTTAAAGTGTTACTTACACTGATAGTGATTTAACAAGTTCATTATAATTAGGAACTTATGAATTATTTATGAAATGGGAAATATATTCAAATGGTTCATTCGATATGGCTATTGATTATAATTAACTAAATTGGATAGGATTTGGATTTTGTCCAACTGTAAGCATTTATATCATATAATTAGATGTCTAATTGTGACATGATAGTGTTATATGTATCCCAACAAACAGTAATAGTGATGGATACTTTTTCTTATGGACAATCAACTCCCAGAACTGATAAAACTAATGATATCGATATTATTTCATATGCAGTCAATTCAACAGGTTATAAGGTTAGATTTAATAGAAAATTGGATACAGGAGATACAGCAGATTAAGTTTTAGTAAAGGGTGATACATATACTTTTTGTGTAGCATGGTCAGGAGCAGATTAAATGGAAATGCATAGTGCATGGTATAACTTTGATATAATATTTGATAATGGAATAATTGGTTAAGCAACACTTAAATCTGGTGAAAGCATTTTATATTATGTCCATGCAATTGTTCTATTTATAGGATGGGGAATTGTAGCAGACTTAGGAATAATAATTGGAAGGTTTTTCAAATCAATTAATAGTTATTTATGGATTCATGCTATTTGTTTTATTTTTGTTGATCTATCAACACTTGTTTTAGTAGCCCTGATGCTATTTGTTGGTGGAGAGGAAGGAAATGTAATTGAAGATGGAACATTGGAAGCACATAAAATAATTTCAATTGTATTAGGTATAACTGTCATAATTCAACATATTTTGGGAGTTGTTGTTAAACATTTTCTTGAGTCTACAGGAAAAGAAAATAGATAGGCTCTATTTACAATAAGATTGATTCATGTTATTTTGGGAACCATTATGTATCTTGCAGCCAAAGTAGATATTATTTTAGGATTTGTAAAAAATGAAGAGAAATTATTATTAGCTTTGGGTATAATATGGACAGTCTTATTGATATTAGTTAGAATTGGATTAGAAATTTATAAATCCTTCAATTCCCCTATTAGAACTAAAATTGCTCCTTAACAATAATAACCATTAAATGAAAATTAGACAAAATTATTAAAGTTATTATAAGGAAATCATCCAACAGCTAACATTATTAAAGAATTACCTTAAATTAAATGGGTTTTGTTAAATTAAGATGTCTATGATGTTACAGATTATTAACATCCAGGAGGTAACTTTATTATTTCAAATGTTAATGGATAAGAAATTAGTCGTTATTTTTATGGTGCCTTTTAACTTGAATCTACTACAATGGAACCATATACTCATAGCTAATTTGCATATTAAACTTTATAAAAGAGATATATTGGTACTATCTAAAGTGTTAATTATAATAATTCAAATCCAGCTTCATTTTGGGATTTAATTGAAAAAGTTGATTTGTCAAAAAACATCTCTTTATTTAATTTCACTAATCCTAATTTTTAAATCAACCTTCGTCAAAATATATATGATTTAGGCTAGCATTTTAGTGTTACTCTTTAAGAAGTAGGAGGAAAAATAAGAATGTATACAAAAGTATTGTGTATGTCTAATCCATATCAAAACTTTAGAGATTAAATTATTAAATATCATGAAGGAAATTCAACTCAGCTACCAGTTTTATAATTTGATAAAATCAATACAATTCCTTTGATTATAAAGAAATATAACTTCCCTAAAGCTTTGTCTGCCTAAATATTTGAACATCAAGGCAATTTTTGGGTTTAAGGTCCTTTTGGAAGAGGATTAGAACTTGAACCTAAATGTAAATGTATAGCTTTTGTTGGTGGTACTGGATTGTTGCCATTTTTAGATTTATTAGATCATCTATTGATAAAATCTATTTACCTAACAAATAAATAAAAGTAATAATAAATTTAATAATTCTTCCCTTAATATGATCAATTAGATGATTCATTTGAATTTACATTACTTGCTTCTTTCTAAAATGAAGAAGAATTTATAGGAAAAGAATGGATTAGAAAACTTTATTAAATTAATAAAACTAATAATTTAAAGTTATTTGATATGCAAATTAGATACTCTGATTCTACATTGGATACAGTAATCCCTGCTTTTAGAGGTAGATTCACTGAAGACCTTGTTAAATAACATTTAGGAGACTATAACAAGAAAGTTTATATTTGTGGTCCTCCAAATATGATATATTCTCTCACTCAAATTATCTCCAAAACAGAATAAGATTAGACCAAAGTAATGATTGTTTGAATGAATATTATTATTTACAGTAATTTTTATCACATCAATAACTCATTAATATTATCTATATCTTTTTTACTAATTTTTAGATTGCTTGCATTTCAATACTTTATGCTTATTTCTTAAAATTATTGTTCAATAATCCTAATTTAGACAAAATATCTAATGAGTAATTACAATATTTATTAAGTCATTAAACTTCTAAAATATTATAATTCAATTTTTTTTAAATTAATTCATATTTATATACTTAAAATTGCTATTAATAAGTTTCATTTGGTAGTTTGTCATCATAAGGTTTGATATAATATCTTTATCAGGTAATTAACTATCAATATATATAGTTTAGCTATTTTATTGTATTTTAATTTCAATGTAAATTATTATTTCTTAACTTAAAGATGATTTTTTATTCAAATTATCCATTAGATATATCCAATTATTTTAGAATATTTTGAGTATTAATATATCTACAAAACTAGAATAAGATTGTGTTTTTCATTAATTTCCAAATGAATTATTAAATATAATATATTCCTATTAAATTGAAAATGAATGTAATTCATTATATTAATATTTTATAATCAAACAATTTACAAGTTGAGGATTATTAATTGATGATTATCATTATAAGAAAATTCATTAATTAACTATATATTGTTAATTTTATAATTTGTTATTCAATGATGTCATCACCCTAAGTTTATATTGAATATAATATCATTATTATTATTAATTCAATGTAGAAAATCTTATCTTTGCTTACAACAGCATTGTTATTGAGTGGTTTGGCCTTTTACACATAAAATGAAGAATCACACTCATTTAAAACTTGGTAGAAAAAATATAATAAATTCTATACTTAAACTGAAGAAGCATATAGATAGATTATCTTCAATCATAATGTTGAATTAATCAATAAACATAACTCTAATCCAAATAAAAGTTATAGTATGGCAATCAATTAATTTGTTGATTTAACTGATGAAGAATTCCAATCAATGTATTTAGGAAAACCAACCTTTGTTAATATTGATAATATTGAATTGAGTACTGGAAATAACCTAGGAGAAGCTGATTGGTCTAACAAAATGAATCCTATTAAGAATTAAGGTAATTGTGGTTCATGTTGGACATTCTCTGCTATTGGTGCAGTTGAAGGATTCTTGATTATAAGAAAAGGATTCAAAGGAGTTTTATCTGAATAATAATTAGTTGATTGTGCTGTCGATGCAGGAGAAGGATGTAATGGAGGCAATTCAGATTTGGCATTAGATTACATTGCTGAAGTTGGTTCTGTTTATGAAAGAGATTATGAATATGTAAATAATATAAAATATCTTAATAGACTGCAAGAGATGGAGTTTGTAAAGTAAAATAAGGAAAAGTTAGAATTTCTGGAAGAGAAAACTATGGTCCAAATGAAGATGCTATTAAAAAGGGAATCTAAAATTATCCATTATCTGTGAGTGTTGATGCCTCTTATTGGAAATTCTATGATCAAGGAGTATATGATGGACCATGCAGAGATGATTTTCATAATCATGCTGTTGTAGCTGTTGGTTTTGACAATGAAGGAAATTGGAAGATTAGAAACTCATGGGGTGAAGGTTGGGGAGAATAAGGACATATTTGGTTGAAACCAGGTAACTCTTGTGCAGTCATGACTAGAGTAGATGGAGCCATATGATAATATTTAATAATAATTTTATTTTACATTCATGTTCTTATAAAATCTAATAAC